AGCATTTAAATGCGTTTCTTTCAAATATTGAGCTGATTTACTCATTTGCCAGGAGTACTCTCGCAGTGGTTTTCCCCCTGCAAGGCGCCAGGTGCTGATGTAGCGTCTTTCGACTGATAATTTGTAACCCCCAGCTGTTTGTTCTTTGTGACAAAGCGTCTCTGCTCCTCGACAGAATTTCGTTTTCTTCTGTAAGCTGCAGCATAGAATGGTTCCCATACATAATACTGCCACACAGTAAAGTTGTTCGACAAAAATATTCAACCAGCACTATTAGGGGCAACTAAATACGTGTACAGTACCACATTTATTATGCACCGGTACGAGACCATTGTTGAATTAAACTTTCATCAAAAATAATCAAATAATGTCGCGTCTCATACTGAACGGGGTACAGTCGAGAAAATGTTTTGAAAAATCTCGAATACATGATCTATGTTTGAACACTGCCTTTCCATCTCTCGAAATGAAATCGAATATTCTTCTCCAGCACAGGTGTGTGCGCAATTCGTCCGAACAGGCCCAGCACGCAGCAGAAGACCAAAAGAAGAGAAAAAGAAAATAGAAAAAGAACGACGAACACTTGATCCAAGAACCGACCAAAAATCGCAAAGGCCGCGAATTACAAAAGGAAAAGCCCGGCGGGAAATTCACCATGCGGACGCACGCATATACACATCTTACGTATATATTATAGGGCAGGCAGAAAATGCACCCGGATGATTTGGGTCATTCCTGGTCCGGAAATAACCCCCCCCCCCCCCCGACAGCGGACACGTCGACACGCTCCAGGTGCAAGCCACACTCCGAAGTCTGACAGCCTCCGCGCCAAGAATCCGAAGGGGCCTCCCAACGAAAATAGACCTTCAAGTCGATCTCCCCTCTCTTTATTCCTCCCCCTCTGTATACAGCACCACCACTGCTGTGCACAAATGCGTGGCAGCTTCTCCTATACGGATGCAGCACCAACTCGGCACACCACCACCCGGACTTTCATCCGCTTCGGAATACATCGCGACGACGACGATGAGGAACCATTCTCCTTCCCGAAGGTTCTGCGCTGAGGATGATGCATACCTGCCTTGTCCCCTTCATCAAAATACCTCTGCCGCGCAGTTTTATCTCATCCTCAACGAGTTGCCTGTGCGAAGATAATGGAACCTCTGCGCCTCTTTTCAGCAGGAAATCGATTTTTCAAGTCTGGGGTGTTTCATTCGACTGTTATTTGAGCTTTGGATTCGGAGAATCACTCGAATATGAAGGAACCATCATCATTAATTTCGCTCTGGGTTCTGATGGTTCCTTTCCCTTGTACATATCTAAAACTTGTAAACTTTTTTTCCGCGCACGAAGAAACCTAACACGGTCAAAATCTAAAGACCTACTCAAACGGGCATCACTTGGGAAATGTAGAACAAAATTTTCTTTTTCGAAACTTAAATTTTAAAAAGTTTAATTACAGCCAGTTTCGTCATGGAGTTTCTTTTAACGTTTAGCATGTATACAACTTCCGGTCGTTTTGTATACTTGTGGTACCCATCGGAACTTCGCAGGTGTTACGCAAGTGCAGCCATGGCGCGTAATGTTGAGATACCTAAAATTCAGCGAAAAAGGCCATGGAAGTTGAAAAGCCCAATTCAAATCGTTCTAAGACCACTATCACAAAAAAGGAGCCAACATTATATCGCACGAAGATGAGATTTCACCCGGGGTTTTTTGCAAAATGGATCATTGCAAGTCAGAGGTAATCTGAGCGAAAACAAAAATTTGATCCTATAATATTCATGGTCAATTATTCTGAAAATTAAATGGCTTCCGTTCATTTTTTCTCCGAAGAGCACTTTTTTAAACCACGAACACAAAGAAAAATCGCACTTGAACGTCATTTCGCCATTAAGATTCCGGTCAGATTTTAAAATCTGAAATATCGTGATTTTTGTTCCCCAATTTCAGTACTGTATATAAGCAAAAAATGATCACAAAAAAATCCTAGATCGTTATCCTCAGGAACTTCGGTTAAAAACTTTAAATAAATCGCAGTATATTGGCACGGCGAATTCCCTAAATAAAAATTCGGAATACGCCGCATTTTACCCTTTTTTGTGGGTCCGCTCTCTTTCATTTTTTTTCTTCCTAAAATTCAACCTGAAAATCAGCGTTCTTCTCCAACTCGAGCTAAAACTTTTCGTGCAATCTTCCGCGCTCGTGCCTCTCCTCGAACGAATCAAAAACGCATTCGTCGGCAGTTTGAAAAACGTGCCGAGGAGGAAAGCGCAGAGCTGAGATACTCACTCATGGTTGTCAAATTTATTTGCACGCGGTCGGCATTCGGTGCTACAAGTACAACCGACGGTGCTTGATTGAAATTTTTGTTGAGTTTTTTTTTATAGAAAAATTGAATAGGTCCAATGCTTTGAAACTTGCGGAGAAGTGCAATAATTGTCATCTGTGGGCTCATCAGGCAGATCGGGGAGGCTTTCTGTCCCTTTCACGCGAATGCAAATATTTCACTGAAAACTTTTGTCAGCTAGTGGACCATAATTATTTGAATAAATTTTGGAGACTATGGGTCTTGAAAATGAAGAAAAATATGCAAATGCATGAATTTTTACATTTTCGAGGTTCATCTTTTTGAAAATGAGCTGAAAATAAAATTTTGACGTGATTTTTTTTACAATTTTCGCAAGCGGAATTAACCGCTGTGTATGAAGTGGCTCGCCTCATAAATTTCTTAGTCTCATATCCAGTATATATGTGTATGTTAAAATAAGACGGGTATTATTTCTTTCAAAAATTCCCAAAAACTCGTCCTCTTCCATTTACAGCATTTTTAAATAAAAAGCAAATGCAAATTTAAAGAAACTAATCTTGGGCACTTGAATTTTATCCTATCGATATGAACCAAGAGAAAATCAATTCAGCGAATAAACGAGTTTATCTGTTCATGCTGTAATGTCTAATGAAACACACACTAAATGCAGTATATCCATTAAAGAGCAGCTTCCTCGAATATGTGCAGCGAAAATATTAAAACTTCGAAATTCGATCAACGAAACCTCATAGGAGGAAACAAATTCGTTGGCAGCTCCAAAATGAACTGGAAAATTCACTATTGCACATGCTGATATGGTACATGATCGACGAAGATTGTTCTCGTATATAGCTCTGAAAAAAAATTTCAGTGAAGCTTCAATGCTGCAAAAATTCTGCATAAATTATTCAAGTTATTTACCTGACAGCACGTGATGCTCGAAAACCCCCTGACGATAATTGAAGACTAGCTTCAAAAGTTTAGGTGAGACAATTTGCAACGCATGCCGCGAGCGCCGCAGGTGCCCTGTTGTCTTCTACTGTCCAATTCTCGATTTCATTTCCAAAATTGCATGCCTGCGCCCGGAAACGCGCAGCGCGGCGTGCCCTCGATGAGTGCAGCTAAGTCAAAGGAATGTACAGTGCCAAAAAACACGAGATGCCAAAGTTTTGCAGCGTGTGCGTGTTTATTTATTTGTTTTCCTTCGCGTGCAAGTTTATTTGTTGTTGTCCCACGGATGTATATCAAGGGCACACTTGCAGTTGAAATTTGTTTGCAAACGGAAATACGCGAAGTTCCGCTTGTAGCTGTTTTGTCATATGTCCTCAGCGCGGCAAGCCTCCGGTCGAGGCTGATCCTGAGGGATGGAATAACTTTTGCGGTTGGAAAGTTGGAAGACTTGGGATGGTCTTCCATCGATTTTTTTTTTCATTTGTTTAAAAAGTTATTTGTCTGTGGTTTGCTTCATTATATACTTCGGCATTTCTCGTTTGTTTGAATCGTTCGTATTTGACGTGGAGGAAATAAAACGTCAGATACAAAGGAGAAACCGCAAAAAACTCACCTTTGTTCCACCAGCGCTCTATCAGCACGCACCACAGAAGTGTTGTCTGCATACTGATGGCACTTCGTTGATTCGGAAACATATACACTGTAAACGTGCAACAAAACTTATACAGCAGTATTTTTTTTGGGAGCTCCCGAATCCTTCCAACCAGAGGTTTATCAATCAAGGGCATTCAAACCGTCCAACTCGAATGCAAGATAAGTCTTCCATGGCATTCTGGACTTCTTCAATAACCATCACGCACAGCATTAATAATGAGATTGTCAAAATCGAAACACTTTCAGAAACACGATCCTCAAATCTTGGACGTGGAAGATGAACCATGATCAAGTTTAAATACACTTCCACAACTCCTCCCCATGACAAAAAGATTTTCCTGGCGTTCGCCGATGATTAATCAGCAATTGAAATAAATTAAACTGAAGCAGGAAAAATTCAATTAAACAGTCCCCGTCAAGTAATTATAAAAATTCGACAGAAAAGCTGAATTCAGACACGAAAAATCTCAAGATTCTTTTTTCGCCGGCCGGTTGAACACATTTCAACAAAATACAAGGATAATTTCAACGAAGACTCAAATAACACTACAGAACTAAGAGAAGGCAGCGAAGTTATGCTTCGAAGAATGTTTAGAAGTAATAAAAATCCCTGCATAATAGTTGCAACATTTGGAGGAACCAATTCAACTCTCTCAAAAAAGCACATTTTCCCTGGGCTCACCGCATTTGATTTAAATGAGCACACTGATCATGAATAGGCAATTATAACTACAGCAGTTATTCTTACAACAGTAAAGACAATCGGATAAATGTAATTCAGCGTTGATTTGATTTATTTTTAGGTCACACCTTGAAACCGTCCAGATTTGTAAATACGACCCAGTTGTCAATCACGTAATAATCGGCTGGAGTGAGAAACCCATTTCCAACCGGATGCACGAGAAATTATACAAATGCCACTTGCGTCCATCACACGGTAGGATCACTAAGCAATAAGGAGAATCGATACAACAGAGCATTCATACCTCCTCGATTCTGAAAGAGAGAAGTGTCTTGAATTTGCAAGAAGCGATAAAAACAAAATGATAAATAAATGAATTTGAAGAATTGATAATGCAATGGATAAGAAAATACAAGTCAAGCCTGCATTACTCGCACGCATCAAATCATGAAAACAATTGATTGGATTCACAGCCTGCTATATGTCAATTGAATTTCACAGATTCCGCCAGCCAATCTTCTTCCGCACGACGTCCATGTCTTATGGACGAAATCAGCGCTTCGAACCGTCGACGAGCCTCCCCATAAACATTAGAATTTTCCGGCAAATCAACACTGAATCTAAGGTAGTTGGGAGTCTCCGAAGCTTCGGTGATGCTTTCTTGGAAGGTGGGAAGTTCACCAACGCTTCCGTTGAATTCAGCCAACTGTCGACGACCTTGGCTTCGTCGTCTTCGCGTGCCAAGAGCGGATTCGAACGAAGGTGCGACAATTGGCGAGCAGAAGGCGGATATGTCTTGGCCACTTGGTTCAAGAGCAGATGTGTTCAACTCTTCATCCGAAATATCTGTAGAATCAGCTTTCAGTGAGGATCTATAAACTATAAATATCTCTCCCGAATGGAGCTACTCCTGGTTTCCCTTCGCAAAACACCAAAGAAATGAGTACGCAATGAACGCTTCGATCAGAGCAGTAAAACAATTAGTGCTGGAAGTGGATAAATATAAGAGTCCGATTCAGAAATAGGACAACATTTTGAACACATTATGAAATCAAGCCAGATGCGTTAAATGAGCCCTTCTGCAACAAAACCTGTTCTCATTCCCCTTTCGATTGTGAAATGTAGGGGGGTATCGAGTATCAAACGTTTTTTTTTTTTTTTTTTCTGCATCAAACCCATCCGTATACTCGAGAGCTTCAAGCATCAACTGCTTATGGCAACCCAGCTTCTAAGTTCAAGGAAAAAGGAAGAGGCATCCAAAATTTAGAATCGGCACCAAAAAATTAAGAGGGAGAAAATTGTCACAACATTGCTCACCTTCCCCTAAAGCCAATTTCAAGCGAATGTCAAAATCTCTCGCCCAGAGTTTCTCCATTCTGCATTTTGCCACGAGAGGTGAAAACATGTCAAACTTCACTCGTTTGTCTCCACGTTCGGATTCCTCATTTTCCAACTTCCTCTTTTGGCGTTTTTCTGATAAAACATCGGCTATACGAGCGTCCACGACGGAAAAAGACTCGTTCATTCGTCTCAAATCTGAAAAATGGAGAGCTTCAACTTATGATTCTAAAGGTGCACATCATCTCCATCGATGATGTAGCACGCAGAATATGATATACAATATACCGCAACGGAAACAAGCAGCATTTCCGCGACTGACCCTTCGATAACCGACATATCGAATAATACAGAATAACGCACTATTTCGTCCCCTAATGATCCTTGTCCCAAACCAATGAATACGAAGGTTAGCATGAAAGGAAAAACAGGTTTAGACTCACCTTCGGGTTTCGAGCAGGGTATCAATTCGGCCCAGCATTCTGGAGGCTCGAACGTCTGTAATTCGTCCTTGTAACAGACAGCTAGCATTTCGGGATCGTTCGAAGTCTTTTTAGAACATCCGGAGACTAATACGAAAGAGTAGCAAGCATGTAAAATGTGGGTCCACGGTAGGTTCACAAAGCTGGGAAACACGACAGAATCATCTCGGTAGTCAAAATCTTCCTTGTTAGGAAGTCCCTTTTCTCTCCATGCTTCGCGGAATTGTCTCACAGTTTTCCGCAGGATTTGTCGGACTCTAAATTTAGAAATCGTTAAGATCATATCCGGTGCACATGAAAGCAATTCACTCACTTTGAAAACAGTAATGGTACTGACGGTGAAGAACGATCTTTCTCTCCGACTATTAGCTCAATATACCCCCAAAGTTCCTGACAAGTGCTATCCCAAGAAGACTCCGCATCTTTTTGGTGAGCGATCAAAGGGAGTTTCATGTTGGATAAAGCCTAGAAACGACAAACATCTTCAGGTATCTCGACACAAGAATCAAGTAAGGTTAAATAGGATAAAATTCAAAATGTTAACGCTAGGACACGTACGCCGTTCGACTGAATTAAAATAATCTCAGACGCGTAAGCTTGTAGGCGAAGGAAGATTTTCACACTAAAAGAAACTCGACATCTTGAAGTTTGAAGGTGAAATGCAAACCTTCGCAAGTGAGTCCAATCTCTCAACGGAATTCCAATCACCAACGGGAATATTTTTCTGCACATCAGCTTTAATCTTCTCCGGTGGGGGCCACGAAAGACTCGTGATCTTCTGGCTCTTCACACACGCAATCAGGTGATCAATTCCGGCGTTATAGAAGCGAACTTGCTCATTCAATCCCTAAAAAAATTCATTAAAAAAGGGAGAAACGGAAAATTGAAAGGAATGAATTCGCACCTGATGCAGAAGTCCGTTTTTGACGCGGGAGGACATATTTGAAAATATAGGATCCATGATATAATCATTCATGAACTTTTCAACGAAAGTAACGATCGGCATTATGATTTCCGGAATTTGATCGACAGAAGTATTTTCTATCAGCCATTCCATGCCTTGATTTAACTGAAAAAATAAAGAGGAAAACATTGAAAGAGATTCGTCATCAAAACCATTGGTTCCAGCAACCTTTTCGTTGCTGGCAATGAAATTCCTTTTCACAACGCAGGGCAACACGGCGTAGTCAGTCAAGTATCCTGCGAGTCTAAATTTTCCAAGTTGGAAAACGTCGGCGACAGAAAGACACGCTTTCTCACTTGCTTTTTCTCCACACAAATAGATCAGCACGGGTACCGCAGGATTTTTTCGTCGTTTCGCAAGGAGTAGTTCAGCAAATGAGCTGGCATTCGCCTTCAAGTCTTCATGAGCAAATGGAAATTCGAGGAAAATCATGAATCCAGTAGTCCCGACAACATTGGGATCAGGATCCTCGGATCCAAGTCCATCCATCCTCACGGAAACGAACACGTTCACTAGCTTTTCTCCTCTCGGATTTCCAGATTTCGTCAACAACACGGCTTCTTCATCGGATTCAGAGGTATCAGAGCAGCGAAACTTGCTCGCAAGCCATACTGCCCAGTTTCTCATTGCATTCAAGCGAACTTTCTCCGACAACAGTAAAGATAATTTGAACGTTACTTCTCTCCCACTCTTCAATCTCGGAACAAGCAATTCTTCCACACGCTCGTACAATCGCAGGGGTTCCCAAGCCTCCTGTTCTCTGGCAAGTTTAAATGCCTTGATGTTTTCCAAATTTTCCTTGACAAGCTTTTGTTTCTCCTGTGCGGACTTGAAGTCCGTCAAAGGTAAAAGGTAACGAGTTCCCGTCAATCGTTCTTGAATATCTCTGGGAGTTATGAATGGAGAGCTGACCGGGAAGCTTTTTTCGGCACGACGTAAAAGGGCGCGGACACGAGCAAACTTCATCCAGATCGCACTATACTTCGCCAGAAGTCGCAGATTCCGCTTTTCTCGCATGCGTTCCACTAATGCATCCCTAAATCAATGAGAAAAGTTGTGTACAGCAACACTAATTAAATACACCAAATATGTCTCAGGAAACTTGAAAAAGCAAATCAGCACAAACTAAGGTGCAAGTATCTTCAAGAGGACCTCAACTAGTCCAAAGGTACTTGAACTGGGGGAACGACGAACAAATATTTCCTCTCGTAGAAATTTCTGAAAAGTCGTCCTTTTTTGCCAGAAGAGGACTAGCACTAAAAATACTACCTAATAATGAATCATGATGAACTTTAGTCTTAGAACTTTGTCAAACCTTTCAAAACGATGGATGCTGATCTCATCTTCAGTGAGCAGCTTGACTTCTTCGTCGACCACGTCATCCAGGATTTTCGATACCAGCGCAGGCACCATTTGCTCCAGTGCTGCACGAATATTATCGGTTCTCACGCATGATATCGCATTACCGCACAATTTCTTCATCTCTTCTTTCAAAACCTATGGAAAACGAACTTAAAAAAAACTGAACTGGACTAGATCCGAACTTTTCAAAAACCTCGGCCAACAAATCAACTGCTGCTCCGTTAATGACGGTTTGCCTCAAGGCTGCAAGCCGTTCAGCTTCGCGTAATTTTTCCCGTTCCAGTTCCATCTTCAGTCGAACCTCAGCTTCGCGGGCCTTGGTCTTTTCGCTAAGCGCAATTACTCTGTTGAATTTCATTTTCAGTAATTTTCGGTAAATAAAGTACACACTTAGAACCTTCACAACATACCGCACACTTCCTTGAATGACCGAGTCCAACATTTCTTCGAACGCCTGGTCGGCTAACCTCTGAAACTCACAGAAAAATAACAAATTTTACAATGTAACCGATCAGGCGCCAGCGAAAGAAATCCAATAAAAATCCTTGATAAATTAGACCCAAACTTTTCAAGAACTTATTTGGCAAATGAGATACAGTAAAATTATGGTGCTTTACGTTAAGTTAGGCCTAAAAGTTGAAGATTATGTTTCTACGGGTAGAAACTGTAAAGCTGATAATTCCTCACGTTTATCAGAACTTCACGTAACCGCCGTTTCTTCTCCTCCATTTCCCGTTTGAGTTGGACGTCCAAAAGTGACGCAGCCCCAAATTTCGCTTCCCTCGGCTGCGCATTGAAGCGCACGAAAGGCTGATCAGAACTCGGCTGCGTAGCTTCTAAGACTGACGTCGGTACAATTATTTGGCAGCCTTGGTCCCTCGCTAATTTTGAAGATTCTTTTAAAAATCCTTTCAAGTCGAAGCTGTCGTGGGGTTGTAGGGCATCTAGTGCACTGGCATCCAGCGGTTTGCCGCCGAGAACAATCTGTAGAATTAAAAAGTTTTCTCAGTAAATCCTGAAAATATTTTTTCTGAACTATTTATCTTTCAGAAAATCTGACCTTTTTGCTTTTAGGATACGTAAATTGCAATACAGTTTCAAAATAAGTGGAGAAACCCGGAATATTTTATATCCGCCAACTAGCACGTTTTATAACCTCATTTTATATCCGCCGACTAGCATGTTCGTTGCTGTACGAACAGTCACTTTTTTTAATTCTCGCCGGAAGCTGAAAAAATTCCAAGTTTATTGACGTAGGTATTTCATCACGAGCAGAACGCGGACTTTTTTGAAAATTTATTTTCAAAGTGAAGCCTGCGTATGAAGTCCAACCAACCTGCGAAAGATTTTCGCCGCCCTTTTTCTTCCAAACCAGCGAAGCAGAAGTTGGGAGAGAATCCTGACAAACTTTGAACAAATTCCTGTCCAGCAGAACGCAGTTAGAAACTTCATTGGCATCATCCGTAAAGCCTCCAGCTTCAGTGTCTCCAGGTCGACCCATCTGAACCATAAGATTATGGGCTTGACAAAAGGCAATGACCTCCTCTTCACTTTCATCGTCGAAACCGAGCCACTTCTTCAAGTCACTAATTCGGAGCTGAACGAAATATATTTGAGAAGAAATTCGGTCAAAATTTAGTGTACCTGGAAAAAAAAAAATCGGATGCTTACATTGACAGGTTTCTTCTTCGACGATACGACGGCAAACACAAGTAAGCGTAATGCTTCCGACCGCACTTGCCAGAAGTATCGCATAAGGATAGCTGATACCAATATGGGCAGCGTCGGGTCACGAATAAGCATGAAGAACCGCACGTAGTTTCTCGACGACAGTGTTCCGCAAATTTTGATGCTCAGCTGAACCAATGGAGTTTTTCGGATCGCCGGATCCAAAGTTTGGATCTTTCTGTGAATTCGGCAATAAATGTAGTTTTTCTTTAAAAGCTAGCGAGGATCAGTTCAGTCTCTTAGAAGAAAGCCAACAGATAGGCGATTTACTCGTTACTTAAACAACAAAAAAGATGACGTTATAAAAAAATTCTGAAATTTTCGTCGAGGCAAGGTGAATTTCGTAAAAAATGGGGGGACATCCTTGACATCTCATCAAAAGCAAATTTCGTCACGCAAAGAAAAAAAAATTGAAATTTTCGAGCCTCGCTAAAAAAAATTTTTTGTTTGACTTTCCATCGCAGACATTCAAGAGGAAAAAATCGCAATCTGAAGTGTTGGAACGGGAAGGTGAATCAGCGGAAAAGAAGCGAAACAACGTTATACCTAAGGGTGTCCCCTCGATCTGCTCTCAGCAAAACGTAATAAGCTCGAAATTCGGCCTCATTGGGATATCGACAATTCTCCTTCTTTCCGTCCTCGTACATTTGCAGAACAGTTGTCAACGACTTCGTCAAATTTTCATCATTGATCTTCGGATCGAAGACATGTACGGCCTCCATCGCCATCACGGCACACGCCAAAATGTGGAAACGTACGCAAATCTCTATGAGTTCGACCGCAATTGGACCGGTGAGTTGCTGTTGAGTAATATCTTTACGGATTGCTCGCATTCGGTCCCACAAAAAGTTGTACCACTCCTCGATCGGCAGGTCACCGGAGTAATGCTCAAATTTGTCCAGGACATTACTCAGCAAGTATATCATCGCTTTTTGCAGCGTTTCGATCGGTCGTAAGTCGTGGGACAGAGGCTCTTCTTGATCCGCACTGGATCTCGAATACTCCTTCACGCAATATCGATGGAACTCAGCAGAGTTCTCCTACTCAAGGCGAAAAAAAAAACATGGGTCACGTATCAATCGAAGCAAGTCCTTCGCGGACAAATATTTCGAGTTTTTTTTTCAAGAACCATGCAAGAAAAACGTTCACATTAGAAAGCACATACCCGCGATGACGACTTTTCGAACGGAGTCAAAATGTTTTGATAGCAGCGTAAATATCGTTCCTTTTCGGGACACATATCAGGACATGTGCCCACCAAATAGTCCGCCAAATTTCGCTTTTTGTCTCGATCTGTAAAGAACATGAAGATTAATAAACAGACAGTGAGGAGAAAATTTCTTCCAAGAACACGATCTTGATTCATTTGAATAAGCGTTCATACCCGATCCACAAGATCACATGAACAAAAATGATGATATTACTCACATAACTTCAGCAATCTGTCGCGTACATCCAAAATCTTCCAACGTTGTTCAGCCGAGTGTGCCGGTACAGCACAAAGCTCCACGAAGTTCTTTTCGAGGGTTCCGGAAGAAACTACGACACTGTTGCGCAGGACAACTCAGTTTTAATGACGTTACATAGGTGTCACTTTATTCTTGGAATTTCGATCAGATTTAATTTCGGTTATTTTACGAAGCCTTTAAAATAATAGTAAGGATCTTCAGTTAGATTTGGTCTCGTTATCAGCAGTTGCCAAACTAAGCCGAAACATGCGTGATTAAAAAAATTTTTTTAAAGCAAGGTGAAACACGCAAGCATTTATTTTTATACTCACGGCTCAGCAACCGACGATTCAGACGGTTCTTCTTGCCGGACCTTAGGAAGAGCGTACGGTTCGGTTCTGCTCTTGGGTAAAACCGAACGCGTTCGCGGTGAGTTAGGCTTGTACAACAACACCGACAGTCCAGGAAAGGCTTTTATCAGATCCTTGCTGCTAGTCTTGGCCAATCTCGCGATTTGCTAAATACGGGTAAATCTTTTCATATGAGAAACACGTTCGTTTTAAACATTAAAATGAGCATACCGCATCGTGGAAGTATACATAGCCGATGCGCTTCAGTGGATAAACGGTAACGCGAGATACGTCGCCGTACTTGCTGTAATATTGTTGCAAATATCTTTGGTTGAGACTCGGAGGAACGTTCTTCAATGAAAGAGCAGTGAAATCCCCGGGTTCAAATCCAGCAGAAATTTTTCTCGTTCCTGAAAAATCACACGAGAAAGGGAAGGTTTACGATGAATTGATTTTTAAAGGAATAAAAATAAATATGAATTCAACCGTATATGAAAAGGGGGTCCAATATGATTTTTGTCATAATTTCTTGAAAAAATAAATAAACAAACTCACGAAATTTTGATTTCATAGGGGGAACTGTGGTTTCAACTGGACTCTTCCCCCGAACTGGAGTAACATTCGGAGGCGACTCTTGACGAGAAGACGCAGATTCCGATTCATGAAGGCCTTCCTCCTTTGGATTTTTACCATCTTCATCGGATTCATAATGTTCATCATCTAGACATCCGTCTTCGACTCTCTCACTGGATGCCATATCCGAAAAATCTTCCATGGGAGACTCCGAACTCGACGGCTGGCTCGCCTGCTCAGCGGCAATCTTCATCAACGCGGAGGAATCAACAGATTTTCCGAATAAGGTCGAATATTTTGGAGGAACTTTCGATTTTTCGCTAGTCCAAGCAGTCGATTCGGAAGAAGACCAAGAACTCCCAACAGTATTCAGGGATGGCTTTCCAAACTGACCAGAATCGAGTGACCTTGCGAATAAGTCATCGGACGAAACTGTAGGTTTCTTCAACGCATCCGATGTTACGAAAAGATTTCCAGATTCTTGAACTGGAGTGGCATCTGACACAAGTGAACTGGCCGCACTTGGCGCACTGGACGTCGATAAAAATGACAACTTTGTCCCGAAGACCGGCTTTTGATCATCTACCTTTGTCTGCGGAAGCGTCGAAGAGCCAAAAGGCTGATCAGAGAAAAATGCAGAAACTCCGGATGCTGAACCACCAAATGCACTCGGTTCTTTCTTGGCGAACAAATTTAGGGTTGATTTCCCCGCATCTTCCTTTTGAAAAGAACCACCGAAACTGACAGGTTTACTTGCTTTGGTAGAAAATAAATTTTGTTCGGCAGTGCTTCTCAAATCAGCAAATCCCGGCGGATTTGCCGTAAGATTGCCAAATACATTCGCAGGTTTGGACGCGCCAAAGTCCTTGGCAGCATAAGCGGAAAACGTGGTTTTAGTGAATCCAGGGGCCACGTACTTATATCTGCTTCCGGTACCAAAAGTGGACTTCTTGGTGGGCTCCTCATCGCTCATCAGTGAAGAAGGAAACCCCGCTCCAAAGCCTTGCGACGAAAAATCGCCGAAAGTTTTTGCTCCTTCAGAAGATGCAGCCCCTGCATCAGATAAGCGTGCACCGAACGAAAAACCACTAGCCGGCGTCGCCACGGATTTAGAAGTCGGTTCAAACACTGATTGTTGCTCACTCATGATAACCTGATTTCAATACCAAGATCAGGCAAAAGAATATAAATATGCGTCCGTTGGGAAAGTATCGAAGCTCAAAATTGTCAGCATCACTACAATCAAGACAAAAACGCCCAGAAAAAGTGAACATGAGGATCAATTTAGGAACGTAGTTCAACAAACTTTCAGAGTGGCATTAGAAACGAACGTTTCAACAGCCAGTGAGGGCCACATAATTCAACGCGGAATCCGTCATAACAAACAATCCCTCCACAGCTGCAACTGCTCCAAGAACTTCTTCGTGCTTCAATGTTAATACGAACTGCTTTGCAACCGTTGGCAGATGCTTACCGCTTTTGCGATTTTTCAACTCCGAATAAGAATTCACCTTACGGTAGATGTAACAATGCGTTGCAGAATCGCAAATGGCAACGTAAGACATGTCAGGGGGGCAAACAGTGTACTTGCGGTTCTCCTTGGAGGCAAAAACGTAACCAAAGGCATCGAAGGTACCAATATGAGACGCGTTCCAACAGTCCGGCTCATTTTCCTTGAATTCCCAGACAATAGCATCAACATCGTGACGGAGGCAGACTACTGGAAGGCTTTCCGGGGTAAGTTTCGTCGAGAAGATCCACTGATGCGAGCTCAATGAAGCCTGAATACAGTAGACGAAACAGAACATTTTTTTTCGAAAGCACTTCAAAAGTGAACTTCCCACACAAAATTTTTCAACTGGAAACGGCGAAAATACGTCGGAAAAAATAAATATCGCGAGGTAACATGATTTTAAATTCAAATTATCTTCTATAAAATATAAAAAATACGGTATTTCGGCGACCTTTTATCCATAAAATCTTGAATAATACCATTAATCATATCACGTTTGAACGCGAAAACAAAATTCAGTAACCGACCTTATGTGAGATATGGCATCCCCCATCCTTTTCGCAAACAAATCGCGCGAGCGTAGATGTTTCTAAAGGCAAATCGTCGCACTCCTCCATTTGGTTAAGTCCTATGCCAGATCCCGGCTCAGCTTCAGATACCTACAATAAAGCAATACAATTTTAAACCAGTTCATCGTACACAAAATTATCCAAAAAATGTAAAAAATTTCCCAAAAATGCTTTACCACAGCGGAAAAATCTACAATCACGCACACGACAATCGAAAAAATTATTGAAGAAAAAGCGACATTAAATTGCTGAAGTATGTACTGTATTTGCGGTTCTATCAACAGCAAATTTCTAGAAGCATGCAAAATTTGCACGCTAATTTCAAGACAGTACGAGCAAGGACATTTTAACTCAATGATATAGACTAAGAGCAGGGATCTCGGAAGTATTCCAGAAGTGAATAATGCTCTGTCGAGAACAATGAGCAGGCCCCCTAGACAACCCATACCGAAGGGCTTGAAATGAAGAGACACTACATTTCAAAAAGTTTTCATCGGAAGTTTCAAATTGGCTTACCAGAGTTTCTGACGTGAGATGAGCGAGTCTTTCGTGTACAGCAGCAGCTACCTCAGGATCAACAGTTTCTTTACCCCTCTTGCATTTTTTTATTAGCTCTCTCCACATGCCATCCCCGTCAGCCTTCGTGAGTGTAATCTCCAAGTGAGAGCAAGATTTCTCCAATTGCTTCGTTAAAATCCAGGTAGACTCGTCCGATTTTACAGCATACGAAAGATCTCCAGAGAAGCCAATTTTTCCCAGACTGCCGTCTGCAGAGGGAATTACTGCTTCTACTTGCATTCGTCGCGGTTCGATCTTCACATTAACTTCAGACTTTGACACCACATCAGGCAATTTCATGGTCACTGTGACAGTGTCGGCATTTTGGTTCCATTCATAGAGAGGCTCTGGCTCTTCGACAGCTCCGTTTTCATTTGATTTATCGACAGGAATAACCCCAGTGGCAGTGTCGAATAACATTCTGAATTCTGCCCCTTCACTTGCGAGGATGAGGGCGTCACTCGATTCATCGAACGTTTCCAATGCCGCTAGTAGCAAAGCGTGCTTCCCACCCAAACGACGACGACTGATTTCTTCCCACGCCCCTTCCGGAGAATTCCGTGCAACAACAATCCAGTCGATTAATGTTACAAAAGCACTTGAATCAAATTCAGGAATGGCCAACAACTCTTTTTTAGCGTTCAAATCAACGTGCACTAGCAAGCAAGACACGAATTCTTTTTCCATCACTTTAGAGTAAGTCGCATCTTTCAACATAAATCCATCGTTCACGATATCGGCGTAGTCAAATTCTTCCAGAAGCTGTTGAAAAAAAACAATTGTTAGCGTGAGCAACTGCGTAGAAGGCGATGAATCAAATCCTTCTTTCAGCTAAACGAACCTCCCATTGCCCGGATTCTGAATTATCGACAGTCCTTTTTCCTGTGTTGAAAAGCCAGAGATATGTGGTCCCGCAGGCAACTAAAGCGAATTCTGGAGAAGGAAACGCGATCGTTGGATGGTATCGTAGCTTCTCTATTTGATGCGGTTTCGGTAATTGAGCTCGACACTTCAATACATCGCTCTCGCAGCTTTTCCTCTGCAAATTTTTTCCATATTAGTGAAAAAATGTTGACGGAAGTACACAGCTTGGATTTCTTTGATGTTCATCTTGCGCACAATGGAAGGCTATCTGTTAGGTGTCAAAACGTTCCAGCGAAAAGGAAAAGGTGGGATTGAAGTTAGAATATAAGTTATATTTTATAAACAATGATGTGGCTTCTCTCCCAGCACATGATGGAGATGTTCTCCAGATTTGTGAAGGCATGGAATGACACGCTTTTCAAATGAATACATCCTAGAAGTTGGGACACGTGAATGATCGGCTCAATGTGGATGAATTGATTCCTGAAAATAGTCTACTCGAGCTTTATTCGCTTTTTATTGCACAGAACTACGTTTCCCGATACCTTATTAACAATTATCATACTGTATAGCCTAAACCTCTCTTTCATTCAATAGGAATTACATCAACGGTGTAAACTTGAAGTTTTTCTGAGATGCAAGTGACGGGAAAAACGCGATTAGAATGGTAGAAAGAAGAACTTGAAATGTCTCCACTATCTCACCATGTCAGTCTCAGAGCAGCAGTTCACCCGAAAGCTAGCATCGACGAAATAAACGACAGAATTTCCAACCCACGGATCGCTCACGAGATGATTGTGCAAGCGTTGCAGCGAAACAAACTGCAAAGTGAAATCATCGTTTTCTGCAACCTTTGACCGCTGGACCTCTGGAAACAAAATTCTCCGATCATCAAATTCCGAACACACGAGAACATAATTCCTTAGCACTCACTGGACTCATTCCGTAATTCTATTTCATACTTCGGAAGAGGGTCTAAAGATAGTTTGTACGTCTCAAAGTCTGCGTTCAACAAAGAACGATCAGGGTTGAGGGTCACACGGATTGCCGCGGAGTCACTCATATTCGCGCCACTTTTTTCCGTCGTCGGATAACTTTTCGTCTACGTCTCAAAAGATGAACAATTCAATCAATAACATAAGATAGCGCACATAACCGGTGTTAGCAGAGAAGTCCGTAAATGTCTCGCCATCTCCGAATGAAATTGGACGTTGAAGTGGTCAAAAAACTTCCAATACTCATCCAATACCCGTCATTTCGCTAAGTAATGCTCTAATCAGATGGTTAGTGAAGGTTCCTACCAACATACGTGTCACACAATGAAAGCGGTTAGAGAGATCTAGACTTATTCTTTTCTTTAAGTAATTTTTAATCCCACTTACAGTGTACTTACTCGTTCAGGCTTCAGTACTCTAACTTACTCATCATAGAAGTAGTCTATTCGTGAGTACATAAATCATTCAAGATGCACATAGGAAAGACAGACGGGAAGCACCCCGGAAAAAAAATAATTGAAGCCCATGGACTCGCTTGCATCTCCAAAAAACACTTCACCACCGACACTGGCGATAGGTTTTCACTTCGACTAGTCGCCACAGACCCATTAGCACCAGAAAAAGCTTCGAAAGCTATTGAATCCCTGCTGAAAGCAAACTTTGTTTCGCGTATCGATGAGAATGGGTTTCAGATATTTATAGGTCCCAGCTTCGAAGTCATCAAATTTGTCCCTAGAATGTGTCAAACGAACCTAAAATCCCTGAATAAGCTCAACTCGGACGAATGCAGAAACTCTCATACTGGGAATAGTCAACGCGTCGATGATTGCACTGCTTCGGGGAAAATTCATGAAGTTGTATCGAGACTTCAAGGTCGCGGAGGCCAAGATTCATGGCCGAACAAGGATAAGTTGAAATGCGATGATAATAAAAGAAAACAAATGGCAGCAGCAAACGAGTCCGCAAAACCGTACGGGAGCGGCTGCCCAACAAAATCTGCTGCATCGGATTGTACGAAAAATGACAAACTTTTATCAAGCGGAGCCCAAGCAGTTGGCGCAGAATCTGATAAGTTCAAGAACGCAGTAACCCAAGGTATCTGCGCGAATGACGGCGAGGAATTCAATCGAGGATTACAGAGAGAGAATCTGAAGGAATGCGCGAAAGAAGGTGGAAAATTGGCAAAAACTCCGAAACGTGGTAGGTACAAAAGCTACGAGCGGGTTCACCTACTTTTAAATGCGATCACCAGTTTTTCAACTTTTTTATCCTTGGCATTTAAGCAGGGTCTTGTTGAAATCTTGAAATCTTGAGTCACCAAGAAACACATGCTGAAAACTATTGAGTAACCAAGAATACTTCTTTTTGACAGACGAAGATGAAAAACAAGTAGGCAAAGCGGGCAAAAAGGTATGCAAGGGTGACAGTGGCAATGATAATAAGCTCAAGGGTGACAATGGCAATGATAAGCTCAAGGGTGACAAAGGCAATGGTAACAAGCGCAAGGGTGAAAATGGCAATGGTAACAAGCGCAAGGGTGAAAATGGCAACACGCGCAAGGGTGACGGGGAGCACGGCGAAGATGGGAACAAGAAGGGCAATTGGGGAAACAAAAAGGGTCGACAAGGGCCCAAGGGTAAAGGAATCGCAGAAACATCGAACGACGACGACGATTCTGGGAGAGATTTATTTTCGTTCGAGTGCGACGCATCTGAGGACAACGAAAAAATGAAAAAACCCTATTGCGATCGCCCGATCGCGTCTGTGCTCAAGGGTCGCAATTTTAAAATGCGAGAGACCTTTCACCAATACGCTGAAGAAAACCTCACCGGAGCTTATTGCCAGCCTGACTACAAAGAACCGATACAATGTTATTCCAAGAGAGAGAGAAAAGAACGACTTTGTCCAGTAGAAGAGGAGGAAGCAGAGGCAGAGGAGGAACATAGTTTGGATGAAGCAGATGAATATGGAGAGAGGCCTAATCCAGAAATCTGCCAAACGATTCGATCTTCAGCAACTGCGAGAGGGGTAGCAACTTTAACGCAGAGGTAACATGCTGGCAATGTTTCTGGGAACACAAGCAATCGGAAAACGCTTTACAATTCATTGTCGTACGACGTACGACAATGTCTTTCGATTCCTGAAGCATGCAATATTCTTTAATTATTTAGCTCAACAGCATTTTAAAATCATCATATTAACAGATAAGAGCAGGATGATCCTCAATGTTCAAGCTTTTAAAACTGGAATAAAAATAATTCGGCTATCATCTTCATTCACGCATGATTAACTATCAGAAATGATTTTAAATTTAATTATTACTGGCTGCTTCTGAGGGTCTTGAACTCGTGTTCCATTCGCATCGCCTCGAATGAAGCCTCAATATGAAATTTTTCAATCAGAGAAAGAAAAAATCGAAGGGATTTTTAATTTTTTTTTAACTCGGTGCCGGAACCACTCAAGTCTCGGATCTCCCGAATGATTTTTTCCCCAACGAATATTCCACCCTTAGGGAACCGGAATAGACTTCAATTGAATAATTTACCAGCTGATGTTCGATTGTTCAATGCAGGGACTTGGAAGGGGATCAGAGGGTGAAAGGCAAGCTTTCAGCGAACAAGGGCAACGCGAAAACACTTAACATAGCTTTTCTGATGCGATACTTCCCGAAGTTTTGTGAAGAACATCACTTCCTTTCAATGCTCCTCAACCTACGTCCACTAACAACATCCCGCCATGAAGGAATGGTGAAAGCCTTGGACTTACAAACGAAACTGGACTACTTCTGTAAGACGGAGGCGCAGAGACGAATAGGTTTCGAAGATTTCGAGGAAACGCTAATGGATCCAAAGGTTCATCTTGATTACGTCGACTTGGTCACTGATCACGAAATCAAGGACTGGCAGCTGCTCAAACTTCCGCACACTGAAAACCGCGTTGTAATGCGCGAAGGTGATCTCATCGTTGACACTAGGAACACCGCACTGCACTTCTACATCGACGTTTTCTCTCGCGGAGCCGGTGACAAATACGTGCGGAACGGCGTGATGATAGACAAGTTGAAACATCGCGTCGACATTGGTCAAGATGTCTACCGCGCGCGACCCGGAGCTGCTTTCATTGAACCGCAAGCGTCGAGTTGCGCTTAGATGCTTGCTTCAAGAAACTTTCGCTTGTCCATTTCTCCTTTTGTTCCGTCTGAAAATGAACGGTATATATTATATATTTCTATCAATAAACGTAAGATTCAATGATTTCAGAACCTCAAACGTGCGTCTGTCTTACCTAATTGTACATTGTTCGATTCGCATCCTTGAAATTATCCGAACAGAAATTTTAAGACTTTTCAATCTAATACGATTGACGAGTCCGCGGAGACGCAATAGAGAAGTATTCCGTTGATCTGATCGAATTTTTGTGCCAATAGACCCGAAATGCAATAGCGAATCGTCATTACAGTCGACAAAACAGACCACGTAATTTTTTTCTTTGAGAAACCAGACCTTTAAAAGACGGCCACATACAAAATTTCTTTCACTGACTGTTTTCCTCCAAAAGTTTTCTTCTATAAAAGTGAATAAACACACGCAGACCCAGGCGAAAAAAAAACACAAAAAAGACATCTTTGCGAAGCAATACATCATACGGTGATTTAAGCATCACGGTAAACATAAAACGGAACGGGGAAAGATTTTTCAGGAAATCCAGAGAAAATCCACAATAGTTTCCCTCGTACGACGCGCATTGCATCAAGACAGTAGAAAACGTACTCAGTCTTCGTCGGAGCACAAGTCAATAACCCCATCTTCTACAATCACATTATTTGCGGCGAAACTGGGACGATCGTCCCCGATATCGATTTTTTTCACAGGAGAATCGAGTAACTCCGGTTCTGACTCGCTTGTTGAACTTATTCTTCGGTTACGGCAGGGACGTTTAATGCTTCGAACTTGAATCGTGTCATTTTCGGAATCAGAATCAGACGACAGTGGATTTTTCCGTCGGGACCGCAGTCGCTGGTTGGTATTTGAGGGGGGATATTCTCCGGGATACGTATCCGGTTCGGTCTGTGGTTGATGTTCATTCAGCGCACATGACAAACTCGGCATCCTGAGCCCATTATCACTTGAAGCGCTTTCTGAACTTGCCGCGTTGCCATCAGATTCCTCATCACTCTGTCGTCACATAAATCAAATGCAGTACAATACTGTATCATACATAGCGACACGAAGAGAACGCTTTCGAATTTTTTAAAGAATCATAAACCCCACTTAAAATTCATTCAATAAAAATAAATAAAGATTACGAATTAATAATTAACCACATGTCATCCCAATAACAGTTATACTGTAGTTGAGCGAAATTCCTAACGCTAACCTTCTCGCATGAAGCCATTATTTATAGTACTGTATTGATCTGGAGTTCCATGATTTCAACTTGAAAAACAATAGATACGCAAAAAGTTAAGAATTGGGATGTTCGAGACGAATTAAAAAAAAAATTCTGAGAGCAATATTCACTCACGTCATCACTTGACACTAAATTGACCTCTTCAACAACAGGAACTTTTTCGGGTTTGTCAGCATTTCTTCCTCCTTTGTTCACTTTTTCTTCAACGATGCATATACCATCTGAATAACGGAGGAAATAAAACCATAAGTGACTAAGAAAATCATACCTTCTTTAGGAAACATACCCGAGTGATTACTTTCTGGCGAATGAATTTCAATGCTCTCCTTGTCGTCTTGCTTCTTTATTTCTTGAACTTTGGCCCCTGGCAAACTCCATGTTCCATCAATATGTAATTCAATCATGTCATCCGAAGGATTGCTCTTCAGAACATCCATGAAATATCTGAATCATTCAAAAAATAAATCGAACGTCAGGACTGAAAATTACCTAAATGCGACGGTCCACTCACCCATCAAGAGAAAGCGTACTAAAGGGAATTTCATGATCACAAACAGGACAGGTCCAATTCGGACGACGTTCGTTCATACATATGAAAAAATTGGCGTCGAAGCACTGAAGATGCTGGCAATTCTTCGATCTACACGGCAGCTGCATTCGACACTTCCCAAGGGGACAAGACAAACTAACCCTCAAAAATGTCATCGCAACTTCATCTTCATCGTTGCGAAGCTTTTCCTTGACTAACAACGAATAACATATAATCCTCATTTTCATGAAAAAATTCAATCCGAAGCACTGTATACTAACTCATCGCCCTGGTGTAATCGGAATCACGACTGCCTTTGCACTTCAGCTGCTTGATCAGATCATCAGAATGCAGCTGTTTTACAAGCCAGACCGAGGCTACGAACTGAGCACTCGCTGCAGCTCGATCATCAAAACACCAGTTCACCAATACGGTATTCGGCTTCGAAGGACAAAACCCTCGGTACGCCGTAATGTCCAAAGGGGCCGATGGCCTCTTTGGTGGTATGCCAGCCTGAGTGCTGTGAATCAACTTCGGAAGCTCAACGAGATGGCTATTGACTTGCACACTCAAATTCGGAGGGAAAAAATCTTTTTGCTTCGAAGAAACGTCCATTTTTGCAAAGCGCAGCTGGATCTGAAAATCACGGACAATTTTTGCTTACCAAACGTTCCAATACCAATACAGCACACTACCCACATCCAGTTAGTTCGAAGAAAATGAGAAATATCTGAAATCCTTCCGATTTTAGGAGCACCAAATTTTAGGGCCACAAGTTTATATGTATAATATGCATTGGGATGAAAAACTAATTTTGAACTGATACTATTCGTATACAGTATTTCGGTCAACAGCTGTCTTGCTCAGCGCGAAGTTTTCAGGTATCGAAATCTTTTTTTCAGGCATTTTGATCTTGCGGACTCAACTCCAAGCAACAAAAGATGAGAATGCACCAGACCTGAATTTCTGACTTGGACAATCCTCCTGGGGTTTTTGATAAACTGCCAGAAATGCTACTATACTGCGACGGCGTCAGGTTAAAGGTGAATCTTGAAGAACGTTCCAGGGCGTTCGCAGGCGCTGACGACACTGAATAATTTCGAGAAATTAACAATACATAACGACGGATTCCAACAAAGATATTCTCACCTAGCGTCAAAGGCTTCAGCAAACAGTCAATCACTGGATAGAAGGGGAGATCCTCCATTCTTATGTCCGGGGAAATGGGAACGCTGGGATTGGCGTACTGATTTCTGGAGTATGAGCTACAAGGCTGGAAATATTCCTGAATAGGACGTGTCGCGGGCTTCATTGCAGGATTTGACGGTTTCATCGTTAAATTAGAACCATTTGTGATCACTGTGTTGTGGTGTCGCGTTTGCCAGTCACGAGACATGCTTTGATTTTGTAATAAGCAAGGTGTTATGGTAAGAGAAGAGTTGCTTGCGAAGTTTGAACTTCTAGGATTGAACATGGCTTCCCAGTTATTCATCATAGGATTAGGAGATGACACTAGCCCTTGCGTTGTATTCGGAAGCTGAATAGCATCCTGATCAACTGTTCCCAGACGAACCAACTGCTTCACGGGAAGATTATTCACAGTTTTTGATACAGGCTGCTCACTGGCAACAGTCTGCTCGGAGGAAGCTTTGAGATACAACCCTGGCAAGGCTTTCGGACGTGCGTTTCGGGCGACTTGAGGACACGTAGACTTCGGAGGAGATTTGCTAGGAGATGATTGGGATAGCAATTCGCGCTCTTTCCTAGACTGAAAATGTAGAAACTAGCTGTTATGAACGAGGCCCCATGCGCACTGGAAACATCCGTACCGGTATATCATACGCCAATGGAGCTGTCGCTAGTAATTGATTACGGGCGACGATGGCAGCAGATCGACTCGGTCGACCTCGGGAGGCAGGAACGTTTTCAGTTATTGGGTCATCACTAGCATCCGAGCACCCAGAGACTTTCCGCGCTCTTTTGCTGACCCATTTTTGAGGTTAAAAACTGTAGATAGCGATTTAAAATCATATGTACATACCTCTTGTTATATAGTTCCTCTATCTTCAAGGACGCCACAGTAGAAAATTCCTCATCTCGTAAAAGAGCGACTACGCGATCACGAGTTTCTTTCTTGAGTCCATAAGGATTCAATCCACATGTCCGCAGGATCAATTGGAGGTCTTTGGAAAGCAATGCGTCGACTTTCTCCTGCAAGTTCAGTCGTAAGCCATTAAAAACTAAACCTGAAGGTTGACAGCTTAATGTCAAAAAAGAAACAAAGCGAATAGAGGAATATCAAGTAAGCTTGAAACTTCATATAACTCACTATCATACAGTCCATTACAATAAATTCTGGTCCATCGGAAGAAAAGCTTCGTCCGGGATGAAATTGTTCCGACTGCTACCGATAGGAATTACTTAGGTCATATCTTCGCACGCACAAGCACAAAATCCCGGATCACTTCACAGGAAGGATCTGCGCAAATACTGAAACAGTACGATCACGCTGGTTACAAACGTAACACAACCCAATTCACGCACTTTTTTCCACATGTCGAACGATAACACTGAAGAGGTTTGCTTTTTCACCGGTGAAACTGGATAGACAAATATACAGCACTGTACTACAATATAACGGCCGTGTAACTCTTTACTTTGATTTGATATAGATGCCGCTGTCAGACAGTGATCCCATCATCAAACTGATTATGTACTGTACTTGTACCTACAGAAACTGTACTGTACTATGCAGCACAATGTGGTTACGTCGCTATACCATCGAACATGACATGCAGAATGCAAACATACGTACATAAATTACTCAGTGCGAAATCAAAAAGTCATCTCCAATATGCAATGGCATCTCAGCAATTATTCTAAATGCTCTCTGCTTAATACACATATTCCAGCATTTGAGTGATGTTTATTTAATCTGAAGCATGTTTAATTGAATGCAACACTCTTCAATAGGAACAGTCGAACCTATAGACACCGCCATACAGTATGCCTAATTACGTAAGCAGGAAATTATATATTTTGTAGGTTATTAAACTCAGCTATATATGTGCTGGTAATTTATAAAATAAAATCCTTAATATATTCACTTCTTTTCAATCAATATAGAGAGCTATTATGGTGTCTCAGCTGTCAAACAGCACTACATTACCCATATACCATATATATACTATATACAGTACGTGTACAGTATTACTGTCAATTCTAAGTGAAGTTCGGGAGTGCCCACTGCTATATGGGCTGCGTTATACTGTTGTGCGAATTGCGTACTATATTCTCAGAAGGACCGGACAAATTGATCATATTAAATGTCACATAACACTATTTTAGAACCACGACGACAAAAGGCATACTATATGCATTTTCACAGCAGATGACTGAATATGAGTTCCCCCATCAGATAATTCCATAACATACTGTGTTCCTATTTGTGTTTCGAATGAACAATTAATGACACATATTGCAAGCTTATGGGGATTTTAAAATTCAACTAAGTTTAATTATCTGATGAAATGACAACTTGTCAGAGCTTCTCACTTTTGCAACGCGAGGAGCTGTAGCAAAAATAAAAGCCCTTTTTCAGGCAAGAATGTCCCAGCCAGACCATACATTCCAATAATTCGCAAAACGTATTCTCATCTCATGTAGGGCAGATGTCGGCCCTTGAGTTATTAGCGCACTAACTCGAGGGTTGACTGAATTTTGAGCATTATGAAAACAATTAAAAGTTTACAATATATGGACAAGCTTCAACACAAAGCTGCATGTACATCACAAATGAAATTCGTAAAAAATACCCATTTTGAAGAAAATACAGAAGTAATTTCTTGAACATACACTAAGAATCACCTTCAAATGTAGAATTTCATGATCCTCCAGCACATCCATTGCCGCTATACATGGAATCCAGGTTTGAATTGTATGAAGTGTGAAAATTCGATTGTGAAAGTTTTAGAAAAAACAGCAGAGTTCTTGCAGTTCAGACTTCCTCAGGATCAAATGAAGGATTTTCATTGGTTCTTAATTAAAATTTTCCTGCCCTACAGCTATAAACTTAATCCTATTCCTGACACGTACAGGGCTCGAACTTTGTTTCTTCAATGGAGACTCAAAACCGTACGTAGTAACTACTGTATTCTCTCACACAGGGGTTGCTCATGAACCATCCATACCTGCCAAAGTATGTCAATAAACTGCTATGTATACCTGGTGTCCCCTATGGAACAGCTGCCAACTACGGTATATGTTATCCTTCCACCTCTAGTTCGGAACAGGCGCAGATACACCCAGATTATTTGCTGGGTCCATGAGTCAACAGTAAAATTAAGCTATTACTTTAAGCAAATTGCAATCTGCAGAGCTCTGAACTCTCGCACAGGATCGGATCGATCATCTATCAGTCCTTTCTCAGGGTTTCATACAATACCAAAATTGTGTAGATTATTATTTCTGTTTGTTGCAGGCACTCATACTTGCCCTGTCCCAGGCTTGGCCCTATAATGGTTGACTTCCAGGCGGAAGAATTGGGAATATCACCTTCAAAATCCATCATAGACGGCTTTGCAACTCAATAGTGAATTTTCCCACACAATGCAATATGAATCGAGGAATTGGTCTTCCCTTAACTATTTTTCCTGTCTTTGTGAAATACAGGTCAGAATGCTCACTGTACATACTTTTACAATACCCATACACACTTCAGAAGCTTAAAAGCTCAATTTTCAAACTTAAAATAGCTCGAATTAATCCAAAGGTTTGCATACTTCGCGAGTAATATTTTTTTTTTCAAGTAGTGCTGTACTCTCATCTCCCCGATTTCATAATTTTTGGCGATACTAGTGAACAAGAAACACGAGCACAGTTATTTATTTGTGGGAATGCGTCATTTTCATCAACTTATATTACAGTAATTTACTTTCGTCACGACCAGAAAAATATCATTCGAAAATGGGAAGAAACAGACTTTATCACGCACTCATTTTTATCAGGAAGGTTACAAATGTGAAATCACAGAATTCTGTTGCAGAAGTTTAAACAAACCAACTTTAAATGAAGCATCAAGCGAAACCAACTCCAGACGAGGACCATCCAGATTCCAGCTTCTCCACATCAAAATCCATGATCTCCAATCACATTTTCGTGCATATAATTTCCACGGTGAATGGATTCACTGAATACAATGATCTGCTAAATATGATCCCAAGACCCTTTACAAAATTCGAATCCCTCCATTCAGAACGGGATACCTTCAGGGTAGCTTGTCAGCATCACCGCCTACTGACACTGACAATCCACTAAAAAAGGAGAATCCAGGGCTCCAACCCCGAAAGAAACGCCACCTTCATCAACAGTGACCGGTTTAGTTCTGAGAAGGTGCCCGGCAACAATATTCGTAAAAATATCTCTCTTGCTACTGGAAAAAAAAAATCAAGATTAGCCAAGTCTATCGACAGCAGAAAACTTGAATAGGTTAAACTGAAAAACGTTTTCCATCACACGAAGAAAACTCACCCAAGCACCACACCATATATCCCGAGTTCAGAAACCACTTCAACTGGTACTGAAGAAATTGAATCACCGGGCTTCAAGATATAGTTCAATTGGGTTGGAGGGGAGATTCGATCCATCAAAATGTACGCGGATCTTTCTTTCGAATGACCCATGCGCTCAAGTTCTTTCCGCACATCAACACCATAAATGTTATTTCCCCCACCTTCCCGTTGTGGCTTCAGAACAAAGCGCTCTGGATTTTCAATCGCCATCCTAGCGCTTTGATCACCTTCTTCATCCTTCGGGGAGAAAAAAAAATCAACAATAACTTCCGAAACGGTTTTGAACGAAAACCATCTTCATGTTAATTATTGTTTCTGAACACGCTAAAACGCAGCTGCGTTCACAAATCAGCGATTTCAAGTGATTCGTCTGAGGAGTCACTATTTTCGGATGGAAACAGGGAATACTTATTGGGGACTAAAAATAGACCAAGAAACTGCAACGAAACAAATCCCTCCCTGGAAACTGAAGGTGTCTAAATTACTGTTCAGTATATCTTACGTACTATTTTAGCCAATGGGTTGAAAAAGCTACAAAATTTTGAATTAATCTGAATTTTCAGTTTTCTGGCCTATTGTTTAAATTTTACCACGTTTTTATGAACTCACTTTCTTGTCTGTCTGTTTGTCGGGATCAAATTTTGAAACTCAAATTTTACTCACTTCCAGACTAGCTAGCAAGCTGAAACTTTCAGGATAGCCTAGAAACTGATGACAATGCAATCTTTTGTGAAAAAATTAATTTTAAGAATATTTTTTTTAAAAGAATAAAATAATTATAGTAGATTTCTATAATAAAACTTTGAGCAGGTTTTCCTTGGCCCCAAGAAAAAAACCCATGGTGAACTGAATTGGTCACAGAGNCGTGGTGCGCATGGAGATTGTTGATAAGAAGTGAAATACAAATGAAATAGATGCGCACCACGTTTAAGGTTATTGTGAAACTAAAACATGAACTTTAACGAACTTACCAGGTCAAGGGAGTAAAGTCCAGTACACATGCTCAAAACCTGATCGATTTCTGCTGCATTCTCCAGGAAGCGCTCTAGATTCTGACGCTTAGAGAGAAGCTGTTGCACCTGTACATACAAAGATAAAAAATTTAGCTAATTTTTTAAAAATCAAAATTTCAGATTCGTACACCTTTTTCGTTCCCGCCAGATGAAGATTAATCGTTGGGCACTTGATCGCGAGCGACCTTTCCAACAACAGACGCGCTTCCCAGTCACCCTCACCGCTATACAAGTCCGGCATATATCCAGTGCGGAAATAAACCACAGCTATTTCTTTACCGTCGCTTCATTAAATTGGAAAAAGAAACATAATGTCCAGAAGGTCACATTAATATTACAAATTTATAGACCTCACATTTTGAGTCGTAATTCCGAAGATAGCTCTGCTCTTTCGTGAATTTCTTTCAAAGTCCTCCGCATGACTTTTATCAATGGATTCATTTTATGCAACTGGAATTGAGTAAGCCGTTGGTCACAGATGTTGTAAGTAGTTTCTTCAACGACGAACAGCACATAGGCCCTGAAACGATGCGAACCTTGACATTCAAAAGAACTTCAGCAGCATATGTACAGAATTATTCTTAGTTTTGAATGAAATTTATACTATTGTAAATAAAATATTATAATGAATCTAAATATCAATATCAAGTAGCATATGTAGCACATTTTTAATGAGAATCTATAAGTATGCTCCTCGACCCCAACAACCGCCACGTTATAAACTCATACATCACTTGCTTGGGCGCCATTTACAAGGAACGTTACTGATGCATCATTAAAGGACAAAAAACTTCATAAACATCTGGATAACTTGAAAATATGGTATGAGATGCTTTACGCATTCGAGGGAAACAGTTGGAAGTTTTGAAGCGTGGCCGGCCATTTCTTAGAAAATTAATTTCTGTATCTCCACCTTTTCCAAGACCGAACTCATTTTCTAAATTAAAAAATAATTCTAATTAAAAAATAATAATCTTCGAAAAATAAATTTCATCACTTTCTCGTCTCCCATTTAACAATACATACGATTGATATATTTGGATTTGGAAGATCGTATGTGAAGTGAATAACCATATTAATATCAGCGGGTTCAAATAAAAAAAAAAGAAGAAAAGTGCAGATCTGTTTCACAACTGTTGAATCACAGCATTTACTTGAGTAAGACACACACGACGCACCCCATTTTTTGTTGTTAAAAATTAGTTAAAAAACCCATCTCTGCTCAAGACCCGCACCCAAGTTTTTTTTTCACTGAAAAACAGAATTGTGAAATCTCCTTTGCGTGGATCCATTTTTTTCTTATCTTTATTGTCTGAGGGGGCATTTCAAATGTGCTTCTAATACTGTGTATGGCTGCTTCTTAATTAGATGAATGTTTTCCTCGTGTTTTTTTTTTTTTTGCAATCGCGTTTTCAAAGATATAAAAAATGCGACGCAACACGCGCATAACTATGTACATGGTACAATATATACAGGAATCTACAGTACTGTATTTACGCTTTCAATCGACCCACGCGTATCCAAATGTATTAAATCGCACAACAATGATACCGGACAATGCTACTTGAAAAAAAAAGCGGTCGATAGAGGAAGAATGTACTTACGTCTCCACGTTATACAATTCCCAGGCTCGGACCAAACCAACATTTACGTCACGCATGGAGGTATTCAATGGGAGCTAGAACAAGATGTGAAATGAAGGGATGTCATGCGCAGCACAAAAATGACTCGGCTCACCTGTTTCTTCTCGTCACGATGACCTAGAGACGTCATGACGAACCTGTCAGAAGAAGTGAAGAGGTGGATCAAACAGCGCAACGGAATTCCAATAATGTATAACCAAGGAGAGATTCCAAGTAAATCACAGGAAAGAAAATCCGTCACCAACAGGCCTCAAGAAACACCGAACTCACGCTTTTAAGCAGAAAGAGATTAAAAAAAAGAGAATGCAGTACAATTATTAGAACTCGACGTGGTAATACGCAAAATAATCGTGAATTTCCCCGGACACTTGAAACACATCAATGATCAACACGGACATCAGGTCGAATGAAAGCATACTTCCTTTTCGACGTAAAAAAAAACCGTCGAAATCGAGAAAAAATAAGGCCGAATCGTTGGACCAACAAGCAGGAGAGTTCGTGGTTTTGCAATGTTCGGAAAGACTTTCTAACCTGTGGGTATCACAAATTATAGAACTCAATGTGCAAAAACTGGATGATATTGTGTTGACTTCGATTTGCACAGGTTTTGGACAGGCGTCAGAAACAAGAGAGCCCGACTCCTTGATTCGATTCATCATATAATCCGAACGAAGTATTCCCAGCATAGCATCCTGGAAGAATTCCAAATCGGGAACTTCTGAACAAACGCAGAATGCAGACTTGTTCTTTACAAAACAATCATGTGAAATAGTATTTCACTATTCGATGACGATAAAATGATTGAGAATACTATTCGACCGATGCGCTCATCTCAAAAACGGATAAAAGATGTGAACCTAGTTTCGTCATTGACAGAGCTTTGGTGATCACATACATCTAATTCGATTATAGGCGAGATAGCTTTTATTTTATCAAATTTACAAATTTTGAACAGACAAAGCTTCCCGGATTTTTCTTTACACGGATTGTCTCATCTAGTTAGCGCTTGAACGCCCAGCATTGCGCGTGCGTTATGAATGCATAATACTTGATAATGGCGTTCAATTATACAGCGAAAAAGCTCATTCAGTGGTCTTGACGAATAAAAAATCAATCTCGATAAAAAATAATATAAATAATACGCATAACAACGTGATGCACGAGACAGTACGATCACGGGAAGCAATCAAGAACGATTCTCGACTAAGATCAAGGATTACAACCTTTACAGCTTTCAGTGCTGAACAAAAAGGTAACAAAAATCCTGAATAACCAACACTTCTTACGAACGTCGAGTGTTTAGTATCTCGTTACCTCCTACAGTACCCGAATTGCGGGTTACACATCACGGTTATTAACGGATAGAAGCAGATGCAAAAGAGAGAAGATTTCGAGAGATTTTCCATGTTAAATACACAACTTGTCTTCGAACAACCCATCACACGAAAATAACCGCAGCCAACACAAATTCGAAATCTCAAAATGAGTTTACCTATGGACATCTCCAATAAGCTGGGAAATGCAACCGAATCCGGAAGCAATCGTATTTAATTCGACCTGCTGCCCACAGACCGCGCGAACGCAGTTTTCACTAGTGCGTTCCAACATCAGATCGGAACGTAGTATCATTAAGCTGCTTTCCTGACGCAACGAAAGAGAACTGTGAGCATCTCATCCATAGACATGCTCATTCAATGAATGAAATATTTTTTTTAAATTCATCAGAAAAATGAAACCGAACAGGAAGAATACACGGAATGCAGTCAAAACTTACCTGAGCAATCCCTTCCTCTCGCACCGTTTCGTAGATCCTGAAAAGCTTTGCGGTGAACGTATCAACCTCAATTGTACTGGAAGTAAAATATTGCACTATACCGTATAAAAAACAGAAGAGTCAGAATTATTAACTGACCTTTGAAGAGCCATTTTCAAAAAATCGTAATCGTGTGCAACTCGAAACATCAATTTATTTAAAATCGGTTGCACAAGGTGAGCTTTTGAGAAAGCATCCCTCGGGAACGATGAGGGAAGAAGAGTGAATGGAATGACAGATATTGCATCCTCTCGAAAACCTGATTTTAGACGGATACCAGCACCTTCAAAAATAAAAAAAACACTGCATTAATGGATATAAATTCATCAGCACTGACGTGAACGCACCGTGAACCAGGGCGAAATCCCTCGCATCCTCACATACCTCTCGCAGGGTTTCTGCAGGCAAAGGAAACTCGACACAAGGCTTCGAAGTTCCACACCGACTCATTTTAGCCATGTGAATGCTTCAATTATTGGCACTAAAAAAATTCCTGGAAATGTCATGAAAACAGTCGTCAAAGGACTTCGCCGCACAATTTCAAAGAAATGAGTCCAGCGAGAAAAAAAATTATATTTCGTGCAACAAAACATCACTTCACACAATACCGAAAGCATGTGATCATCGGATTATTCGTCATGTCCCATTCATGGAACCCTCAAGCAAATTTGTGGAGAGCGTAAGGTCGTGCGATCCTAAAAGGGAGTAGCTTGGTTCATCAACACGATCCCCTGGGGCCATGGGAACACCCCGCTTGCTGGCCAAAAAAAGAAAAGAATTGACTATTCCATACAAAACCCCTGAAAGAGAAAGGGAAACATTTCAGAATGCACGAATACACCTTCAGGGATGTTCTTGAACTTACCAGATGTGGCATAAATTCCACCAACAACTGCGCACAGCCTTACGCAAAATCTGACAAGTGATTCAGATTCCTCAAAAATCTGAACTTTCACGGAAGAAAGCTCGTACTTGAAGAATATTCCCGCCATTCCATGAGATCCTTTCGAATGATCGATCTCTCGTTCTTGCTCCGTCACAGAATACTGGAATGTACTCGTACCACCCAAGTATCTTCCCATCATCTCCGTCGGCACGATTTTGATGAAATATTGATAGTTGATCATATCTACAAGACACGAGAGATCCACTTTTACCACCGAATCACTTCTAAATTTTAGAATACAGTATCTTATCGGATATTAGCTGTAATAAATCTTGAATCCGTCATTCGCGGACTTTAAAGAAGCGGCCTCAGAGGGAACAACAATCGAGATACAATTCCAAGTAATGTGAAGAGTACGAGGGATCTCAAATCTCATTTATCACTGTACAGTACTTCCTCAAGGTTTCTTCACAATTTCTGATTTTTCATAAGACACCTAGTTGAACTTTTTTTTCTCTTTTCACTTACAAATATACATATCTTACAAATTTGGCGTCGGCAAAAGCAATTACTTTAGTTAGGAAAAACTGGTTCTATGATCCAGAGCCAAGAGTTTTAAGCCACCACAATAAATGAAACCGTTTCACGTTCAAACAATTACAGGTGAAAAATGAATAGAAGAATATAACACCCAGGGAATTCACTTTTTCAGGGTTTACGGAAAAATTATACCAAGGCTTTTAACAGAATTTAGAAGACCAAGACAGGGTAAAGAACAATATCGCTTCGATTTTGTCTCAAGACAAGCAAATGAAGATCTTGGAAAGAAAATTACAAGACCTTGAATATCGCACCTTGAATTAATTTTGTCCGTAAGCGAAACCACTCGAAGTATCAGAAACTCCGGCAGTGTAGAGACGGACCTCAGAGGAAATAATAACCGACAATACTTGACTCTCCTCAATAAATACTGTAGTACATTGAATTTATTTTTACTGTACATTGAAAGTTTCGATTGCGAACAGTTGCTGACTAAAGATTCAACAGAAAAAGCAATTTCAACCCACCAATTTGCGCAATCCGCTCATCACCATCTAAAGGGTTTATTATCCCAATGGCGGGCTCTCCAAATGAAAAATGGTTAATTCTATGAGAAAAATTCATAGGCCCCATCATGCCAATGTGCGCGTGCCCATGGGCAATGGGTAACACTTTTCCTTGTATTATGTGCAGATTTCCGTCTATTTTGTTGACCGATAAGGATCCGTGGAAACGGCAAGCGTCGGGTGGGTGATTCGGGATTTCATTTCTAGAAAAAGACGCAAAATATGAATGTAAAGAAATGGAAGAAATACTGAATAAAAGGAAAATATCTCACTTCGATCGCTTCGGGATACCACCGAACATCTGCTGAAACCTCGATTTGAAAAGAACTTCCGCGAGAGAATGGTAATCCTGGCGTAGATACAGGTTTACGTGACGCATGTTTTCGAAATGTTCCTCTTGCAGACGTGTCATCTCGAACCAAGTGTCTTCCTCTTCTAACGACCCGAAGGTCGGAATCGTATTCTTCGATATATCCAGCACATCAGCGCCAATAACTGCCACACAAATGTTCTCATTCAATCCAAAAAATCCTTCACAGGGCTCAGAACTCACAGCGACACGGTGTCGCTACCGTGATATCCAAATTGATCGTCATCTTCGCATCGGACACGTCATCATCAGGCACGAATTTGAATTTTATCTCAGAATCATACAAAAACTGCCACACTTCCGAAGCAACGAACCATAGCATCACAGCAAACGTAATAATTGACACTAGAAAAAATTAAATCGATTACTTTTTCTCAATCCTGTCGATACAATTCACTATTCTTCACCAGTTCCTCCAGATCGCGAAGTTTCGGTGTATTCTTCGGGTACTTTGGTGAATGCATCCAATTCTTTGAAGACTTTCGCAAGTGGCTTCTTCCGATTTCGTAACATATTCCGAAGTAGTTCCCCCTCCCCTACACGAACAAATCCAATGCATAATTCTGTCAGAATATTACTCATCGAATTCACACAGGACTATTGAAACTTCCGCATCCAATGGTGGAAACATTTTTTGTTCGTTCATTTCACAAAGAATGATCATATCATGGGCTAAAACTGGAGCCGACATAATTCGATGATTTCAGGATACTCTGCATTACATCGTTAACATTGAAGAGCAGGGGAAATTACAAGGGACGGAATATCACATCAATAACGCTCTCAGAGCAAAATGAAAAGGTCGACAATTTGACGAGTCATTCGTGGTATGGTATCGTATGAAAATTTGCTGAAGTACGTTGCAAAATGCATGCTTTACGCAAGAGCGAATCAATCGATACGTATGACGATATCGTCTGCGCAAAACGGCAAGTGAACCTTGAACTGGAAACCATCCAGACTAGAACAAACAAATTTGGAATGTTAGTAAACTGGGATTTGGTTCAGGCATTTCTCGCGATGTAAAGCTCTGGTGCACTCGAGCAGTTGAAACCTCCAAGTTTTTCAAAATTCGCAGCCAAATATCTAAAAAAAATGAAGCCGATTAACGCATTAGACACACTTCTTCGTCAATACAACTACTCACTCCAGGAGTTCTCGCATGGATGAAACGTAAGACTCCATACAACCTTGATCCAAACTGGTGTACGCCAAAAGCTGACCAATTTTTGCTGACAACAGAAGGCAAAAAATCAAAACCTATACTCAACTCGTGATCGAACCGTTTTCCTTACTGAACATTCGTGTGAAGTGAACAATCCCGTAGATATCGCACACTTTGCAATCTTGATGTAGCTCTTTCATCTAAGAAGTTGAAGTGTTCGTTTTTAGAAAAAGAGTGAACAAGGAACTATCTTATCCAATGACGCTGTCTAAATTGCAGATGAAAACTAATCTTTACTTACTGATTCGAAGTGTGGCTTTTCGAACTCGTACAATAAGTGATTTGGGAGCATCATATTGAAATACTGCTTCAAGCTTGACATCAAATCTCGCCTTCGATTCCTGACAACATAAAACAATGCAGTTACAGTACATACATTACAAGAATAGAATTAAGATTTCAACTTGTAATCGTACTTACTTCTTATCACCGGACGCGGAAGTTTCATGCTTATCCCATGAATCCAGTATGTTAACGACAGCTTGATTTCCTGCATGAGAATATAACTGCGAAGGAAAATTTACCCACGGGTTCAACAATGACGAAGAAGTCAATGAACTAATCACCATGTGTTCCTTGTTAACGAGCTCCCAGTCCCTATAAAGCATTGTCTTCAGAGTGGCAGGAAGCGGGATTTCCACCTCAACGATATTTAGCCATTGCTCCTCCTGTTTCAAGAGCAACGAAGACGAGTTGCGAATACAGCATTTCCTAAACTTCAAAATACTCACGTCTTCTTTCGTCGGTTGTAAACTACGCTTGCGATTCTGTTTTACACCGGAGTCCTTCGATAACTTCAATTTTTTGCATTCGTCATCAGCTGAACAAGATACAACCGAAACTCTGGATAGTGGATTAGAGTCGACTTTCGATAATGCGGCCTCGCGTCTCGTCAATCCACGAGTATTTCCCGTCGGACCACTCAACAACCCATTCGATTTGCCTATCTTCCCTTTTTTCAACATTTCTGGGCGCCAATGATCTCTTTCCTTGGCAGCACCGTCCCGTTTTTTGTCTCCGAGGAAAAAAGGCGGCGCTCGACGGATCTTACTAGAATGGAAGTAAGACCCAGATATAGGCATTTAAAAAACAAAAATGGTTCACGAATTAACCCAAGGATTTTTTGTTGATCGCTGAGGCACTTCTGTCGCTCCAAGTTCTCATCAGTGAATTTCAAGACGTGAAGTTCTGGAACCCATTCATCATACCTACACGGAAAAATCGAACGTAAACTTTCTAAAAATCGATATTAGAGGGAAATAATTACTTCTTTTTCCATCCAGTGTAATGTACGAAAAATGTCGATGAGTCCGCATCAGATATCTTCAGTATCTTCGCTTCATAAATTAGACTGCCTTGAAAGCACAATACTTTCTCTCCTGCAAACACAATGAACACAGAGGTTGAAAACATTCGTGACAAACTTAAAACATTTGAAAAACACTCACCTTCAGTGAAATTGGATTTTCCTCTGTTCGATGGTTTCATTTTTGGGTACACAAGACGATAAATTTACAATGAGTAAATGAAACACCAACGAGAACAGCAGCATCGCGCATCAAAAGTGGTACATCTGAGGCATTCGATTGTGACTGAGCCTTCGAGAGATTTTGAGGAAACTTGAAAAATCGTAAATGCATTCTGACCACAGAAAAAAAAAAGAGTAACGAGAACTAGAATTCTGAACCCAAACTAAGCTTTGTTATATTAACACACGCACACCGTGAATTCGAACAGGTGTTACATAGACGCATGCCTCTTCTTTTCCGGCCGTTCTCCTTTCCGAGCTAAGTTTCACATGCATCACATACAGTACTTGCATCACGGAATGCACAACAGTATTTTGATTCAAACTCGTAATTTTCCCTGTACGTTCTGCAATCGACGGTTACGATGATTGTACGACGGCAAATAAGAATTAGGAATGGAGTCACCTTCACCGATAACCACGTGCACCTTCACCGAAGTATTCCGATACGATTAAGCTTCAAATCTTCTTTGAGGAACATCGATGTCCAATCTAGTTAGGCTCTGCGCCCGCGGAGATGAAAGATCTCGTCGCTAGACCGCCTGTTCGGAACATGTAATGTCTTGCAGAACTCTAGATGGGAGCCACGGCCTATCCCAAACGCTGAATTCGCAGTAGACATGCGGCTGCAAGAGAAAATTAGCAAAAAAAAAGATGCATGTAAGAACTCATGGCTAAAGGTTACTTCAAGAATATTATTTTGACAAACCGTCGTATGATTCCACGCTGGAGTGCCTCCAGATCCCGTTGCAACATCGTCTGCGTGTGCAAATTCGGTCTTGAATGTATATCGCATTCCAGCGACAACCTTCAAGATAGAAGGTACAGTACATATTCAAGCGTCAGTTGGAGAATTAAAGGAATGCAAAGTATTTCAGGACCAGGGCAATTGAGATTAATCTTTTTGCCACTCAAAAAATCACGCGCTGAAATCAAACCTGCTTGGTGACGCTCAATACATTGAAAATCTTCTTCGAGTGCAGACTATCGGTTTGTTGAACAAGTTCACCTTCGGCCCAGCCAAGGATCTCTTTCACAGCTTCATCATCGACGCTCGCTTGAGACGGCCCACCGACAATCGCTGGCTGTTTTGAACCTTCTTGCACACTTGCCTGTTGAAAACATAACTCTCACTATTGATTTGAACAAATATACAGCCAAAACTACCTCACCACAGAGGTAATAAGGCATACACAAGCTCCGAAGACGATGTAACTCACCATGATGTATTCCTGTAATATAAATCACTGTACTAATAAGTTTCCCTGACCATCAGCCAATCCTACAGAGTTAGAAGGTACCTCTCAACCTCGTTCCGTACCCTGAGCCAGCAATATGGCACGCAAACTTGCAAGCTGATTTGAAAATACAGTAATACCGTAAGGGTAAATCTAGTACAGTATTACAATACAGTACCTGTAGTCACTTCGTCTCACGTACAGGAAGCACTAACGACATAGGCAACACACAAACACACGACGAAAATACAGTTGCACAAGAGTTACGTCATGGTCACATCGTCGTATGTGATATCTGAATCTGGTCCTTAGATCGCTTCTTACGTCGGATTGTCCACTGATCGCCGCTCCTATGAGCATATCCGCTCTTCGGTCATCGCTACAGGTTCGGCAATGCTAGACTAGATGTCGCTGTAATAATCGTAAGTGGGACTTGCAAGGGGGGCCCGGTGAGGCACATTCTCGCCGGAGCCGGATCGCACGCCATCAGAACTCCTCACCCCTGCGCTCCCCATCCCCTCACAACCAGCACCCAACACTCTCTCTCCTGCGGTTGTGCATGAGTGACTTCAAGAATTGGGAATACATCTTTTATTCAGGAATGAGTGTAGCAGGTATACTAACTACAGTCAAAAACATAACCTGACCTAACCAAACTTTACCTAACCACCTCCCAAAATCAGTTTCAGCAGAATGCAGAAAATAAAATTCACAGTTTCTGGTGGGTTCTTGTGATTATGAACTTGTCCTGAAGATTTGTCGGTGAGGCACATTCTCGCCGGAGCCGGATCGCACGCCATCAGAACTCCTCACCCCTGTGCTCCCCATCCCCTCACAACCAGCACCCAACACTCTCTCTCCTGCGGTTGTGCATGAGTGACTTCAAGAATTGGGAATACATCTTTTATTCAGGAATGAGTGTAGCAGGTATACTAACTACAGTCAAAAGAAAAAATTATTTGTCCATATATTTGTGAAATGATAAGATGGGTTGCTCCATAGGTTTTTCAAATGTGAAACATATTCAAGTTTTCAATTCATTTTTTTTTTCAAATTTGCTGAATTTCAAAGCAAACTGGTTGTCTCTGAAGTGTCCTATAAAGAATCAAATGTGTCTTTGTAGTGAAAGGGATTCAACAGAATGATTGAGGTGCTTAGACTGTTCATATTGAAAAATTATCATTGATAACTTGTTCCAGTGGGAGTCTTGACTCAAAATCATTCTTCAATAGGGATTGCCTGAATGCAACACAAAGTCATTTGATGTGTTGTTCCAGCTCTTCAACAAGTGCTTCCTTGGCCAAGTGAGAGTCATGGAAAGAAGCCGAGGTTGGTGGAAGAATGAACTCAAGTTTGTTTTTAGGTGTTATGAGAATAGATTGGAACTCAAGGAGGATGCAGCATAGGAACAAAGAAATCTGTTTTTTATTCTTGAAGTTCTCGATAGTCCTAATTGATGGAAATGGTTCAGTTTCCATGAACCATCCAGTTGTTTTTTGATAATTTTTTGTGCTTGTGTGGAATCTCAGTTTTTTTACGAGTTCATTCTTGTCTCCCTTAACTTTTGTAATTGACCTAAAGATTCTATGTTAAATTTGAAACAGTGCTCTTGAATGCCGTGTCAGCACTTGCCTAAAACTTTCAGCCGTTCCTTCACATGGTTTTTGCTGCTGACGATGTTTGTTATTTTATGTGAAACAATGTATTTTTAGTGGAGAATCCAACTTTTATAACACCGCATCTATTCAGCGGAAATTATTTCCCCAGCAGTCGATTTTGTGTGCTATTTTTGTTACTGCTGATTTTATCTCATTCCTGGAGATTATTTTACAAAAATGTTATCCTATTTTACCCAAGTTTCTGGAAAGGCAACTTTTATGAGTGCAAGCTTCTCTGTTTGCTTGCTCCAATTCCAGATTGAGCTTCTCCGCAAATATTTTTACTTCAATGAAGCAAGATAAAATAATCTCGGGCAGATTGATACAGTATTTGTTTCATTCCTATACAGTACTAATTTTCTTGACGCTGAGCACAAGGACAGTCCGAGTATTTGCAGAGATCTGAGCAATCCACTACTTTCATGGTGGATCTGTATACTGTACTTCAGATGTTTTCCCAAAGGGGCTCAAGTGTTTTTTGCTCAGCATGCTTAGATATTAGGGATGTAATTCTTGCTTAGACTACGACTTTTAGAAGCAGGCTGGACAGGCAATGCATGTTGCTGCTAGAAATGCAGGGATATACAGTAGTAGGAAAAAGTATTTTTGAAGTAAAGTAATTAATTGCTCAGTAATACTGGATCTTTCAGGGATATTTCCATACTTCCAATCCGTGATCTGTGCCCTTTCCCAAAGGGGGGACTTCGTCCCCGTCAAGGAAGATTCCACCCCTCATTTACCTGCAGGATACAGCCTCATAAAACTGAAAAAAGTAGCCCTTTCCTCTCGCGGTCAGCGGGGCATTTTTTCCCAGAATTCGGAATTTTTCATCCCTGCATCCTGGGGACGCAGGACATCCTTATTCCCCATGACTTGCACAGCACAAATTTGCATGGCAAGACATTTCAGCAGCAGCAAAAAAAAAAAAAAAATATATATATACAGTGGTGCCTCACCTAACAACCACAATTTGTTCCTGATGAGCTGTGGTTGTTTGGTGAAACAGTCGTAGGGTGGATCATGTTTTCCCTTAAGGATCAATGTGAAACTAAATAATTGGTTCCTGAGAAAAAAAATTCTGGCAGAAAAATGTAAAAATTTGCCTAAATTGTCAAATAACAAGGCACAGATCCTTGAGAACACTGCCATAGTACATTCAAATTCTTTTCTCATTAAATTGCCTTGCTATCTTTTGAAAATTAACCCACAAAATTAATAGCAATTGTACCCCATGCATATGCAACATCTATGAGTTATGCAGGAATCAATCTTTCTGCATAACTAGCATAGATGTCACTTTTGCATAAGGTACATCAAGCAATTTCAGGCCTAGAATATCACCAATTAGAATTTCCTTCCATTCTTTCTCACTTTCCCTTAACAAAAATGCTTGAGAAACAACCATTTTTGTTGAGAAGAAGAAGCAAAAGCATTAAAAAAAATTCTTCTATGAAAATTAGTTCAAGGGAAGGCCAGAAAATGTTTGCTAGGTGGGCAAATCCAATTTTGATTTTAATTGTTTTATCTTGCCAGGAATTGCATTTCTAACTCATTTTGTACATTTTTTTAGAGAATCAAGTGAGAAAGAAAGTGAATGAATTTCCTGACAGATGGAATCTGTCTTTTGTTTTTTGTCTTTCTTTGGAACCCTCCTTAATTTCACTATTATCTTCACTTTGTTTTTCACTTAATTCTCTGAAAGCATGTAAAACATAAGTTAGTAGGGCATTTGGTGGTGGAAAAAAAATTTCTTGGCAAAATCCGGATTGTGGGCTTATTGACAAATGGTCATATGGTGGGACAATGGTCGTTGGGTGGGACATTTTTTAAGGTTTCTGATGGTCGTATACGATGGATCTGTTGTTGGGCGGTGCAGTCGTTTGGCAAGGCACCACTGTATTGTCAAAATTTGCCGGACATTGTAAGTCCAGCAAAATCTCAAAGGAACAAGTTGTGTAAAATCTAGAATAATTCTGTTTTTCCATTAATTGTTATTTTTTACCATTTTCTTGTCTAATATTTGATGGAACTAAAACAAAACACCTCCATGTATATCCCAATTTGTTTCTGCATTCATATTTTGTTTCCAAAATGAATTTTCTTGCTGTGCTCTGTACTTTTCCTGACTTGCAGCAGGCTGACTTTCATCAGGCTACATGATGGAGAGGTCAGGCGGGGAAACAATGAAATCCTTGTGAGATAACTGTAAGGTCATTCTTTTCTTGTTACCTATTGTATTCAAGCAACCCACCTTATTTCAGCAAGGTTTGGTCTTATAGATTGTTTTAGCAAAATTTTGGATGGATGGGTGGCGTCTGTTTTTGAATTATGTCCCAGAAAAATGAAGAATCCAAAAAATCGCCCTGGCCTTGATGTCTGCACGCAGAGTCAGGGAGCCAAGCAAACGGGTGACTCTTCTTTGTCCTCCCCCTCAGAACAGGATGTCTGGCATTCCACACTTGATCAATTTTTCAGAGTGATATTTTCAATATTTATTCAATAAGTTTTGTTGTAAAGCAGATAAAAGAAAATATATTTTGCCTTGAAGCGCCTGAGTACTGAGCAAGTGCACCGACTGAGTCAGCTGACACATCAGTGCAATTCAAAAGAAAGGGTGTGCTAAAAAAATTCGCGATAGTTCTGGTTGCAGCAAGTAACAATGCACAAAAGTAGGCAGTACTGCACTTCTGTTTTTAATTTATTTGTTACAAATCTCTTGGCATAGAAGTCAGAAAGTGTTGCCAGCATGAAACTTCGTGATTGTTAATAAAAAAATGCACAAACAACTTCAAATACAATGGAATCGTGGAATTTGGAATATTACGCAGAATTCAAGGATTTTGAGCAGATTCATGGCAAAGAGCCACGACAGATAATTAGAGGCAAAGAAAAATGCGCAATCTTCATATTGTAGAAATTACAATTTAGAAGAAGTTTCTAAATATTTCAATGATACAGTTGAGTCTGTGAAATTTTTGCATTTTATAATGGAATATTGAATACATTTTACTTGGAAAATTAGAGCAAAGCTCACGGGACTATAATTTCCCCATATGACGTACTGTTTCTCTCTTTCATAGTAAAATCAAGAATCGCAAGAAAAAATTGACCTAGGTAGATTCAAGAACCCAATGAGAGAGTATAGTTGTGCCTAAATTTAGAATGGAAAATACACAACGTCGCGTAGCCAGAGTGATGTCTTTACCAAAGGGGAAACTCACTCCAGTCAAATCAAAACTGAACAAACAAGATTCAGTTCCTCTCTGCTGGAAATACGTCCTTCTAGAAACAAGGAAAAAATGATGAAATTTATGCCAGCTGTGCTTGAGCATCAAACCATTGATGTGCTTGGCTGCAAAGCAGAAATGCATGCATTCAATGAAAAAATAAATCACAATATCTTATTCTTCATTTATCTCTTGTTTTTCAAGAGGAAAAATGATCAAAGGCTATGAAATGTGTGAGGTTGATATTCCTTCCCTTTTCCTTTTCACTGTATGTTTGACAAATTCCTCATATAGCTGCGCAGAAACTTGTTACACTGCATGAAAATGTTTGAGGTTGATTGGTTTTGAAATGCTTGTCTGCTAACTAAGCAATGTTTACATTCAGCGTGGAATTATTTTTGTAGACAATTTACATCATGATTTCATTGGTTCTCAAATGGATTTTGAATGAATCAGCGCTGGCAAGTTTAGGGGGACAAATTTGCTACAGTGTATTTTTAAATAGGGCAAGCATTTGTATACAGACCTCAAAATAGTTCCAGAACCTAAGGTTTTTAAGCTGTTATACAACTACAGTACTGTGGTAATGAGGAATATTTGTCCAAATTTTTTGGGCTACAATAAGTCAATATAACCTCAATCCACTGATATTCAATGACAGGCAGAGCATGTGTGTATGGCATGATCAATCATCTTCAAAAGGACAAACCATCATATATATACTGTACAGCAAAATTTTGTCACAATAAATTTTTCAGTTCTCTCAAGTTTTGCATGGTATAGAAAGCCCAGAGTATCGTACATGTTAAGACAATCTTATGACGAACTTGTTTGGGAATGTTTAATAGATTCTCCATGCAGGTAAAAGTTTCTTGACTAAAGCAGCTGAAGTTTGAAATTTGCAATCCCAAATTTGATTCACCAGTTCCGTATCAGCATGGCTGGAAATGGTAATCCATGAAAAACATGCATGCTTACAAGTTGGTTCCATACACCATCCTGAGGGCTTCCAAATGAAGAGATTGATGGAATACATGATTGCATACCTGGTGTCGCAGTAGTCCTGTGACACCGCTCACTGCACTGTAAACGCAAACCCTCAAGTCTGTCACTAGTGTGCGTGAAAGAGAGAGTGATGAGGATAGGGAGTGAGGGGATGGGGGGTGCAGTGGCGCGGAATTTCCCTGGCGTGGCTTCCTTCTCCAACAAGAGTTACGTCATGGTCACATCGTCGTATGTGATATCTGAATCTGGTCCTTAGATCGCTTCTTACGTCGGATTGTCCACTGATCGCCGCTCCTATGAGCATATCCGCTCTTCGGTCATCGCTACTGGTTCGGCAATGCTAGACTAGATGTCGCTGTAATAATCGTAAGTGGGACTTGCAAGGGGGGCCCCTACAAACCACAGAACTCGCCCGCGGATAACTAGCCCCCCTGCCCCCTGCGCTAGGCGTCCGCCTCCCAGTCTTTCCTTGGGTCGCACCCAGTCTTTCCTTGGGTGACTCCCTGGAGGGTGGGTGCCTCCCTGGATTTTCCTTGCATTAAAATATACACATTTAAAATATACATATGCATTAAAATATTTTATGCATTAAAATATTTTATGCATTAAAATATTTTAAGCATTAAAATATTTAAAGCCTTAAAAATATTCAAAGCATTAAAATATTCAACAGGAGCTGATCCCCATGGGGGGTATCCTTAACAGCAACATATATATTTAACTACAGTACAAGAAACCTCGTTACTCCGTCAACTCACCCATCCAGGATGCAAGGGGACCACCCTCTTCCGAGGAGAGGCGGACGAGAGTTCCCCGAAAAGACATTCCGACTTTAGACTTTGACCTGAAGACTCTCAATTGTTCGGGCTGTGATTAACTGTGTTTTGTGATGCTGTGTCGTCTGCGGAGTATGACTTGAAATAAAACTCTGCCTAATTCGTGACGCAACTCGAGGACTACAGTTATTGTAATTCCTATTCTTCGGACGTCGAATAATAGTTAGACACTGTACTGAGCTTTTGTTCGGCTACGATCATATTCCTCGACGTGGTCCAGAGATGAGTTATTGTAGGCTTGGGAAAATTTGACACGTTTTAATTTCTTCGTTCGCAGTTCGTAAAAGCTGGTAGTGACGGTAGCAATATACGGTTGGGGTTGGCCCTTTCCTTCTTCAGAGCCATTCTCTGTGTGCTTTGGGAATTTTTGCATGACGGGCGTCCGCTGTTATCCATCAAACTGAGCTGTCTTCTCATCCCTGGTCCGCGGCTAATTGCCTGTTCACATTTGAAAGTGGGGCGATTCATGTGGTACTGCTGTACTCGAAAAGTGTGCCCAACTCTTTTAATTACTTCGCTGTACTGGGAAACGTTTACTATGCCTGTGATTCTGATATCTCTCTTTACTAGAAGTTTTTCGTAAAAGCGGGTGAAAATGACGAATCCGAAAGGTTACAGGCGCGGAACGCGCTACATGTTTTCACGTGACTTTCGTAAGAAAGGTTACATCCCTCTTTCCACGTATATGCAAGTTTACAAAGTTGGAGACATCGTCGATATCAAGGTTGTATTTTTCTCAATTGTCTGCAGAAATTATACTAATTTTCATGAGGTTCATTCTTAGGGTTGTGGTGCCGTAACAAAGGGAATGCCCCACAAGTCTTACCACGGGAAGACGGGACGAGTCTTCAACGTTACGCAACATGCCTTGGGGGTCATTGTCAACAAGCGTGTGCGAGGAAAGGTTTTACCAAAAAGGTGAGCGCTTTACTTTCCATGCATCTGGGGTTGATTATTATTGTCCGGCTTTTTTCGAGCAGAATAAACATTCGAATTGAACATGTGAAACACTCTCAATGTCGCAAAGACTTCCTTGATCGCGTGAAGACGAACGAAGCCAAAAAGCGCGAAGCTCGAGAGAAAGGTATTCGTGTCCAGCTCAAGCGACAGGTGAGGCTTTTCGATCTTCGTCTGGTTGATTTCGTGACTGATGTGAAGTGCTTTCCAGCCTGTTGGTCCCCGACCCGGACACTTCGTTTCGACGAAAGACAACACTCCTGAGCTCGTTCAACCGATACCTTACGAATTTATTGCCTGAGTGTTTCGCTTGTGAAAGTCGGATCCGCCTTGTTTTCGGGTTTCAGAGTGCAGTAAACGCTGCTTCTTGCGAATGTCTGGAAACTTAGCTTCGAGTACTTTCGTGTGAGGCGAGTTTAATTTTCTGAACTTTATGTTATGTTATAAGGGAAGAAATTGGTGCTGACTGGGCCTTGTGATATGGGTCGGACGGTCAGCAAGCGATCGCCAATGTACAAGTGGCTCTTCCCGCGAATTTTAGAGGATGTGCAGCTGGCGAAGCTGTCGGACCATAAGTACAGTTCGGCCAGTAACAGCATTCTAGACCCTTACATGAATGTATTCTGGAATTGGCTTGTTACGAAGGTGCCCCTCTGGGTTGCTCCAAACCTCATCACCATAACAGGATTAATCATAAATATCGTCACCTCTGTAGTACTTATGTACTACGCGCCTCTTGCCAAGGAATGCGTGAGTAAAAACTTCGAGTCGGAATAACTTCCAGGTGCATTTTTTGTTGATATTGCACTCGCAGGCTCCGAGATGGGCGTACTTCTGCTGCGGAATGGGATTGTTCATTTACCAAAGTTTGGATGCTATTGATGGCAAGCAGGCACGGCGGACCGAATCTTCCAGTCCACTGGGAGAGATGTTCGACCACGGTTGTGATTCCGTTTCCACTGGTGAATACGAATTTTTCGAGATTTTCTGCGGGGTTTTTGATCATCGTCCGCGATTAGTTTTTGTAAGTCTAGCAGCATGCATCGCTTGTCGGCTCGGGATGCATCCAAACTGGCTGTTTTTTCAAACTCTTACTGCCGTGACCCTGTTTTATTGCTCACATTGGCAAACGTACGTTTCAGGTAAGTGAACAACTGGTTGGTCTCCTGTCAATTTGAGATTGTTGGAATTTTTAATTTTTTTAGGAACGTTGAAATTTGGAAAGATTGATGTGACAGAAGCCCAAGTTGGTATCATGTCTATTCATATGATCAGCAGTTTCCTGGGCCCTGAAATCTGGGACTTGAAGGTATTGTGGACCAATATTTATACTTATTGGGGGTGAAGTGATTTCCTGAGGTAATGTCTTGCTTGCAGCTCAAGCGGCTCTATGAGTTTTATCGCTTGAGCTGCGAGTTCGATAATATCCGAAAATGGAAAATGTGCGTGAGAGAAAGCCTTTGGGCTTAGGTATGAGACCAAAATTGCAGATGCCTTTTGTTGGTGTTCCGTTGAAATTTGGTCCAGTCGCGATGTCGTGCGTGTCTGCTGCACTGTTCTACTATGCGACGTTCTCAACTATTTTTGCGGGCGGCGTTGGCAAGAACGGTTCTACAGTGGCAGTGAGTTAACGAGAACCACATTAGGCTCCCCTTTTTATTTTGGTGGTGGATGCAACCTGATGCCTTTTCCTGTGCTAATGACTAATCAACTGGCTTGCATTGCTTGATTGGTTTAACGTGCTGCTCCTGAAGATAATCTGATCTCAGCGCGTGATCGGATTCGTGAATTTTATCGCTCGCCCTGTGAAGTGAAGTGCGTTTAGGTGAAGAAAAGACTAGTTTTGAGTGGGCGTTGGTTTATTGCGTAGATTCCATTGATCGGAGTCGACTTCAGCATGTCCTATGGGATTTTAGCGTTCTCGCTCGAGTTCCTGGCTGGGATCGGCTACTTCAACACAATACTCTGTGGAGGTGTGGGGAAGAACGGGTCCACTGTTGCTGTGAGTTTCAGAAGAAGATAAAATAAATTGTTAAATGTTGGGAGAATCTTGAGTTAATGATGCAGACTTTTTATCTTTGAGTTCACTTTGCAGGGAAGGGTGATTTCAGGGGTGGAAGCTGCTGTTGGTTGAACTTGGGTTTAATGTTATGCATGCTATTTGGCTTATGTTGCTTGCTTGCTTTGAATTTTTGTGCCCGTAGTTCGTTGAAAAGTAATTCTTGTTGATGGTTTACGTTCGGATATTTTCAGGGCACAAGCGTCCTATCGCCATTTCTTCCGATCGCCATGGTCGTGATTCCTGGATTCATCATTAGCCAGAAAAGCGAATCAAGAATATTCGAACATCACCCTTGCCTTTACTTGGCTACGTTCGGCATTGTAGCCGCAAAGATAACCAACAAACTCGTGGTGAGTGTACTGTACTGAATATCTGTTCGGAAAAAAGATAAATTTTTCAAATACAGTACAGTATTATAAAAAATCGTTATGTGCTGTTCGTGTCTGATTCCTCAAATTCTGTATATTCCAATAATCATAGAAGGTTTTATACAAAGGTTATGTTTCCAGACCTGCGTAATTACAATATTTCTGAAATTGAAACCGTTTTAGACGGTTGATAATTCATCATTCTCACGCATATGTTCAATGCTGACTCTCCTTTTGAAATGGAGACAGAGTTAGTAACTCTTCATTCCCGCGTCGAGCTAAGGTTTACGCACCGCACCTGCGCGCTTCATTCATTCGTGGGTGGTCTTCATGCTTCTGGATGTTTTAAACAAATATAAAACCAATGAATCGAGGTAGCCTTATAATGACCGTTATGTGCCAATGATAATTTTGCCCTGATTCTCTTCATCGCGGGTTTTGTGGTCTATTCAATGCCCCAGTTCAATGGTATTCACGGCAAATCAGAAGATACTTGCAACCTCGGTACTGATCACAAGATATTTTCTCAGAAGTTATAAGTGTCATTTAGGTGTATGAACAGCGACGTCGTAATGTTGACGGGCTGAAGTACATTAATTTGAAGAAAAGCTTTATCTAGTCTGAACATCATCGGTCCCGTGATTCGAATTAATGTACTTTTTTTGCAAAACAATTGATGACAGTTTGATGCACATTTTAGATCGAATTATGAATTGACGTAACATTTTATTGTTGATTCGTGTCTATAAGGTTGCCCATATGACGAAGCATGAGATGACTTTCATGGATTCCGCGTATATCGGACCAGCAATGCTGTTTCTAAATCAATACTTTGACTTCTACATCCCGGAGGTGTATGTTTTGTGGTTGGCTTTGGTGAGTGCATAGAAATGTTAGTGAGAAAATGTCAATCGTTGATTTACTTCCGTTTTCCTTCAGATTTGGAGCGTGTTTGATTTGATCAAGTATAGCGCACAGGTTTGCTTGGAAATCTGCGATCATATGGGAATATTCCTGTTCAAGATAAAACCGAAGGGGGACGGAGTGGAGCCCGTGGTGGCCCGACAGAGCAACGGTATGTCGCAGCGGGCTGCGGCGCCGCGGACACCGTCGGGCATGTCTGTCGTGTCGTCCGCGTCCACTAATTACCAAACAGCTGGTGGCGGGTATTCTTCGTCGTCATCATCGTCTCCTTCACCTCAGCAGCCGCCAGCCCGGCGACTCACCCGCAGTCGAGTGGCCAAAACCTGACGATTGCGAACGGCTCGTGAACAAGAGCATTTACGATGGCTCCCTGTTCTGTTTTTTATTATTTAATTATATCCTGGGAAGTGGATGGCTCGTTTTGGGTGCTGAAAAATGGGGGCCGTGTCTTCACGTCTTCGCCTGTTCCGTAGCCGGCGGAACTTCGAACTGTATACGTTTTGAAACGTGCTCAGATCGAAGAAAACGGCTTGAACTGATTGGCCGTTGGTGCAAGCGTTAAGAACGACTCGACATTTGGAAAGTTTTATTTTGAAGAGATCGACGGGTGGGTGGGGAAACCCTTCGAGAAGTTTAGGCGTCCATTTTTTGTGTGGATGGCGGCGTAGTATTCTTCTTGAAGCTTTGTAACCTGAGAAGGGGAATGTGTTGAATAAACTTGAATGAGCCCTGGGAACTAAATGCTTCTTCATCTTTCGTTACAGCTTTACATTGCATGGATATCGTTCGCATGCATATTATAGGTCATAGTTTTTTTCGGAGCGAAGTACTGTATTCAAAAGGCTATGTTGGGAAGTACAAACAAATTTCTTGAGCAACGTGAGCGATTTGCTTTGCAGGTGACGATTTTGGGAAAACTGATCGGCGTCTCGCGGTTCTCAGGGACTCATTGAAACCCTCGCCTTCGAAAGAATCTTTCCAGGTGATCACACTGAGATAATGTACCAAAGCTATGATCATGTGAATTCTTCGTGTAAAGGCATTGTGTGTTCATTGAATCTGTATGCACCATATGGAAAGACTGTATTATTCGATTTTTAATTCAATTTGAAATTGTTACCGACGCATCAGAAATGCATCTGAAAAAATCGAGGAAAAGAGTGTTCTTCGAACCGAGCTTTAAGGATTACTTCTTCGTTGTGTGCAGACTGGTGCATTCTTTCCTATATGGATGACACATGTAAGCAACCAGCTTTTGAAAACTTACCCCGAAATCTGCGTCTCTGCTGATGGAGTCCAGCGAGGGCGGACGATTCATTTGCGAGAAGTTTTCGGCAAAAATTGGACCACTTTTAGATACATGTTCGGAATTTTTTAAACTAGAATTGAGAAACTCGGAAAATTTAGAAAGCCTTTTACTGTATCATGAAAAGTGTCAGTCTTGCGCAAGGATCAGTTTGCCCATATGGTATTTCTCACGCGTGGATTGCTTTTCCGGTATGTGAGAAATCCGTGAGCCAAACGGACAAAATTCTAGATACATTTTGTGTACGTTAAATCAAATTTAATGAAAATTGAGCGCATCATTCTAGCTGACATCAAAACCCTGGGACAAATAATTTTCCCACATACGAGTATATCTGTACTGTACTGTGTATGTATATCACACTACCGCTGTATCATTGATGTTTTTGTCTTTTTCATTAAGGGTTCGTTCTGTGGGGTTCTCTGTAACTGTGTGTACATTCTAATGTATTTTTCCATCAAGTACTGTACATTATTGCCTATGGAGTTGGCAGCAATGGCTATCTTTCAGTATGCACAACTAGTCAATGTGGTTACGGGCATAGCAACAACACGTATACTATTATATACGGTACATGGTTTTCCAGCAATAAGTATCGTTGCATTATACTGCACAGAAAATGTCGTTGCATACAATTAATATACTGTACTGCGGTTCCTGTCATGCAAATATGGCAAGTCCAAAGATATAGTCAATAATTTAATTAATACTGTTGAACTCAAATGCACAGCAGATGAAAAAAAAATGAAAAAAGCACTTTTGTTATGTAACAGGGATACTCTGAGCTTTCGGAATTGGGGAGTATTTGCGACATTTCCATGGGTATTTATCTTAATCATGCATACATTTTCATTTTATTACACTGAATGAACAATCATGTATACTGTTTTATTGCAAATGATACTGTCCTTTTCTGCGAATATTCCTCTTGAATAAGTTACAGACGATTCTGTCTCATTTGCGAACGTTATGTTGGATTCTAAAGAATGCATAGTTTGTTACATAGACTTTAGGTATAGTACTGTTAAGATCGAGAAATTACAAATATAGTACAGAACGATTTGAACGAAAATATTGAATGATTGCATCAGGGTGGCAAGTTCTGTATTCTGATGCTGAAACGCTTCTCTTTGTAAAATGTTGAGCTCTATATTGACCTCGCTTTCACCGAGTGAGTTGAGATAGAAGGAGCGACCAAAATGAATAAAAATATTTCATCTGATAAATTATTTCAAATATGTTTCTAGCTTCAGAATGGATAGAGCACTTACCCTGCGAACTGCACATTTAAATGACCCGACATATTGTTGCAAATCTGGATTCAATTCTGAGGATGAACATGTGGGGAATAATTAGTACTTGAACTTACTCAGAGTTGTAAGGGCGTTTAAATACAGACCATTAAATCTCAAGTAGCATCTGGCTGTCAGAATGATGAAGCGGAGCGGTGCTCACAATCGCGCGGATTGCGGCGATGAGGTGTTCGGAGATGGGTGTTTAATTAATTTATGCGTGGAATCGACCGTCGTTTCAGTTTTTTGTCCAGATTGTGGGATCTGCTTTAATCCGGTGAACCCGCGGAATGGAAAGCGTGTCGTTTTTCTCATTATATTTGATTTCAAAAATGTGAATACTTCTCTCGGAATACCATGTCTTCGAAGGAGCTTTACTCTAAGGTGAGTTATTGACCATTATGTGACCAGATACAGTATTCTAATGTCTTATCTATCGCTGTACTTAATTCATATGAATTGGCTGATCATATCGCTTGAAAAGCATTCATTTCTCGACAGTATAAAGTCAAAATACGGTTCAAAACGTTGTTGGTAAAAAGGATTTGTTCGTGCTTTGCATTAATTAACGGAATACTTGCCTTGCGCGTCACCTTAGGAGCAGTTCGTGCGTCTGTCCGACGATTTCTGATCTTGTCGTACCTTCGGTTGAGCGTGGTTTTATCTGATTGTGTCTTAGTTTGTGGAGTTCCCGTGAGCGAGCTGGGCTTGTTTTGAATAGAGTGGAAAATTATTTCGTCGAGTTAATTGAAGTTTTCTACTTCGGCATCACGGACGGAATTTCAGGTTCCTGGAATATGTGCCGTTGTTAAGAGAGTCCCTGTTCGAGGGTGTGCAAATGCGTGTATCTGAAATTCGAGCGTATCCTGTTACAAAGATACCCTGGGAGTTTTTGTTTGCTATCTCAGCAGTTGAGGAGCTAGTTCCTAAGGAAGTATAGCTACTGTGCTTTTCTTTTTCTCTGAAACTATTCGAATAATTCTTGGGGGCTTAAGGATCGCGTTCAGCGATTATGACGTTAACTTTCACCAGGCTTTTGATTACAACCGCTGTAAGCACTTGATGAGCAACGCGAAACATAATCAAAATTTGTACTCAGTGTCTGTTTTGGTCCGAGCTGATTATTCTTTTGACGCATCGCATGATTTCCGCAGCTCCGTTATGGAGTTCACGGAACCCACATCGCCATCGGCGTTCGCGCGGTGGGATCTTACGGAGAAAGAATTTTTGTTGATGAAGCAAGCTGTGAATCCCCTTCACGAACGTTATTTAAAGTGCGGTGTTCTTTATGATCCTCATCAATACTTGGACCGTTTCATCACCGTGAGTGAAAGCAGTAGCCCCGTTTGTTTTCCTGTCCTCCAGCTTTTTTGTGTTCCCCAATACGGAATATGAATAGATTTGATCAAAATATCATTGAGGTTTTGTGTGACGCATGCGTCAACTGTTGGGGAAAATTAGTTCTGTGGTCGGGTCTAACGTGCGCATAATGCGGAAAGGATTTTATTCCTCGATAGTGAGGTTCTTGGGTGATGTTTTGTGTAGTGGAATTTTATTTTCTAACCTCGCTGAATCCGATATGCTACGAAAACGAAAATCTTCCGTTTTTCCTCATGATTACATATTTTGTTGCTCTACGAGCTGTTGATTTCCGTGGTGGGTCGATTATTCTGCCTCATGCTTTGGCCTTGCTGCTGTGCAATGTGATTACTCCACTTGAAGTGCTGCCGTCAGTCATTCTGTTGATCGCGCGGTAATTTTCGCATTTTGCAAAGCGTTCTGTTTCATTTTGCTTTTTGAACTTTTTGGTCCATGTTATGACGAGAAAAAGTCGGTGTGAGGAAGATATTCTAAATATACATTTATCACTTTGTCGATTCCAACAGGGAAGCCTTCACCGTAAATGTAAGCAAAGATTTTGTGCCTATGATGCTTGATGCTTTGCCCCAGTTTTGTGTTAAATTTCGAATTCGAATCTTCAGATCGAATCTTTTTTTAAGTATAATTTGGTATGAGGATTAAAAGACAAGGTCCTAACTTCAAGATTTTTGAACCAGTTGAACAAACCTGTGAGCAACTTCTCTTTCCCGTTTTTCTTCGAGAGGAATAGTTTTTTGACATCCTGATGTACCCTGATCTTGCATTGGAACGTTTTCCGGTCGCTGCCTCGCTGGTGTTCTTGATGCATCCGTTGCGAGAAATGCGGATTAGTCCCTGAATGTAGCTTCGACTTCGGATAAATGGATAATATCCATTTAACCTGATTATTCCGTAAATAATGAAGTGAGCTTTCCGCGAGGTTTTGAGGATGTCCCCATTTTCGTTTATTTTAATATATTGGGAATTCGAGGGGAAATAAATATAAATCACAGGATAAAATGTTGAGCCGGGAAAAGCATTACTGGATCCGTCGTATTATCTCGAAATCCCCAAGAAGTACGAGTCTGTTAGCCCACTTGAATTCTTCTTAAAATTCCTGCCATTGTTCATGAATTCTATAACGTTCGCAATTTTTTTTTTGCAGTACAGTACTGTATCCTTATTGATCTCCGTGAAGAACAAATATTTCAGCCTATTTCTTTTGGCTCATATTTCATTACAGTGAAGTCGAAATGGTGATAGCAAGATTTTCACGGTGACTTCGATAATTTTGTTTTTATGTTTTAAGCATGATTAACTTACCGATGCGGAAATTCTGTTTACAGTCGAAGTTCATTGTGTGGAAAATCCACCATGCGGGGCTTCAATTATTTGTTGTCCCTGTGCGTTTTCAACCTTTTTATTTATTACTGTAGAATGTCTCAGCTCGTAATTTTCTGTAGAAAATGACATTTTATGTCATGAGGTTTTGTTTTATTTTTCCGCGTACGGCAGATGTATCGAAGTTCGTTCAAATCTTTCGATGGTTAAAAAGTACAGTACATTATCTCACTGGATTTTTGATGTGACTAATCATTTTACGGTGACGTCCGCTTTATTTTTTTTACAGGATTTGATTGGTTACGGTGTTCACCTGCTTTAGAGATACCTTAAATGGTTGATGGAAACTGATCAAGGTTCAAGAAGATGAACGACGATTTTAATTTCCCATGAATCGTATTTGTCAGCTACATTTTTGTTGATCTCACGTTCATTTTTTTTTCATCTACGCGCAGGGCTCCCGCGTTTGGGTCAAATCGGACAACCCAGAAGAAATATGGCGCTCAGGCGTCGTAAAAAAGGATTACAAGGAAGGGGCTGGTCAGCTGGACGTCCAGATCGATGAAACGGAAGAAGTAAGAGCCTTATATTCATAAACAAACGATTTTCGTTCGTAACATTAGTATCTTTGAGATAACTCGAAAACATTTACTTCGAAACGAAGAGGACTATATCATCATGAATTTTTATTATGACTTCTTATGTAAAAAAATGTATTCCTGGCGATCTAGTGTCAAGTACCGCGTTTCACCAAAAGCATGACTCGAAATTAACTCAGATGGTAATTTCCAGGCATATTTGCCAGCAGAAGCCGTTTCTCAAAGATATAATTGTCATTTTAAATACAGTAATTGTTGATAATGGTAAATCTGTGGAAAGTTGTGTTCGGGAATTGAATAGATTCAAAATATCTGCGAAGGTTTCTTCCCATTATTTTTCGAAGTCAGAATCAAGCATTGAACCATTCGTAATTTTGAAGTGTGAAAATTGTATCAAGATTTCCTAGTTAACGCCAAAGAAAGTATATCCTGGAAGCAGTCTTTCTTTTAACTTTCGAAAGAGATCCATACTGTATTTGGCGTTTTGTCTAATTTCGCTGGTGAATTGAGTTTTTTATCTGTCACAACTTCGTCATTGATGGAAAGTGTGTCGGAATTATTTGATCTTTGGAACTGATTATTGAGCTGAATTTTAAATCCTTCATTGATTTTGCAATAAATTTTCAAGGAAGTATCATTGAAGATCTCTTCGGATGAAGATCTTCCGTACCTTCGCAATCCGGACATTCTCATTGGGGAAAATGACCTGACAACGTTGTCGTACTTGCACGAGCCAGCCGTGCTGTACAACTTGAAAGTACGATTCATTGACCGAAATTCCATCTACACGTATTGCGGTAAGGAAATGCTTCCGACTAAGCTGTGTGTGAGGGAGGGCAGAAAGTAGCTTTTGATCCGATTACCAACGAGGATTTTTGCGTTGGCACGAAGGCATCACATCTGAGACCCTTGTATGCGTGTTGCAGGCATTGTCTTGGTTGCTATCAATCCCTACCAGGAAATGCCCATCTATGACTATGAAACAATCATGATTTATCGACATAGTCGCGGGGAAGGCATGCAAAATATGGATCCTCACATTTTTGCCGTTGCTGAAGAAGCATTCACTTGCATGGAAAGGTATGTCCGTCTCAATTTCAAAATGCCGCTGATATGAACATGGAACTGCAGTACAGTAAAGTATTCAAAACGCTGATTCCATTTCACAGCTGATGTGTATTAACCATTTTTCTGTAGCTACCTTTTCGGTACTTTCCTGTTATCTCAGTACCTCATTCCTAGACCACACTACCATCCAGACAAATCTTTAGGGCGAGTTCATAATCAAAATGACCTACCAGAAGCAGATTTTGGGGTAAAGTTAGGTTAGGTCAGGTTATGTTAGTTACAAATAAAGATTTTGGGGTAAAGTTAGGGTAGGTCAGGTTATGTTAGGTACAAATATCTTTTAATTAACATAACCTGACCTAACCTAACTTTACCTAACTGCCTCTCATTTTGCTCATTCTTTGCAGGTCTTTCCTAACTGAGATTTTCTTCAAAATTTTAAGCATTCCAAAGAGCACAGCTTGGGAATTTCTGTATATGTAATTCATGTGTTTTTGAGAATACATGACAAAGAAAGTTCTGAAAGTTGTGATGTACCCGCTCATGTGATGCTCCATTCAAATGAAAGCTGGTTGAATACTGTTCAAACATATGACCCTGTCGCATGCAAAATTGAATCTTTAATGACAGGATTTCTTACAAAGTTGCAACTAATGGTTGCCTTCAAATCAATGTGAGCAAGTAATTCATTAATGTTTCGGAAATCATAACGGAAGTCTTGTGACAGAAGTTTCGCTCACTATAATTGCACGGGAGACCATATTGTTACAAGACCCTGCTTTCCAGAAAATGCATCACTTAACTCTGATAAAATAAAACAAAACTGGATCGGGAAATATTTTTCTAGTTTTGGTGTGGGGAAAAATATCCATGGGTCATCACGCGTAGGTTTTGATCCCCAGTATTTTTATCGTGCTTTGGATTGGTTTTTTTTGTGTGGATGAGATTCTAATGAGATTCAGCCATGAATTATCCGGTGGACTCAAAGTCACCCGTCAGTGTGATTTTTTGTGGGAATGTAAGAATTCCATGAGACCTGGAAACTAGGAATGAGGTACTGAGATAACAGGAAAGTACCAATTTTTCTTCGTTAAGTCTACGGGTTTCGCCAACTGATGGGTTATAATTCTGTTAAAAGCATGATATTATTTTTCGAGTCTTGACGCATCGTTACGGCAATCGACGTCTGAGGCCGTTTATTTGATTTTCAAACTTATTTTCAAGGAATAAACAGGACCAAAGCATAATTGTTTCGGGAGAGTCGGGTGCTGGGAAAACCGTATCAGCAAAATATGCCATGAGATATTTCGCCACTGTTGGTGGATCTGCCGACGAAACTCAGATAGAGAAAAAAGTGTTGGCATCAAATCCCATCATGGAGGTAGCGTTGAAATTGAAGTCGAAAAGCCTGGAAGCTGATGGATTCCTTTGATATCATTTCAGGCGATTGGGAACGCAAAAACGACGCGAAACGATAACAGCTCCAGGTTTGGGAAGTACATTCAGATAGATTTCAGCAAGCATCTGCATATAATTGGTGCTAACATGCGAACATATCTACTTGAGAAAAGCCGCGTTGTGTTCCAGTCAGCGGACGAAAGGAATTATCATATTTTTTACCAGATGGTGGCCGCGAGAGAAACGGAGCCGATCCTCGAGCCACTGAAACTTGGTAAAATACTGTATATTTTTCTTTAATCCCTGTGAAATATGCAGTCACGATTTGCAGTTCTGGGTTAAATCTCAAGAACTGTAACCGATGTGAATTTTTTGACATTCTAAGCGGATACGAACACAGTAATCCCGGAGAAAAGGTGTAGAACTAGTTGGGTGATAAGCAAATTGATTTTTTCGCATATCAGCATTGTCTTAGCGGTTGAAGATTTTTTATAAATGACGAAATTTCTTTTTTAGCTATACCTAGCGTGATGCACACATTTTTACAAATTTTGTTGACAGATCCCGTCGAGAGTTACCATTACCTGAATCAGGGTGACAGCATATCCATTCCTGGTGTGAATGATGCTGAACAATTTGATTCTACGCGGAATGCCTTCTCCTTACTGGGATTTTCCGAGTCAACGCAAGCCAGTATTTTTCGAGTTCTTGCCGGGATTCTTAGTCTTGGCAACATTCGATTTGATGAGCGCAACGACGATTGCTGTTCGGTCAAGGTTTGACCTTTTCTTCTTCAAATTTCGTCGATACTGTTATCAAAATTGATAATTAAATAGCTTACTACGTAAAAATAATAATCTTGAGTGAGTCAAGCCATATTTCTGCCTAAGTATTTACTATGTATTGTTTTGGGCTGAATTTACTTTCGCTTTTTATCCATCCCTTATTTTTTATAAAACGTTGCATTTTATCTCCGCCCCTTAAGTTCATACAATGAATTTGTTGTTTTCAGGTTGATGACGCGTTTCATAGGTTTTGCGATCTCATGGAAATAGACAAAGAGCAAATGAAAATTTGGTTGGTGCATCGGAAAATCGTATCCGTCCGAGAGAGTGTGACGAAGCCTATGCCTGCAAGTCAGGTAAATGGTAGAAAAAAAATTTGATCTCTTTTTACTGCTATTTTTGTGATTAATTTTTACCAACAGGCACGATCCGGCAAAGACGCTTTGGCTAAACACATATACGCTGTGCTGTTCGATTTCATAGTGAATCAAATCAATCAAAGTTTGATGGCCAATTCAAAGTCATACCGTTTCCTGGGAGTTCTCGACATCTATGGTTTTGAGACGTTCGAGATCAACTCTTTCGAACAATTTTGCATCAATTACGCTAATGAAAAGCTACAGCAACAGTTTTGTCAGGTACTTCTCCAATCAACCATGCTTATGAGTTTTAATACATGTACATATTTTTCTTAAGCACGTTTTCAAACTAGAGCAAGAAGAATACGTGCGCGAAAAAATCGACTGGAAGTTTATTGACTTTTACGACAATCAGCCGTGCATAGACCTGATTGAATCAAAATTGGGAATTTTGGACTTGCTGGATGAAGAATGCAGAGTATGTGCCTGACTCTGAAACTTATGTAATCACACTTTTTGACGGAAGCTCCGTTTTCCAGATGCCGAAAGGAACAGACCAATCCTGGGTTTTGAAATTATACGATAAATGCGGCACAAGCGAGCACTTCGGGAAGCCGAGGTTCTCGAATGAGGGATTCATCGTTGCACATTTTGCTGACAAAGTAACTTACGACGGTCATGGCTTTTTGGACAAAAATCGTGACACTGTTCAAGAAGAGCAAATCAACATACTTCGAGCTAGTCAGGTATATTTTTTTTATTCCTCCACTGACACTTAGTGATGTTATGGATCGGAAGTTACTCGCAGCCTGGTTTTAAAAGTATTTGTATGTTTTCAGAGTAAACTTGTTATGAAGCTCTTCCTTGATGAAGGAGATAAATTACCAACTCCGAAAGCGGTTTCTCGGACTGTTCCTCTCACAAAAGCTGCTGCACCTGCGACTCGAAATAAGCAGAACAAGAAATCGGTAAAGAGTGAGAAAGTGCCTGTAAAATAATCGTAGTTTTAATGTTGTCTCGTTTGGATTCCCGAAAATTCAGGTTGGCTCACAATTCAGAGACTCTTTGAATCTATTGATGCAAACTTTGAATACCACGGATCCCCATTACGTCAGATGCATCAAGCCGAATGATCACAAACAACCGTTCTGCTTTGAGCCTCTGCGGGCTCAACAACAGCTTCGCGCTTGCGGCGTTTTGGAGACAATTAGAATTTCTGCCGCGGGATATCCATCACGATGGACCTACCAGGATTTCTTGGATCGCTATCGTGTGCTGATTAAAACAGTAGAGATCGATCGTTCCGACATGAAAACGACTGCCGAACGGATCATTCGACGGCTCATAAAGGTCGGAGCGTCGTTTCCGCTTGCTTTTGTATGCATGTTCTTGTTAAGAGAATTGTGCAAAGCTTGCGTGGGAATGTTCGTAGTGATCAAGATTTATTTCGTTCAACAAGTTCGAAGAACTTGCGCGGATTATGACGTTTTCTTTTTCCTTTTAGAGTGAAGATCAATATCAGTTTGGCAAAACCAAAGTTTTCTTCAGAGCCGGTCAAGTGGCATACTTTGAAAAATTGCGTTCTGATCGCATGAGGCAATGCGGCATTTTAATTCAAAAAGTCATTCGTGGCTGGTTGGCGAAGAAGCAATACATGGTTGCCAAAAAAGCTGTTCTTAACATTCAGCGGGTTTCACGAGGTTTTATTGCTCGAAGGTATGTCACATTTTCCGAGAGCGTGTATTGATTGAGTTTAGTTTATCCATGAACTTACGTGTTCCGCATTTCAGGCGTGTTCAGAGGATGAGAGAGATACGTGCAGCAATCATAATGCAGAAGTATGCCCGAAGATTTGTAAAACGGAAGCAGTTTCTTCGCATTAGAAGGGCGATTTTGGGCTTGCAGACGAGAATAAGAGCCTATAATTCTAGGATGAATTTCGAGCATTTAATGAAAGATTCCAAAGTGAGTATCCTATTGCCTTCTCGGGTGAGGTCGGGAAACAGCTAGGAAATGTCCAGGACGACTATGAATACTTATTTCATGTGCTAGCTACCTTATAAAGATATCAGATTGTTTTTTTATATTTAAAATCAGAGCCTAATTGAACTAGGGGAAATATTTTTTTCTGGAATCCCCGATAAATCAAATTCTTTACCGAAATTCCTTGATGCGTAGTACCTGGAATTATGTTGAGATCTTCCCATAGTCTCCTAGACCGTTCGAAATGTAATGTCTGCTTCATGTTCCAGGCCACTGTTATCCAACGGCATGTGAGAGGTTGGCTTGCCAGAAGAAAATATCAACGCATTTTGCGAGGCATTGTCTTAGCGCAAAGCTTGGTTCGCAGACGCATCGCGAAGAATATCTTCAAGAAACTGAAAGTCGAAGCACGTTCTGTTGAGCACATCAAATCTTTGAACAAGGGTTTGGAGAACAAGATCATCTCCCTTCAACAACGCATCGGGGACTTGGTATGTTGTTCCTTCGGAATCAGATCTTGAAATTTTTCAAATTTAATTTCTTTTTATACTTTTTACCTCAGACGAAGGAAAGTAGTAGTTACAAGCAATTGCAAATCGACCAAACTAATTTGTTGGCCAAACTCGAGCAAGCCAAAGGTCTTGCTGAACGCATTAAGCAACTCGAAATCGAAATTGCCAAATTACGTGCGGAGCGCGAGGAGTTTGTTGAGACAATTCAGCGGAAAAACAACGAACTCCTCACGCTTGCCCAACTCAAGGAGCAAGAGTTCATCGAAAGGCGAAAAGCCGAAGAAGAAAAATTGGTCATTCTGAAGGATAAAAACGAGCTTGCCGCTGAAAAGGAGAAGTTGGTCTCTGATGTTGATGGTAAGTTTACTTCACTATATTTCTTGAATCCCATCGTTCCCTGGAACTGCCCGGGCAGAGCTATAAATTATTTGTTAGCATATTGGCTGTGGAAGTTATTCTCGACGAGTTCTTCTGTTTGCCGTCATGTTGTCTCTATGCCTCCCTTAGGTCATGAGAAAAATAATCATAATTTTTGTTCCGACAGATCTTCAAAGAACTATTCAGGAAATGGAAGAAGTGAGCAATGCGAAGGAGCGCGAGCGAGAAGAGTATGAAGAGCTTCAAAAGCGTTACCAAAATTTGTTCATGGAAAAAGCAAATATGGAGCAAAAATTGGAGAACATGAGAACGCAATTGATGCATGTGACGCAATTCGGTACCCAGGATTCCACTGGAGGAGCGGGTGATTCTCTGAGTCCAAGTTTCCACCGACGCAATGCGTCCGATATCTCAATAAACATGACGGACTTCAGCAGCATCGGAAATGATGAGGTGATACTTTCTCAATTTACAAATAAATATATTATTAGTTCTGTATGGATTAATCTTTGTTAGGATATTGGTTACGGATCTACTCGAGTGCGAGAAGAAGGCCGACGTAAATTGGATGACGTTGAATGGGCAGGAGACGGTCGTGGATCTGACGTAAGTTCGTCGCATTCAAAAAATTACGTACAGTAATCTACATTGATTGAAAATATTTTTTTTCGGGAATACTTCACAAAAACCGTCAATTTTTTTTACTGCGAACTTTCTCGAGATAATAAAAAGTGCTCAAGAATTTTTCCATTAGCTTCATGAACGTTTGCTGATGTATTGATTCGTTTGTGTGATTCCGTCAGCAATCTGACGGAATCAAAGTTATAACTTCGAATTTTTATCTGTTTTTTTGTTTTTGTTTAGATCGATGTTGGCCTGATGCTTCAGCTCCAGCAGAAAATTAAGAAGCTTGAACGTGAACGGGACAGCTTCCAGTCCGAAAATTCGAAACTCAAAGGCGGCATTTCCCCGTCGGAGCAGACCGTGAACCATATTAGAGTAATTATTTTGCATCACAGTTGGACTTCCTCTTCCACAGTTAATTGGAAATTTGGTTTTAACTCAGCTTCAAGAAGTCGAAATGGAAAACGCAAAACTGAAGGATGACCTGAGCAAGCTTAGAATTTCGATTGCGGCTGGTGGTGGATCTGATGTGGAGGAACTGAAGGGTAAGAAAAGTTGACAGTTTTCACGTCAATCACCTTATTTTCGTTTTGTTTGTTCTCTGGGCATTTGTTTTTTGAGTCGCTTGCCAATTCTTTAAAAGGTGACGAATCGAGAGTCAACGAGGGGGAGGAATCGTGTCGAGACGCTGACTGTTTGGCCAACTGTCTCGGTAACCAAAACGAACCCGTACATTAGATCATGTTGCCCCGAATGGATATATTTTCAGTTGACCTTTTGACTTTAGATACCTGTTCACTTATCGAGTTTGATACGAGTCAGTGATGATTGTTACGGTGGTGGTGGTACCAAGGATTTGATGTCGCTTGTTCACCCACCTTCAATAAAATGTGTGACGTTTCTATTACTATTATAGCGCAAATGGAAGCCTTGAATGATGAGCTGGGACGCAGACGAGAGGAGTGTGTTCAGTTGAAATCGGTTCTTGCCGACCAAGCACGGTCTGGATCTCCGCTAGTATCTGGAACCCATTTTGGTGACGATAACATCGACGACTACGCCGGCGCGTATGATGCCCAGAAAAAAATACTGAGGTAAGATTGATTTTATTTAAGGATGAAGTCGGGCGACAGTCATGTTTTAGCTGCGTAAGCTTTATAAAGGTGAAATCAAATCTTAGTTCGATGGGACAATTTTTTATCAATTTTCACAGGAAACTGGGGCGAGATAATACGTATCTCTAAAACTTTTTTTAATCCTTTCCTTTCCACTGTAATCACCATCCTTTTTGTTCATTTGTCTTTCCGCGTAGCTTCATTATTCGAATGAAGACGATATTTTCGTTTTTATTTTGTAAACGACGACTGAAAAGTTGCCTCGCTGAGAAACGACAGCTAGAATTGTTACCGAAGGGGGTAAGATTCAACTTATTCGATAGGATTTCGAATAGGGGGAAGTAATTTCCGAAATCTCTCGACATTTTAATGAAAGCGAGGGCTGTGCTTGAGAACTGCGTTGCCTTATTTTCTTGGCTGATGATGTGAAAATTGACACCATACTTTCATTCGACCACATTTTAAAACAAAAAATTGCTGGGCTCGAAAGGTGATTTTCAATTAATCAATTTTTTCTTTTGAATCTTTTGCAGGCAACAGGAAGCGGAAATTCAAGAAAAAGCAGTTGAGATCGCAGAACTGCGTCTTGAGATAGAAAATCTTCATGACGATAATGAGCGTCAGCAAAAGCTTTTGGCTTCTCACCTTCTGGAGTCTCCGGATGGAGCCGAGCAGGCGTTCAGTGCTGTTGCCAAGCATGAACTTGAGCGCCTGACGAAAGAGAATATGGTGAATTGCTCGCTTCTTTCGTTTAAAAATCTTCTTTAAGATTGGGTGTTGCGGAAGGGAACGTGGATCCAAGCCAGGCCATCCGACTGGAGAATTAATCTGAAAGGTTGAGCGACTGATAACTGAAAAATCGAGTATTCGTCCTCAAATCCCAGATCTTTTCAGATTTAAAGTTTTTGATAATTGTTTATATGCATTGGTACTAAAGATGCTAATAGTGATTTCCTTGTTAAAATAAGGTAATCGTGAAAAATTAATTTGAAACATAGCATGTATTTTACATTATTCAAGTCTCCGAGAATATTTTTACATAAGATTTTGTGATTTCGAATACAGTACTCGAAAAAAATGAAGGATTTGAAGCTGCACTTCGTGAAAACTGGAACATTTGGTGATTCTGCTATCCTAATTTCCTCAAGGATGCTGGAATAATCCAGTATCGTTATTGTTGATGTTCGTAAATTTTCCCAATACAATATATTTTGATGAAAATATTCGTTTGGCCGAATCTGGATTCTGGTTGTGCTTCCAGCAATCGATTTTTTGGGTCGGTATATAAATAAAGTACTGTACTGTATACCCATCACATGATTTATTGGGTCCGTCTCTTTACTGCTGGAGTTTTTATTATTTTCGGTGGTTTCGCTTACGGACGAAATGAAATCAAGATGCATATTTTAAGGCCTTGTGACTTCTTAATGTTACGAGATCCAAATTTGCCCGTCTTGAAACAGGGATTTTTTTTTATTTGATGTCTCCAACTACCCAAAATTTCGCTTGAAATCTTGACGCCAGTTTTTTCTTTCTTCTGGAAACCGATTCTTGCTGTTGATTTTTATTTTTACGTTTTATGATTTCTTCCGATCGAAGGCATTCTATTGGCAGAAAAGCTACTTTATGGCCCGCAGTACAGTACTGTATAATTATTAGGGTCTGGAAGAAGTTTGTGATAGATCTTCAAGTATAGAACTACTGTATATTTAATTGAGTATCACTTACACCTTCTCAAAATTGAGAGAAAAAAGGAGGGCGCTTGTTGTGTAAGGGTTGAAGAAACTTTAATTTCAAACAATGTCTAGTTTTTAAAATTTCATTTCAAATAAACTTGAAAGTTTAGGCTCAACTCAAACTTGATTCCCGTTGGAAAATTTTGATCCATTTTAGCATAAAAAATGGAAAAATTAAAATTCATTAAATGCTGTCTCTCATTTCAAGTCAAAATTCGTATTTAAATAAATCTTTTTGAGAATTTTCAATTTTTACTTACTGAAATTTGGGTGCGTGTCTTACTCAACGATAGGATTTCATAGAAAATGTAGTCTGAAAAATTTGGGTACGTCTTCCTTGAGTACCTCGCGCCTTCAAGTAACTATGGTAATATGTCCCTGTATAGTGAACATTTTTCCGTTAGGCTCTAATTTGTTGTGCATTTTTTGAAAAGTTTTTTTCCTATTGGACTGAAATTTAAATTTTAGCGTGTGGTTTAACCAAATAGAAGCTTCTGCGCATTGTTGTCACCGGTATGATGTAACCAGAAACCTACCTCTCATAATTTCTTTGCTATCCTTTTTGTCTAATTTTTTATTTGTATTTATCATGGATGTAAATTAAAATCGATGTGATAATTATGACTTTTTGAATTGAAACATAATCAAAGGATCTTTGCAAGAAAGCTGCACGATCTTCTTATTTTCAAAAAGTAAAGGAAATGCTCCGATTTTCTGCGGATTTTAAAGGATTTAGAAGGCGCCGTCTGGGCTCCTTTCGATGCGCCGGAGCAGCCTTGTTTTTATTGTCACGGGGAACCCAGTATGCTCTCAGGGAAAGTTGAAAATACTCACAGTACTTATTTCGTTTGCGCCATTCTAAGGGAATCTTGAATTAATAATTTTCCTTGAAGGCAATTTTTCGTGTATTGTGCCGATGGAGGTTTGAGGGAACCGAGTGGAATTAATTTCAGTATCGGCGTATCCGTAAAATTCCCCGTGGAGTAGTGTTTTTGATGCTGGCAAACATGATGTTCGTGACTTGTTTGAGTGCACTTTCGAGTAAGCCTTGATATTCCGTGTCCAGCGCTTGGCACTGATATTCTCGCTCAACTTTTGTGCGTTGACCCCGATCCGCGCCTGCGTGGGAAGACTGATTGCACATTGAATTGAGTCGTCCCGGGTCGAGGGCCTCTTTCGCCCTCGTGTCACGCTTAGTGAGGGTAATTTCTTCTGAAAGCTGGCCATCTGACTTCCTTCCTGTGCTCGCGGCTGTCTATTAACAGGATGAAAACCACGGTTTACCGAGGTTTAAGGTCTTATTCGGAGAATTTATGTTCCGTTGTCCCAGAATAGCTGTGTCTGAAAGAACCACGTGGACTTGTTTTTTTTTTATTTCTTTATATCGGCATTTGAAATTGATCGAGTTTCGCATTTTTACAGGTTTCTCTTAGCAACTAAGCGTTTACTTCAAATATTATTTATTCTTAAATTAAATCCTAGTACAGTACTATTTCTAGGTACCGATTGTAATATAATCCTCGTCCCAATAGAAATCATTTCATTTTCTCATGTTATTTCTCCGAATCATTCAAAATTGTATTATTGCATCAAAGTATTAATGCATCAGTGTATCGAATCAAAGCTTTTTTGCACAGTTCATTTCTCGAATGTCATCATGACCAAGATATGATGAATTCAATAATCCTTTCGTACTCCTTCATCCTGGTTTATTTTCTTCCTCGAGCAATTACGTAGCCCCTAGGAACTTCAGGTGGAGTTCTTAAATCTTCGCAGAACACTGAATTAAAATACTGACGAAGTCAAAATTCTATGATTATTTTGACGAGGGATGGGGAATACAATTAACATGTAATTTAGCAAATGAGAGTTTTACGTCGATGAAGGAATTGGGGAAGCGAATATTTCCTGGTTTTGGTCCATATAAGCTGAACTTGTCAACTTCCGAAGTTCCTGTAGTTTCAATATTTTTATTAACCAAAATGTTTTGTACCCCTTGTGTGAAAAATCTCTGAAAAAGTAAATAATTTCGGAAAACAAAACCGTGCATATGTTTAAGGAAACACTGGCAGTTAGGAAATCTACATTTTCGTTTCTTATTTCTTGAAGCTTAAACTACCGTTAATTTATTTTTAATTAGTGCGGTTGCTAAGCACGGGAGTGAAGATGACATTCTTCGGTAATTAGAATGTTACGATGCTTTCGTATGAACAGTGGCGATAAAGTACTGTATTCTGTAGAAGTAATAATCGTATTTAGTTATTATTTTTACCCATTTTTCGCCTAGTTCCGATTTTGCCCTTCATGAAATTCGTAGTCAATTACAAGTTTCTACGACGCTTTATTCGTAGCGCTCCAGTTCTTTATGAAATGTTGATAATCCGGCTTGAAAGTAGAACGAAAATGAAGATGGGGCCCTGAACGGCATTTTGCCTGCGTTACACGGGGTATAAAAAGTTCATTCACTGCGACGATTACGGTTTCCTGCCCGGGGTCATTCTCCTCGGAGCTGGGGAGGAAAATGGGAGGTCCTGCTTTGGGAAAATCGTCCCGCACTTTCATGTCATCAGAGCCTCGGGGTCGCCTTGAAGCCCTCGAAGTGAAGAATGGTTAGTTGCTCGCGAGATGTTGCGGCGTGCTCGGCTGACTTGTTTTCTTCTATGCGAGATTTCTGCTGAGAAAATAAATTGCAACGTCCGACGAATGATGGAATGATCTGCTATTTTTCCTAGCTGAGAGGAAAAAAATTGTTTTCCTTCTACGCTCTGGTGAAGTTGATCTGGGTTCGGGAACGAATCGAATTTTTTCGTGATCTCTGAGAGGATAATTCTCCACCTTCGATCTATTTTCAAACGCGGCAGATTGTAAAAAAATATGGCAGACGAATTATATTTGAAATTTTCTTTTTTCTCAGGATCTTTACGCGAGGGTTGAGAAGTCGACGAATCAGGCTGCGAGGTACAAAACACTGATCAAAAAGTATGCCAAGAAGCTGAAAGACAGCGGTGAGTCTTGATTTCAATTTTTTTGGCCACGCGTGAAATGCTAAGACGTTGGTCATATTTACTGTTGTTCGAATGCTGCAGAAGTGCCGAAGGAAATATGCCAAATTTAGGGGTACCGTGTATTAAAAAAAAAAGATTCATTATGTAAACGCCATGGCGCCATTTACAAATTATATCCGCATCCGAAAGTGAAGGTTATGCTTAAAATCTTCTCACTCATACCTGAACAACTCTAGGCAACTTTGGGAAAGCGTATTTCGAATGAAGATCAACAAAACGGAAAATAAACTTTTAGGCCAGTTGAAAGTTGAATTTAAAATCAAATAAAAATTCAGTATACAATAAATTGGGGCCATCACTTACCCAAATAAAATACAGAACAATAATATTCGAAACTCAGAATTTTATCCTGCCTTAATCTTCTAAAAATGCATTGGCTTGGTACATTTTTAGGCTGAGAAATGGATGAGGATTCCCTAGTTAATATCTAGTTCTGAACTACCATAGTTCATTCTCGAACTTTAAGAATTCCTCCTATTCATTTCGTATTAGTATTACGGTATTACTAGATTTTTTCATGGAGAGGTTCCACTACTGTATATAACAACTCCATTCTCTGGGCTACCTCCTTTAGTCCTTTGAAGTATTACTGTATATGTAAAGAAGTTTGCCGCTCGAATTTTACCCACTTCCAATCTAGCTGACATTTTCCGAATTTCTGTTCAATTAATAATGAAATATCAATTTATAAACTTTTTATGATCACGTCATCTGTCATGTAAAAAGCAACAAAATAGTGTACCTTTAAAAACTCATTTTCATCCATTCAACTCGCTCAAATCAGTTCAAATTGAACATGTGTATTCTTCAAACATTGAAGCAAAATATATGACGTTTTTATTCTTGAAGTTAAAAGTTAATTTTCTGATGGGTAATAAACAAAGCTGAAGTTTAAAAAACTTAAATCGGTTGATTCTACTTCTGTTTTGAGTTGTCAAAAATTATAATACAATATTCTAAAGAATGGAATAATATTGAGAGCTATTTCTTGCCATCACCGAATTAATTTTGAATCATTTTCCCCTGTAATAATTTCTGTTATACTTTCTTTTAAAAATATAATTATCAATAAAAAGGTTTGAATTAGGTAATTATTAGAGAGAATTGAAAGGACTTCCAAAAGACTTGGAATACAACATGAATAGGTAAACATTATTTTGCGCAAAAATCTCCTCTGAAAGTGATCTGATGAAAGTATGGACTGTGCTCCATGACATTTATTTCTCATTCTTGCCATACACTTCATAAAACCTCTCACAGAAACGTTTTGGAAAAATTTCTTTATCCCCCGAGCAGTTGAGTATTAAAGTACAGTATTTTCCGTGTTTGGAACATTATTTTGATCATTATTACTGTACTGTAATAGTGATTTAGTGTTACTGTATAACCAAAAACTGAAAATATTCTACAGTTACCGTCTCCGTTTTTGGCAGAAGGAAATGTTGCACTTGTAAAAGTTCGATTGATCATTAGTTTATCCAGCGACTGATGCTATACGATATTTATTGTAATCCATAATTCTCGTGGGGAAGTGACTAGTGATATGCGTAGGAGTATCCTATAGGAGCGTGAAAGAAATGACCATCAATTGTAGCGTGTCTAACAACGCCTAGGAATTTTGAACAACGATTCGAGCACAACTCGGAGCACGAAATCGGAAGGCGTGGTTATGAGACTTCGCAACAAACGCTTCGATCGTGCGCGATCTCGCGTCAGTGCCGACTCGTGGCGCAATCTGGCGACGGAGGACGTGGGAAAAGTCGCGGAAGCTTTTCTTTCGTATCCGATGTCGAGTTACGGTTCACCAGCACACAGTGATGAGGACGTTACCTCTTGCGTAGTTTCCGAACTGAGTCGTCCGCTGACCTTTTTGTCTGGACTGGTCACACCCGCGTGCATTGATCGGTACGAGGAGGAAGCGCGCGAGGAAATGGTTCGAAGAGCGCGACGATTTCGGGAGAAGGGGTCTACGCGAAGGTCGGCAGCTCCGGAGCGGCACCGGAGCTGGGATCGGAACCATGGTTTTTTTCCTTTTTTGGTTTATGTCTCATTTGTCTGACGGGTAACAATTGATCCTGTGCGATATCATTTGAGCGCAGCAGGTTCATCGGGACGATTCTGTTACCTTCAATTCAGCCGACGTTTTATACCGTACAGTCACTATTAATTCTGCTACTTTTGCATCTAGTGTTCCAGAATCTGCGTATTTCATTTTTTTTTCGAGTTGCAGAAGAATTGAAGTTATTTTGAAGAATTTGAAATGCATTGAGATGAATATTTTAGTACTGTACCTTAAATGCCCCATAAACTTGAAGTTAGACCTGTTGTGCAGTATTTGCCTTTTATAATATCTATAAGTGTTACTGTTATGCATAATTTGTCACGGCAAATACGTTTTGTGTTCTAAGCACAATCTTTGTCCCATACAACTTCATATTTTTCTTGTGGAATAGACATGGTTTGTGGATGGAATTACGAAAGTAGCACTGGACAGTTTAACGGGTTACTGCCGATTTTTGTGCCCAAAAATAGCCGATACTGTTCTTCATATTGCGTTCCACTTCAGAATTGCCCATTCATTTTTTTGACACCCTTACTCAACCATGACAACTATGTATGGTGTCATTTTTTTCAGTTCGAATCAACGGAGTATTCAGGCAAGGTTACGGGATGAAGCGAAATTACTGCCACTCCAGGTCGTTTATTATTATTTTTAAACTAAATTTTACTCATCTGAGTTTTCATTGTCCATTGCTGTTGATGAAAACGTGGGTCATAAAGTCACCCTACGCGAATGCGGTGGGATTTTGTGCTCGGATTATGCTTAAAATTCATCCTTGTTTAATGTTCTGGACGAAATTTTGTATCTTTTTCAGGACTCGATTTACCACCGTTAGCCAACCAGCGACTGGGTCTGAGAGACATGCCGGCTGTGCGACATAAAGAAAATCAAGACTTCCTTGGGATGTATGCATTTGAAAGCGACGATCAGCCGAAGATCTTCAAACATTTGATACTGGGTATGAACGCGTTTTCATGAATTTATTAATTTTATAACGGTTCAGCAGATTTTGAGCATCAAGTATATCCCATGCATTTCCGCCGATCACCTCTTGATTTTGGGTTTGTGCATTGGACTTTAGATTTGCGACCTCAAGTCGCGAAGCGCTTGCTACCAGGTCTTCCTGCTTACGTCATCTTCATGATGATACGCCATACGGATCACGTGAATGACGAAGTGAAATTCAGAGACCTCATGAACGGTAAGATTGATTAAGTTTCTGGGATTGAAATGCTTGAATCGTCTTCATTTTTCTACGTTAAATCTTGCAGCTGTTATTAATGCCATCAAGAAAATTGTGAAGAAGAAGCATGATGATGTGGAATACTGTGCCATGTGGCTGGCAAACTTGGTCCGTCTGATGCATAATTTGAAACAATATAGTGGAGAGAAGGTAATTGTCGAGCTTTTCTGTTGTCAATCCTGAATTTCCTATGAATTTTATCTAAAATTTGCAGAAATTCCAAAGCAAGAACTCGGAGAAGCAGAATTCGCAATCGCTGTGTCACTTCGATCTGGTTGATTACCGATCAGTGCTATGCGACCTTGCCCTCTGGGCGCATACCGTAAGTGAGATCCTTCTATTCGATATGATGAATCGTAAAAATCGGATTGTCTCAAAAATATTTGATTGATTACGATGTTTTCTGGTGATATAATTGTCTCGTGGATTTTGGTTTTCTCGATGTTAGTTATTTAGGGTTAATTATTTCAGCTATAAACATATCAGATCATTCGTGGTCATGATTTCATGATGACGTTGACTCCTCCGTATTGTGTTCATATTTTACGTCGCGTAGTTCGACCCTTCTTTTCCATCGGTTCTATGAATCTGGATATGGTGTGTAGATGCAGGTAATCTTAAAAATGTTCGAGCAAACTAGTCATAACGTTACTTCTTGTGTTATACTATGGAATTAAAACCTGTCGAGCGGAACAGCCCTAATGTTGAAGATGTCGGAGATTTTCCTCTTTAAATTGCTGACGTGTGGAATTCTAATTTTTTGAGTATTTCTCAGGTGCTTGTGAGAGGTTTGGTGGACCAGATCACGAATCTGGTTATTCCAGCTATCATGGAACATGAATCCATTGCTGGTTTACCGAGTAGCGGTCCTCCGCATGCTCGTTCTAGAGCAAATAGCTCTGCTGTTTCGACACCTTCTGGAGAATCATTGCCAGGCGATGGGCCCATTGATCCTCAAAAGGCTTTGGATTATCTCACCAAACGCTTGGATCAATTTTTGCAACTGATGCAGTCGTACGGAATAGATCCGGAAATCGTCGTTGGTGTCTTCATTCAGGTACTACTGTATATGGGTTTCTACAAAGCATTCTTTTTTCGTGGTCAAAAGCATGTTTTTTATGTTGATGAACCTCGATTACCTGTTCTCAGAAAGATTTTTCAAATTGATGAGTTTACGCGAAGTTTAGATACCACAAGCTTCGGTGCTGTTGAGTGTTCGAACATTACATTGTATTTTCTTCATCGCGATTGCAGGTGTATTATTACATCGGTGCTACAAGCCTGAATTGCCTGCTGATGCGGAAGAATGTGTGCCATTGGTCAAAGGGGATGCAAATTCGTTACAACATATCCGTCTTGGAGCAGTGGGCTCGAGAAAAGAAACTTGATGTGAGAAAACTAGCTGTTTTTCCCCGAATTTTATAATGAAGTTTCTTAAAATGCAGGTATTGGAGCCACTGCAACCCATTATTGAAGCGGCTCAGCTGCTACAAGCCAGGAAGACCGATGAGGATGTTGATACGATTTGCACTACCTATACAAAATTGAGTCCATTGCAGATTGTGCAGATCCTTAAATCCTACACCCCGGCGAATGATTTTGAGGAACGGGTGAATCCTGCTTTCATCAAAAAGGTTCAGGCGAAGCTGGAGGACAGACACGTCAAAGAGAATATGAACAAGGGCGGAACTGTGAGATGGAAAATTCATATTTCTGTGTTGTTCAAGCCGTATGGACTGTTCTCTCCGTTTTCAGGCTCCTCTTCTGATGAACACAAAGTCGCCGTCGTATGCGGTAAAATTCCCGTTTAATCCATCAAGCATTTGTCTGGAAGATATAGAAATTCCTGACGCCCTCGGTCTGAACTGTTTGAAGAAATTATAGAAGCTGGTTTGCCTGCTGGTTGCCAATTGAACCGCGAGAAAAGCTTTTTCTCTGCCGTGCTTTCAGTTGCCAATAGCCTTAGTTGAGATTTTCTTCGATACCCGTTCACTCATTATTGCTTGAGATTTTTTTTCTTGGGGACGTGACGTGCATGCTTTCAGCGCGTTGTGTTTTTTTTTTGTTATTAGTTTGCAAGCGTTTTATGTTACTTAAGCTTCCGACATTCCCGCATGAATGTCGGAAATTCCGAGACATCGTTTAGATTGTGATAATTGATCCGATACGAGTACTGCAATCCAAACATTCATCGATTGATAGTGTTTTTTTCTGGGATTGTTAGCATTCCTGTCGTGTCCTGTCGGGGGACATTTGTACGCAAACCCATTCCGTTCAGTAAACGTGTTCCTGTGATTCGCGAATGTGCATCTTGAAAACGTATTCAAGATTTTTGTTCTGTTGAAAAACCATGCAATTTGAACTTTTTGTTGTGGAAGTTTTCATGTTCTCCGTATGAAACATTTAGGATTGTTAATTTAAAGCCGTTCCCTTGCCGTTATCGATAAATTTTGTTTTTGAGCTTTGTGTGTTTGGTACTTACGTCTGCGATGCTGTGATAGAAGATTTTATGGGAATTTTTTTTTCCAACCGGCGTGCTTCAATTGACGGTTAGTTTGAGGGTTTGGACCTTATATTTCGCCCGCGCTTCTACTTCAGGGATTTCAATCTCTTTCCCCGAGGATACTCCTAAGCTTTAATACGTTATGGACAATTGTGGAAGGTTTTACACGCGTGGGCTTGCTGTTCTACGTGTAATAATGAATAAAGGTGAAGGGTGAGATGTCTGGGAAGGTTTGGTTATGCTATAGAAACTGGGACTTCTGCATACGCCATTGCACGTAGCGCCTTCTGAATAAATGAGAGCTGTTTGCAGTTTACGGAGTTTTATTTGTCCTTTTATTCCTCTATTTTATTTTGTCCTTTTATTCCTCTTGATTTTCTTGTGCTGTTCAATGTGTGGAGAAACGGACCAATTCTTCCATGGTTTTATTACGTATTTCACAGAGGGCCTAATATGTGGCTAATTTTTCGTAGAAAAACTTTTTAAAATTACGTCATGACATTGACATGGACTGGCATTAGAAGTATAAAACCGTGTGACACGAAAAAGTTGTGCTTTCTTGAGGCTAGAAATAGATCTATACGTAAGAAATCAACGTGGTTCATCAGCAGTGGCTTGGCTTGAAAGTTCGCTTACAATAAATAAAATTTGTAAAAATTGTTGGGGGTGGCGACGACGAGGTTTTTTGCAAAACTTTCTCAAGCTCGCTCATACTTCTCCAATTTTTTAACTTGCCAAGTACGCGAATTGACGGTTAATTTATTGGATGTTAAATTTCCGCAGATGAGTGACCTATTCTTTTGGTTGCCTAGCGCGTGTGGAACGCCACCGAACTATCTACTCCAGTATAGTACTGTAGTTGCCCAGCGCGGAGAAAGCCATTGGGTTCCATAATATTTGTGCACTGAGGAAGGAATACCGTGCTGGTGCGTGAGATTCCTCCTTCATTCTGTCGATTAAAAAATTACAGAATTTTAAGCCGCTAAAAAGAAACGAATTCTATGAGGCGATAGGGAGAAATGATGGGAATGAATGCTAAAGGCACTTTTCAGGCATTGGACATGAATATACAGTATTATTAAGAAGAAATCTTTATTCATGAAGGACTTCAGCTTTTTGAAGCGAATTGATTTAGAGCCACCGATTTACTGGTAAGTGAAACATCAGAATCGCTGAACTTTCCCTATGCCATCTTAATGCAAATAAAGAGTATGCGCTCGGTGAACAACCATCGCTGGTTCTGGCACTTGATGGAAGATCTCCAGTCGACTCCGGAAGGTGAAAATTTGTAGGAGAAAAGGAGGCCACTTCGATTATGCCGAGAATTGTGCCGCCGTCGAGTTGATTGCATATATCTGTTGGATTCATGTACTGAATTAGAACTGTTAGTCCCTCGGAAGTTTGTGGAGGGTTCCATTTCATCCTGTATTACCATAATCAAGTGTTACAGCTGCAATTTTTACAGGGATTTTCTGCATTTTTGTTTGCCAGACTGACGTATTTCTGTGTTTTGAAGTTCGACTTCGGGTTTGTGAAGTTTTGAGACTGACAACGTCTTTGCTGCAACTTGAAGGTGAGCTGTGTATTTAATCTTAAAAGAACCCGATGTCATTGCATGAGCATGAAATCGTTTCCGAAGGATTGTGTGAACAAATAAGTTATCTGAGCTATTCAACATCATTAATTGAAGTTGATCATTATTTAGTAGAACTTCATTGTGAATCCGCGTCATCCCTCCTCTGTAATTCTTAGGGTCTTCGCAGCGTTGAAGACGTGATATTGTCTGTAAAGCGAAGATGCGTCCGAAGCCCAAGCCGCGACGCGGCGAACCCGCTTCTCATCCGCAGAGGATATCGTTTGACGTCTCGAATTCTGTGCCGGTTTATTCTAATGACGTCATTATTGACATAAATGCTGGAGCGCACACTGCCGGTAGTTCGAACGTTCGTGCGAAGTGTTTTGTGAACCATTCTTGGGACACGAAAGTCTACGTTGGATCGCAAATAGCGCTAGACTGCTCAGGAAATTATCTTGCTTATGCGCTTGATCTCGACGGTGACAAGCCAGGCGCGGTTCGCGTCACCGACTTGCTGTCCGGCGGTCGTGGTCTTGTACGTGATATTCGGGGTCCGGTGAAAGAACTTGACTTTTCGTCAACTTCCAATTGCCTGCTGCTTGCCGCTGTTGATGCTTACGGTGATCTGTATGTTTACAACGTCTCGAAAAATGAGCGTGATCTCAGTCTTCATCCTGTACTTAATGTCACTCGTGATCACATTTTTTCCGTGAGTGAATTCCATCGAGTTTCCTGGTGCGCTTTACCCGGTTGTTCTTCAAAAGAACGCGTTTTATGTGCTCAACCGGATACAAAATTTCCAGCGGACGCCTCAACAATGCTGCTTGTCACGCATGATGATGAGGTGCAAATTTGGGATGCTCGGGCAGTCTCGGCTAGATATGGTTCATCCCCTCGAGGGTTAGAAAAATTGATCGTTGCGATGGACAATCTTCGTAAATCCGCTCGCAATGCCGTCGACAAGTATGTTGGATTTTGCAGCTTGCCTAAGCATGAGGGCAATGTGCTTCAAGCTGTGTTCTCGAGCGACGGAACAATGGTAGCTACCGCCAGTCAAGACGGAAAAGTTCGATTTTTTAGCGTTAGCTGTGATTCTGTGCTGCCGCGTCATGAATGGATTCCGCATGACAACCGTTCTCTATCATGCCTGTTATTTTTGGACGATCCGCTCAACTCGGAATCTATTTGGAATCTGGCCTTAACTGGAGCAGAAGATAACCGGGAACTAAAGCTTTGGAGATGCCAGGATTTATCTTGCCTGCAGGTCATCACTTTTGTGCCTCCTCCTTCACTTGATTGTTGGTTCAAAGTTGAAATGGATCCGAAAGCGAAGCACATTGTTATGTCAGACATACATCGCCGAACTTTGTACGCTCTTGACTTATATCATGATGATTGTGAGGAGAATCCGCAATCTAGAATTTGTGCAGTTTCGGAGTTGCCTCTGGCTGCTCCTTATCTCAGTTTTAAAATTCGCCGTGCGATCTCTACTTCACGAATGGTGAACCCATCTGGTTTTGATCAAGATTCTGAATGCGAAGAATCATTGGCAAAAGAAGTTAACATCAAGCGAGACAATGAAACCTTGAACTCGCGGAAGGAAAGCGTGGACGAGCGTACCGTTTCGTTAAAGCTGTTCGCTGTTGAGCCGAAAGGCATACAAGAGTGCACAATTGAATATTCGATTGGTTTTAGCGAGCTTGATCGCTTGTCTCATCACGATGAATCAATTGCGCAAGACACTCTCCCAGAGCTCCAGTTGGAAGTTAATGGACATGAAACTGATGATGGTTTGAACAACAAAAGCGTCATCACCCCACCGCAGCAGCCGAAGGAAATCAACCGTATAATGAATGTCGACGATGGTGTGGATGGACGACATTCCATAACGACTGGGCGTATCGATGAAGATAGTCATGATGAAGTTCAGGGTTCGTTTAGCCGTGAAATTGGAACTCGGCTGAGGAATCGAGCCTTTGCAGAATCTTCATCGTTGGACGAAACCTTGAGGTAAAGTATTGAAAAATTATTATAGCTTGACTTTTGCGCCTTACTGATACATGTTCTCAAACAGGTCCCTGAAGAATATCTTGAAAGAACTGAAGGATGAGAAGAAAGCTGAAAGAAATGAAAAAGAAGCCCTGAAAGAGGATATGGGAATACTGCGGGCTGAAGTGTTGAATTTGAGATCATTGATGAATTCTCGGCTTCAGACGCCTGTAGGTACATCTTCGACAGGCCAAGCCTCCGACTTCGACATGCGAGCTCTAGATTTGTTATCTGAAGTACACACTATGTCCGGTGTTGCTGTGCAGAAGCTGAACGATGTGAGCTTTGATAGGAGCCATTTGGATGCAATCGCTTCTGCAGCTGCTCGAAACGTGGGGGATCAGTTTTCTGCTCGATTCTCAGAAATATTAAATCCGGCCGCACGAGAAATTGCTGACAGCGTGAAGCAAACGCTTCGATCAGAGCTCAAGAAAGATGTTTCAGGAATTCTTCAGCAGGTGGGAACGTCTATTTGGTTGTTTTGCCCTAGTCCCGTTTTCTATCTGTCAAAAAGTTATGTGTGGAATATGACCACCCATGTAAATGCCTCTTTCCCTTGAAGACGAAGCTTATCGTTCATCGTGGGACACAAGAATTCGACCTAAAACAGCTTCGCCATCGCACCGATTTCAAGAGCTAATTTTTACAAGCGGAAATTTTAGAATACTGCTGCATTGTATGAATTGACTACAGCTTCTCATTTTTATTCAAAAAGTGTCCGAAGAGGAAATATCTATTTCGTTCGACGCATTTCCGCTCCCTGTAAACATTGGTGATGTTAACCTTTACTTTTCAGATGTTGTACAGTACTGTAAAATATTGAATTATGCCGGAAACCTGATTTTTCCTGGTTCTTCTTCGGTCAAACTAAGCCCTAAACGTAGAGCCACTGTGATGGGTGTAGCAAAAACTGTTTTATTGAGCGTCAAACCTCAAGTGCATGTCCAAAATTTCGCATTTCTAATAGATTTGAAGTTGGTTACACTTTCATTTTATCTTCGGACAAAATTATCCAGATGTAATTTACCTTCCCTACTTCACCCTAGGTAATCCTTTACATCTGATCGGAGACCGTTTCACAATGAAATTTGAATGTTCCTGTTTTGTGTTCATCAGGTGAAAAAATTGAATGAAGTTGCCGGTCAATCTCCGGTGTCAGAGGCTGTAGCTCGTTCGCTGGGAGTCGCGTTGGGAGGTCCGGTAAGCAAATATCTTGATGCTACCGTGGCCAATTCCGTGTCGCCGTGCCTAGAAAGACTCGCGAAACAATTGGACAAATCGTTGAAAGACTGTGTTAGTCAGTTCGGTGAACTTTCTCGTGAGGTATCTGAGAAATTGCGTCTGGAAACAGAATCTTCTGTTGCTGAGCTGAAGTCCTCCGTTGAATCGTCGAACAATGAACATGATAAATGCTGCTGTTTTTGTTCAAATTCCCCGACCGGAGCCTCGAGTGCTATATTGTCTCAAGAAGTATCCCGAGCTACCTCTCTTGCTATTCAGCAAGCGATGTTGCAATTGAAAGAAGATTTGGCCAAAACTGTGAGCAAGGAAATGAAGAAAGTAATTAGTGAAGAATCGATGATGCGGGCGAGAAATGCTGCCGGGACACCTGGTCTGTCAACAGCACCGAAACCACCTGCAGTAGAGAGCTTTCTGTCTCTGTTATCAACTGGAAGAATCAAGGACGCATTTCAGGTAACTTTTAGTGCATAACGTTTTTCATAGTGAAGGAGCAATGTTAATTTTGCGAAATATTGAATAGAAAACTGCCAACGAATGGTCACACGCTGCCGGTTTCGAAAACAATTTGATGATAATAATTTTTAAAAAATTTATATTTCATGATAGTGAATACTTGAGGGATTTTCATGGCGGCAGAAGTCCTTAATTACGGTACTCTTTGAATTAGATATGCTCGCGCGAACTTGGCTGCGCCTGGCTCAAGGCGCCTGCCCTAATCTTGAACGAAGAAGTTTCAATTTTCCTGAGATCTTCGTAACCTTCGTGTACCGTCAATTTCTTCCAGATGGTATTATCAGCGGGTGATTTGAGCTTACTCAACAAGCTGATGGAGTGGCCAGGCTTACCCGAAGTTGTCAACAGTATATATTTGGATTCGACGCTGTTATTGGCGCTCATCCAGCAATCATCGGTGTCCTTGGGAACTTTCACGGAGAAAAAGTTGGAGGTGTTGAATTTGGCGCTTGTTTCGCTCGACTGCACGGATACTCTAGTTCAGGAAAAGGGATATGAAGTCTTGCGAGCCGCTGACGAGCGCTTGAACGCCTTCGCAAAATTGAATCGGAGTCAAGCAAATGTTGTTCGGATGGTTCGCACGACGCTGAATTCCCAGTTCACGAAGTTGCGGACCGATCGAGGGGGCTTAAGGTCCAGAACAACGTCTGCTGCAAGCATGCGTTTGGACGCAAGTTCTTGAAAACGTGTGACATTCGTTGAAGGTTGACTTTTGATTGAAGTATTTTATTACTGGAATTTCTTTCTAACGCCTCGTTTCTGTCGGTAATCTGTCCGGTTATTGAATTGTTTATGCTCTTCCGGGATGCTCTTATGTTGATTCGAAAGCACAGATTAAAGCGAACTGGTTCAGATCGCTTTTATTCATATTCTGTGACTTGCAAAATGTCGTATGCTCTTGGTCTACATGATTTTGCAATAACTTTGCGTCGGCGTTCATAGAGTTTACTTATCTGCGATTCATCTATTCCGCCAATCATATTCTCTCTAATCGCAAGGCCTTGAGACGCATCGAGTCTTGGAGTCTTTCTGCGGTAGAACCGGAACTCTCGTTTTTTTTCCCCGAAGTTATAAATGCCGTGTTAACGGAAATCGCGTGGCTAAGTCTCATTTAGCGGTGTCCCAACACAAACCGATGCGCGGACGGTAGATGGAGAAAAATCGGCTGTTGTTCCGTCGCATTTTCCTGAATTTTTCTTCCTTGGTCGTGGGACTTTTCTGACAAGTTACAGTGTTATTACGTGATGGATTTTTTTTCTTAGTTTCCTTGATCATAGTCGGCTGTGTTTTTGTTGTATATATGGGGTCCGAGAGTGGAGTGTATGCAAGTTGGGTGGACCAAACTTACCTCGCGTGTGCCACGCATTCGTATCAATCGATCGATCGTTGCGATTTGACATTCAGCGCTGGTGAGCACTTCTTGGTGTTGGAGCCTCCCGGACCTGAAGCGAAGTGGATCAACGTGATTACCGAACTGGGAAACCCCGGTTACGTTCCAAGGTCTTATGTGAACTTCGTTCAAGTGAGTGCTTCCGCGATTCACCCTCTACTACTGTAAGTTAATATAAACTCCTTTGGCTTATTTCTGTTCGACTTAGCTTTGGGTTTCTAGACGTTACCACAGCTATACAACGTCCGCAGGAACCAAAGAGAAGTCGCAGTTGAGAGTTCCGTTGAAATAGAATTTTTCATCTGTACATAAGGAATTATTTTTGAAGAGAATGTTGCTGTAGAGTCTATTATTTTCTTGAGAATCTACTCCACCTGTAATAGTATGGATAGAATCCGCCTGCTTCGACAGATGAGAAAGTTAAATCTGCCGTAGTTGAAAATTGATTTGAAAATTTGATTTAGCTTTAGTAATACAAATTGACGTAGCTTCACAAATATGAAATACTGTATGTGATGAGCCGATACTTCCAGTTTTTGTATGGTGTGGAATGTATAACTTTATTACTTGCTTTCAGATAAAATATAATATTAACTCGTGGAAAGAAAGTGTTCGCTAATTTTTCCATCGTTGAAAACTGAAGATTCCGGCTAATCTAACTGGCGAACTTCGAAGCCCTTTACCCATAGTACTACACTGTATACTAAATAAAAATAACCCATTTTTGTCTGCTGACATTTTAGTTGTTGCGTCAGTGTTGTTCGTCCGCAAACCTTTTGTGTTTTATGCTTCGTTTAGTTCTTCATTCCTTTTTTACTCGAATGTTTTCTGTAGCCTGAAATATTCGTTGTTCTCAATAACCCCCCCCCCCCCCCCCGGGGGGCTGCGTTCATTATAAGTGTTTTAATCAGAACACGGAACAGAGCGAGCTCTTCCGTTTTTTGTGGCCTTGCTTTCTGAATCCCTTCAGGCTCGGGACGGTGCCTGTGTCTGTGTGATCCCGAAGTTAATCGGAAAGTGGCTGGCTTTTAAACGCTCAGAATAGCTGGAGATGGAGAGTTCCTCATTATGTCTTATTTAATGGGCAGTTTTGCTTTTATTTTTTATTTATTTGTTCTTGGAGACTTTCTGGGCATCCGGTTGATCATTGTACACGGTGGATCAGCACATTTTTGACTGGCTTGTAGACCATTTTTTGCTGTCCACAAATCTTAATTTTGTCTGCGTGAAACTTTTAATGAAGTGCTTGAAACAAATCTTGTTCAATTTGTATCATATCGAGGTTGTAATAGCCTTTACTGTACCTCTAACGGAGATTTCTGTGCAGCATTCAGGCTGTAATACGGTATCTAATTATCGTTTTATTTTGATGCCGTAAACATGAATTCGAGATTGAAGGAATGCTAACTTCGCTGCTTTTTGGGTAGTGTATACCGCAATTCTGTAGCTTGTGTTACGTTTCAAGGTCATTTAAATTCCTTACACGCAATCGCAAAATTGGCGATCTCTCGAATTTTCAAGTTATACTGAAAATAAAAAATAAAAACTGTATTACGGTGGAAGAAATGAAAATTTTCAGTCGATTTTCATTATTTCTGACGCACCAGTGGTACAGATGAAGCCCTGTGATGTATAATTTGTAAATCATGAATACGTTGACGCAATGTATTCATAAAAAAATCTCGAAAAATGGACTGACTTGCTTCATTCTTACCGTAGAAAGTATAGGGATAGTCAATGTGTATTTCAAGCATAATCTCATAGACGTGCTGTATTTAATCAAGGAACACTCCCACATTTTTTTTCTCAAAATTGAGAGGAAAAAAGCAGTCATAGGCAGGTATCACTTGTTCAAAAGGTTTTAGAAGTTTAGGTATGCATTATACAGCACTTGATTCTGATGGGGAATTTTGGACCAATTTTGTAAGGAAAACTTATTTTGATAGAAGCAATTGAAAATTTGTTGAATTCCGGTCCAATCCGTGTTTAAATTCGGATTCGGTTGTTCTTATTTTTGAAATATTACAGTTTCGGAGTCAATAAGAGTAGAGTGCGCGTCTTACTTGAAAATACAATTCAGTAAAAAAAGTTCACTGAAAAACCTAGGTGCGCGTCTAACGTGAGGGCGCGTGGTACTTGGGTAAATACGGTATAGTACTGTATTAGTGTAATTCAGAAAAAATTGAAAACGTCAATTTTGGATTTTTATGAACCAAATTTAATCGGCTGTGAAACTGTAATACGGTTTAATGTGAAACTAAAAATGCAGCTCAAGTCGGTGAAGTTAAAGTTTCTTGAAGCTCTAATTAATGTATGCTGCATCGAAGCTTTTGGAAGAATGTACAGTAATGCAGATTTCTTTGTATTGCACCCCTATATTCAGAGGGTCACTGTTTTCCGAAGGGAATGATAACCTCAATACGGTATGACGGTTTCGATGGGGAACGAACTGATTAAAAAGCGATTGCTTTGAACCTCCATATGAGATTAAATTCAGAGTCATAGTTTTCATAGTATGGCGAAATAGTTTTTAAAAATTGTGTTGGTTTCTCAGAATTTTCCGGTACATGTTAGTCTTTGATAGTACATGGCAGTCTCATTCGACGCCCAGATTGTTGAGTCTTCCTGATCAAACCATATTTTCTGTAGACAACAACTGCAAACGTCATTGATTTCCTGGAGGGCTGCATAGAAGCTATTCAGCTCAGCTCCGCGCATCGTGGGGGTCTCTACAGTGACCGAGAAAAGGCCCTATTGCACACCTTGATCAACAAGAGGAAAGCGTTGACATTCAACTCAGTAGGGCCCCAGCCCTCTGAGGTCATCTCATCATCCGTTCAACCAGACGTATCTGCGAGCTCTCTGGGCACTGTGACTTCTCAGTGCACGTTGTCTTCCAGTGTTTTCCCGCAATTTGCGGACCGGAAGTCAAAAACTCCTCCGAAACCTCCGCCGAGGAGTCCAAACGTTAGTGTGGTGTCTTTACCGGATGCCGTCGACGCTGTCGCTGGCGGATGTTCCGTTTTACGCGGACCTGAAACTAATCAAAATTTCGGTGAGTCTTCCCTCGATGTCATTTGCGTGTTCATTTTACTGCAGAAGATTCCAGCATTCGTCCGATGTAATTTTTAGCATTGCGACCATCTTTGTCTCAATATTGAAAATATTAATCCGCTGGACTGGTGATAGATTTACAGTTCGGAAACTTTCTAGCCCCGTATAATCTCTGAAACTTCGTTTCCCCAAAATGCGGCGAATATGTGTGAAATGCATTCATAAAAATATCCTATTTTAACTTAGGGTTATGTTTTCACTAAAATGGCCGTGATATGTTACCTATGGAAACGTATTCAGTCGTAGAACATTTAAAAGTGAAGGACTGTAAGCTTCCTTGAGCCTCAGCTTTTATTTCCTCCATCCGCAGAGTTCTAAAAAACATTGGTTTCGAATAAAGCTTTAATATTTCAAGGAATTCTTTTGTTTCGCACTAGGCCACAAAAAACATGCTGTGAAAGACAAAAATTGAAGTAGTGTACATTATTGGCTATATTCTATAGTTCAAAAATGATCAAATTGACTCTTCATTCAAACCCAACGTCAGTTTTCTGCGTTTAGAACTATAAGTTATGTAGTATTTGCATTTTGGAAGTAGTCGAACATTATTGTAGACTGCCCTGTACATAGCACCCTGCCTTTCCCTTTCCAAGTCTGACATACTGTATACGGTTCTCAAGTACTGTATTCATTATGTCTTTTAGTTGAAGAAAATATATGGAAAAACAGTTACTTTTGTGTAAAACTAACCTGTTGAGGTTTAAACGAAGGTTTTATGATGAGCACTTACCCTTCCCAACACCTTGTTATTGCTGTGTCATATTTTCCCGCGTTATATTTTTTTCACACGTTGCTTGATACCTAATTCCCTTGTCCCGCCACCATCACGAATCAGATAAACGCCGTCCCTGTAGCTGGCGGATTGTTCAGGTTCCCACAGCTGATCCGGTGTTCAACGTGATTGATTAACATTGAACTGCATCTAAGTTGCCGCAGCTTGGCCAGCCTGACGATTCTGTGCATCCAATTGAGACTTTACTTGAATTAAAACGAATGATTCCTACTTCGTCCTGGCGAATTTTGAAAAAGCCTCAAGCCTCCTTCTGAACCCATTCAAGTGGTGGACCTGATGAGTCACTTCTTGAATTAAAAGAATGCGAGTTATTTTGGTCGGTGGATAGATTTATAGAATTTAAAATGTAATTCTATTCATTCATCCCATATATGACAAAAATTATGAAAATCGAAATGTTTAATCACAAGATTGTCTTTTGGGCTCTTCGGCTCAACTAGTGCGAAAATAACGCCCCCGGCGGTTGATTTCTACTTGTTGGATTTGATTAATCAGGAACGCGGAAGGGGATTTAGCGGAATTTCCTTTTATTGTGAAAGGGAAGCTAATTTTCGTGGGGAAATAATGGTCCTGGTACTTTTTGATTGGATTTTTAAACAATGGATCATTCAAACGCCGCTTCCCTCTCGACAAAAGACCTCTGATTTTATTTTGATTAGCTCAGTCATTACCGTAATGATCTGTTCGCAAGCCATGAACGCTTGACCAGCATTTTTTCCCCTTGTTATGGTGACCTTCCTTATTCCACATTGACTTCTTCCTTTCGATCGATCAATTAAGACGACGATAATTAATAGGGGAGTCCTTAGCAGGCTGTTATCAACAATGCGGACGGTTATGCTCCTTTCTTTTGAAATAAAAGGCTCCATTGTACCAGTTCTTGTCAGTACTTGCTGAAATATTCCTGCGACTGCTCATGTTTTCACATGAGCTTAGTTGAATGTAAACATGAAGATTGTCATCACAGTATCTTTGAGAATAGGAATCATCGCAAACGCCTCCTGTACTCTCCTCTTTAGAAGAGCGCCGAATTTTATTTCAAGCGTTGTTGAGAGACATGATTCAGTATAATTGTGGCGTACTTTCGCCTCAAATGAGTTGAAATTGAACGAATTTTAGCAGCAGTTTTTAGATATTTTTCGTTTATTTTATGATGCAGTATTTAGGAATACCGTTGTTCGATTAAAATATTAGGTTTTTTCGTTTTTAATTTTGAAGTACCGTACTCAACTATAAATGGATATTTTTCTGATTTGCTTCTGGTTGTAGGAAAACCCGAGGAAAGAAGCCACCCAGTGGTAGGAACGAAAGAAAAAAGAAATCATGATATGAATCCTGTTTCCGACGAAGATAAACTTGTCGGCGTGAAGGACAGGAGTGAAGCGTGGGTAACCACCTTGTGTCATGAGCTGGTGGAAGCCGTTCGAGCGGAGACGAATCTTAGTCATGCTGGTTCTCGAAAGGCTGTTGCAGTGGTTTTGAAGCGCCTCGGGGAATCTGTTCGTGATTTGAGTGATGGGCTAAGTCCGATTTTGCAGCACTTGGACGAAAGTTGGTCGCTTGCTCCCGATCTTGTGTCGGAATCTCGAGACGCGATGAGGTTGAGAAACGCTGTGAACGATCTGATGGTGGCTAGATTTGATGACCAACAGCGTGGATGGCATCTGCATGAAGATGAGCCTGCGATTTTGAATTGCTTGGATTCCATCTTGGATATTATGGTAAATGCGGTTGACATCGTACTTCCTGCATTTGAAAAAAAATTATAAATGACCCTGCTCCGGGCCATTCTTGCAGTCCGAATTTAATTTTTCGATGAAGCAAAAAGTCTGATTTTATTCTTTAGAGCGGAGCGGATGTAGCAGTTACGCGTCACGTCGTATCCGAGGATAGTTTCAGCAGAATTGTTGATATCGTGGCATACTTCCAAATGGAAACAAGAAGATCCATCAGACTCAAAATATTGGAAACCCTCAATCTCTTATGTGCTTTGGAACCGAAAGTTATACCCGTTTTACTAAGCTCCGTTCTTCCCTTGGAGCTCATAAGGCAAGCGCTCTTAGTTATTTTTCTCTTGTCTTTTGACACAAAGACAAATGAATCTTTAATTTTACTAGTTCATAAATTATCTTGACCTTCCAGAGATATTCAGTCGTGCAAGGGCGATAAGGAACGCGCGAGTCGGTGCGTAACCCTATTGGCAACGATTCTGTCCCTAGGAGATAGAATGCCTGTGCATTACTTCGGTAAGTTGTAAACTTACTAAAGGAAGTCATGAACGGATTATTGATTTCTTAAAGCTGGTCCTCGATGTGTACATTGAAGGATTCGCATTGAAGCGCAAGACATTTTAACTGGTTAACGAGTTCTGTAAATTTGGGAGTTGAAACGTGATTTCAATTATTGTCATTTCAGAGCAAGTTACGTCGAATTTTTTATCTTGGCTGGTAAATCACGTTGTGGATGACAAACTGGACGAATGTGACCCTATGGCAGAAGGGCTGCAGATTCACTGTTTCATTCTGTTGCTGGGGCTTAATCTGCAATATCCTCGTCCGGAAGGAAACCCTATAATTTCCGAGCTTCGAAGTGTATCTCAAGCCCAGCCTTTGACCGAACGTTTACTGTTGCATTTAAACCGAGGAGGTTGGTAGCACTTAATGTAGTGATATAGGGCTATATTTCGGACAATATAATCTGCAATACTGAAGTCATGTTAACAAATTCAGCGATATTTCCAGATACTTGGAAGTACAGTAGTCGTTCGTGTCCCTTGTAGCCTTGTGCGTAGTGTGAATTGTTTCTCACCTATCCGCCGTTTATAATCGTGTGTAGCCTTCCCGAAATATGGTACTGTACTGTATCATCTTTCTCCGGGAAATCTCGAAATATTCGTGTGGTTTTTTGGAGCTCTACGAGAATCCTCGTAGAATACTTTCCAGCTTTTTGAATATTACAGTATTTTTAGCTTATGCTGTAATAGAAACTTGACCTACTGCGCAAATGAAAGTCAATTACAGTATTTTGAAGCGTTGTAACTTGTAAGGCCAATACGTTGGCTCGTTAATTTTAGCGATTGTAACTTGCTTCGAAATACGTGCTTATTCTACTCAATCCGGAAAGAGCAAGTCTGTTGAAAACTGATGATTTTCTAAAAGTTGTGAGGTTCTTTTTTCTGATGATGTATCAATTATTTCTTTATGGACTCAAATTTTCTGACTGTCATGATTTCATAGTTGCATCAATCTTTTTTAGTTCTTCATCGTTCAACACACATCACCTATTTGTGAAATCTGCGTTAAGATCTCATATTCATTAGTATACTCGAGTCGCCCTTTCAACCATTAATTCAACCATTAAGGAAGGAAGACTCGAGACACCCTCGGAATATGTGTATCAACTGCATTTTATACACGTTGAAAAATGTTTCAACTGTGATCACAATGTGTGGGATGATTTTCCTGGCCCTGTTCATGTGACGGTCATCTGGTAGAGGTTTAGGAGAGAAAGTATCAAAGGCACGAGATATGGAAAATATTTTAAAATGTTCGCTTTTCTACTGAGAAAATTGCAATCGCTTGTTCGGTACAACCAGACTGCCAGACATCTGGAAATATTCGCTGTTGTCGTTCAAGATTTAGGAGAGGAGCGAAACTTCCTGATTCCGCATAATTTTAAGCATTTCTAGTTATTGAAATAATTTCATGATTTTCTCTTTATCTTGTTCTGTGATTACAGAGGATCCTTTAGATTTAGTCGAAGTAGAAGGAGAAAAACTTCGACCTGATTCAGTGGTGAAACTTCTAACGGACATGTTTTCCGACGAAAAAACGTCGTACCTTTTCTACACAAATGACGTGAATGCAATGCTGGACATGGTGCTCAGAATACTGACCGATTTACCGGAAGATGATGTCGGGAAAGAGCCGTATTTGAATTTATTGCACAACGTTTTGGCCCAGACGGCGTACGAAGAAAATCTTCACCGTGTCGCCGACATCAGCAAATGTCTAAAGATCTGTTTGTGTTCGGAGAAGTCGACTCCTGTGGCAAAGATGCTCTCGAAAAAAATTGTTGACCGGTTTCCGAATGTGTTTCCTGGTTTTCGTGAAATAAGTCAGTCTTGATGTCATCCATGCTCGGCGGAATTTGATCCCCGAATTATCCGTTTTAGCTGACGCTGAAATCATGTTTCCATTTTTTTTATGTGGCATTCCTGATCCCAAGTCAGCGCGATCAAGATTCTGAAGCGTGTCGTGGAGCTTACAGAACCAACTTGTGAAATCACACGCTGTCGTTCGACGAATCAACATATGCTTTAATTAGTGTAGCTTCAGTGACTTGCCGAATTTTGTCTAGTCATTGCCAATCATGAGTTCCTCGCGACGAGGAGTTGAAAGTGCTTGTGTTCCATTGAATGATTGTGGAAGCTAGTATTGTTGCGGAAGTGGGGGAATTGGAAAGAATTGATCTTGTCGTGAAGGTCGAACCTCTTCTTGGTGTCGGCTGCTTCCTCTTTCGCCTTCGGCCTTTTACATTGATTTTATCAGCAGCGTCGAGCTTTGGGTTCTCGCGGTGATCTATATTCTACAGGTCAACGTTGCTTAACATTTACCACCCACTTTGAAACCAGAATTTCTCCGGGACTTATCGAGATAATCGAGGAAATAAACCATTGCAACTTCAGAGCTATGAATCAATGATGAAAGGCTAATTTTAACTTGTCAAATGATGCTCCAAACAATTGCTGGTGGTAAGATGCATGTTGTAGAAGGCTGACAGGTTAATTTTGTTGACAATTTTATTTTTTTATATTTTTCGCTCAACTACTTCCGTTCTTTTTTGTTCTAGATGACGTGATAAGAAAGTGTTACCTTGTATCCCGTTTCGGCGCAATGTGCGCAGGGTTTAAGGCGCTCAGGCGTGTAAGCTGCGATTGGTCGGCGCGAAATTGCCTGCTATACATCGACAGAGTATTGCCGATCGGAGCAGGAGCGTTGCTTGTCACCATGGTGTCCGCATCCATCTTCATAATCAACGAGTCCAAGTCCAGTTCTGCGCTTTACGTTTACGCCTGTTTCCTGTTCGTCCAAGTGGCGGCGAACTGGTTTGGCGTGTTGTCGTATTCCGGCAGCCGGCACGATGTTGAACATGCTGGCGCGGACGAGTTGCGTTCCGAATCGCACCACTGTTGGGTTTGTGACCGGATCGTGTACCGTAGGGACCATCACTGCTTTGTGCTCGGGGCGTGTATCGGCGCGGAGAACCAAGCGTTTTTCGTGTGTCTCATGGTGCATGTTGCAATTTCGTGCATCGTGGGTGCGGTTGTGTCGGGAAAGTTGTTGGAACGTCGGCTGGGTTTCTGGGCCAATAGTCGGTAAGATTTCTGATCAATGCCTTTTAAAATTACGTTCAGTCTCGCTATTGAATATGAGTTGGAAATTTCGCATGTGGTTACAACATAGGAGAAATTTTTTGTATTGTAGGATGTCATGGTTGGGAACATCTGTTGAGGATGTATTCAGTAGAGCATAGTTTTTTAAGTACTGTAAATAACAAATCATTATCAAAATTGATCTTTCACAAGTTCGAATTGGAGCATTCAACAGGTTCAGATCATATTTCCATGATCTTCAGTTGCAGTGAGGCTCAAATAAGTGTTTCTACGATGAGGAATTGCAGTTCGTTTTTCATCCGCGAATTATTCATCGAAACGAGTCGCGGCGTTTCGGTCAACTTTTCGAAGGAAAGAAGCACACAAAAATTTTACAAGAATCGCAGGAGAAAAATTATACATTTTTTCGCTGTTATGAGTTTGAACATACAGCCGTAATATTTGCTATACCGTACCAAACAAGGATGTGCTTTTCAAGTACAGTACTGTAGTTCGGAATCCAGGTTCATCGTAGCCCTACCGCGAAACATAGAGATCGGTTTAGGAATGCGAGTTACCCACCTATTCATAGAAAGGGTCGTTTTTTACAGGTATGAGCAAGCCATTGCTTGGGTCCAGTTGTGGAATGTTGCCGTGGCACCGAGTTCTTCTCGTCAGTGGATAAACGCGCTCATTGCGACGTTTTTCAATATTACGGCTATGTTTGCCTGGTCACTCACGTTTTTTTCAGTGTTCTACACCGTTCTTGCACTACGAGGACAAACCCAATGGGAATTTTTCCGCAAACGAGGCAGGAGGAAGTTATTGGGCTATCAAGAAGCTTGGGTGAGAGTATTTGGAAAAAAGTGGTACTGGCGACTTCTACTACCGATGCAATCAGCTGATGTTCTGGCCGGTGCAAAGTGCAGTGATCATGATTTCTAGCCATTTCTTGGCATACTGTTCAAAAATTTTCTCCCGCAATTGTTTTAAACTTTTCTCGTAGTTTTTTTTCCTTCGAAGAGTTAGTGACACGTCGTGACGTTTTACGCAAGTTTTTTGGGCGAAAGAAAGTCGCATTTTGTGTGCTTGAATTACAAGAGGATATCCTGCTGGTAAGCTTATTCCTTCACCGTGAAGCAGTGATGGGTGATCTCGTATGTGTGCCTGTGTCAGTAATACTTTTTGTGGTACTATTGTACTTGAAGCACTGTACTGAGTACAGTACAGTATTGCACCAAATTTTTGCTAGAAGTGCAATGAACCCTGTCGTAAAATAATTTCCCATGTGATCGCGTTTCGGTTAGGCTTACTGAATTTGGTAATCGCCGAATGCACTGCCGGGAATTCGGAGTCGCGAAATTGTTTCTGTCCGGTCGATCGATCAAAATTTCGAGATTTGGTGATTGATATTATTCATTATTGATGAGAAAAATTGTGTTTGACTCGCATTTTGATGAAGCTATAGAGTTTGGGGGGTTTTTAACGTTTTTTTTTAGTAAGAACGCGTGTTCTGTAATTTTCAGATGCCTGTGCCTCGAAGTGATGCTTTATTGGAATTAGCTAAAGAAGCCGGGGAGGCCGCATTGCGAGGTCAGCTCCTTGAAAAGTACCGAGTGTTTTTAGCCGCCGGAATCGTGATAGATCCCGCTGTTTTCCCGTAGGTCGCTCCTCAGAAATATCAAATGATCTGTTAATTTTTGACTTCCTGAGTTATTTCAGACTTTTGGACAAGCTGATGGACTATGACATCCCTGCCGAAACCGTTTATCAGATTCTTCGCCGGATGCTCACGAGTTCTGACGCTGAAACGAACGGGGGAAATTCCGAAGAACCTTCCAAATCATGAGCTTTTTTTCTTGCATAATTTGTATTCGTGAATTAAAAATGCCCCGCCTTTTTTCAGTTGATGATTCATAGAAAAATGACAAAGTTTATAACAATTTACAGTATTTGGGGCTTCTTTGGTCAGATTCTTTGAGTTTGTTGAGCTCTGGTAAAATGAGTGCTAGGAAGAAACACCAGAATGGAAAGCTTTCCGACTCGGTTCTGAAGCTCGGGGTAAGAGTCAGGGTTGATTATTTTTTTCCCGCTTGATTTCTTCAAATTTTCTCCTTCAGTTCATGGTTCGAGCCAGAGAAAAGGAAGAGAAGAAGGTTCAAGAAGAGCAAACAGAAGCGTTATTCCTTAGTACCGGGGTCGATAATCCGAAGTAAGTTTCACATTCAAAAGAAACTTCTCTGACGTGAAATTTTCAATTATGCAGGGAAATTTCCTTTTCATAATTATTAAACTTGTACGTAATGTGCGATTCTGGTTGCCGTACTTCATTTAACCGTAAATGTATTTCTAAGACACAAAGGAACATTCAAGGAATCCAGCTTCTTTCTCCTGGAACGTCTTGCTTTCGGTCGTTTATCATTCGGAGGTTATAACGAGGAAGTCGAGAAGCTTGCAGCGGAGCGAGAGAGGAGCAAACCGAAGAAAAAAGTTGAGGAACAGGCTGATATTTCCACTAAAGAAATGGTGGAGTTTCACACCTCGATCCGAGGGATCTCGACGATGAAGGGCAGGAATCAAGCTGGTAAACACACTCGATTTGTGTACGTAAAACCGGATCCGGATTCTGAAATTGTTGCACCTGAAGCGAGTGAAGCGAAGATTGGGCCAATTAGGGAGAGAAACCCGCGTTTGAATTCGTATCGGTTTTCCCCGCTTCGGCGGCGTTATCACTCAGTCATGGATTTCTGTCTCGGATGAAGCTTATAAAAAATACGAAATTTTGGATTGCGTGTGAATGATATGGAATCGTGCTGAAGGTTAGCGTTCTTTTTTTTAAAACCTGATCTATGATAATTTTCACCAGTCAATTCGTTAATGAGTTGTGACTAGTGAGGGATTTTCTTCATAATATATACGAATTGACATCTTCCGTGTCACAAATTTATAAATAACGATAAAATTGTTGATAAAGTTTAAACCAGTTCTTGCGGCGGCGGTGAAAACCGATGTAAAAATTGATTCCTTGCATTTAGCTTCTACAAAATTTATTCGAGCTGCTGTTCCTGGCCACTTCATTCTTCGGTCCGAAGGTAGTTTCTTATCTTTATTTGCCGAAAGATAAAATCTCCGAGATCTTTGAGGTAAAATTAAGTATGTTCCGAAACGATGCCTGTTAATGTTTCGAAGAGCAGCGCGTAGTCGAAAGAAGAAAACAATAAATGGTAAATGAAGTTGTTGGAAATGCAAGCGCGGTACTAGAAGGCTCTAGATAATTATCAATGGGTGCAAAAATTCTGTAAGTTGTTGATTCAATTCATCAAGATAAAATTCAGATACAATATATTGAATCCGTAAAGGTTACTGTCCTGCTCGATCTGCATCGATTTCTGATGCTTAGAATTGGTTTTAGTTCTCGATTTTGTAATCGTTTCAACAAAAATTTTTTTTACTTGAATTTTCCCATCCGTAGTTTTGATATGAACTGTTCCAGGCCTTTGATATGCTCGATTTCCTGGTCAATTTTCGAGCTGGGTACTTCTGTTAAGAGATTTAGGCTTTAATCGGAGTTTTCTGATTAAAAAGAAGAGGTTGCTCGCTGTCGTGACTGCACGTCTTGGGTGAGACGGGGACGTTGAGTTTAAGTTGTTCAAGTATGTTACATTATTATGTAAGGATCGATGACGTCCAGTCCGTTATGCCCCAATTCATTATCTCTCTTCCAGGGTTTGTGGCAATTTTTTTTACCGCAGTCTCCGTGCCGCGTCATGCTTTAGTGTTCGAGAAGCGTGCTTGTGTAATGACCGGGAAGTCGTTTTCGCCGAAGTCCTTGTCTGGACGTAAACTTGCCTCGATTCCTGCTCCATGGGACCCGCAATGCACTCCGTACTGTGTGACCGCGGAAGAGTTCGCGTCCCGAACGAGAAGCTTATGTTCGGTGGAGGTTGAAACCACCGCTTCCCACCACGTACGCGTTTCCAAAGTGATCGTTCTCGGCGACATGTCCGTGGGTAAAACTAGTCTCGTCAACCGGTATGTTCTTGCGAATTATTCCCAGCAAACGAGACAAAAAGTGGATGTATAAAAATATTTTGCTGACATGCTTATTCATTGATTTTTATTTAGGTTCTGCTATGAGATATTCGATTTCCATTACAAAGCAACGATCGGAGTTGACTTCGAAGTTGAACGGTATGAAATTTTGGGTGTACCGTTCAATCTCCAAATGTGCGTATATCAAGTTACCGGCGTTTTCGACCATGATTCAAACGTATTTGATTTTTTTTATTAGATGGGATACCGCAGGAGCAGAGAGATTTCGATGTATTGCATCTTCTTACTATCGAGCTGCCCATGGTAATGCCCATCTTCCCGTTGAAATAAGAATTACATTTCAATTGTCTTTGTTCTTTCCCCATTAGTGATCGTTTTGGCATTTGACATGTCCGTGCCATTGACAATGGAAAGGTGTTCGTCGTGGTTGGAAGCTGCCATGGAATCATGGGATCCGAAGCTGTCCGCCAAGCCATTAATTTTCCTCATCGGTTGCAAGATGGACCTCTTGGTAAAAATTTTTTTATTGTGTTTTACTATCGATGAAGTTGCCCGAAGGTGTGTTTTTATGAACGAAACATGTCGATGATCTGTATCTTGAAAACTTACCGTTATTTTCTGCTGCTAATGGCGGTCATTGAAGGCTTGGTAAGCCGGTCGTCTTTTTTGAACCTTCGGAAATACCGCGCAATTCTTCTTAACTGACTTGTTTTCCAATAGGCTCCAATGGACTACGCAAAAGTAATAGCAGATGCCAAGGAAAAGGCTCTGAAGATGGAGGCTGAATTCTGGCCAGTTTCTGCAAAAACTGGCGAAAATGTTCAAGAGTTTTTTCGGCGTCTGGCCGCGCTGTCGTTTGCTGCGAATATCAGGGACCAAATGAGAAGAGAGAAACGTGAATCTCGTCAAAGCAGAGGATCTAGAACCAAGTCAATTGTCCGTAAGTATCTTTTTTGAGAAGTTCCGTGAGTCGAACGTGGGCTCTTGACTACTGAAGCTCTTTGCCGAATATAAAATCAACCCTTTGTTGATAGACCGTTGCGTGTGATGCTTCCACCGTGCTTCAGCTGTATATTAGTAGGCTGATCCATATTACCTATGCATCATATGAGGTTTCCTCTTTTGGATGACACATATCGGACAGCCACTGTTGAGAGGGAAAGCTAGAATGAAAATTTTCAGTGCTGAAATCTCGGAATTCCTTTTTAATTTGTCCGTCTTTGATGTGGGAAAACGCGTTGCAACTTTTTGTCTTAGCATTTTTCCTTCAAATGTGTGTGCTACACATTTCAATGCACTTAAATCGTGAAATTAGGCGACATTTGATTGAAATCTAGTTAGTTTTTTTGAGGATAGCTCGAACAGTTAAGGAGATGTGACGGTTGAAAAGAACTTTAGGTCCACCGAACCCGTATATTTTGGAGAATCTGACCTTCCGGGAAATTAGGAGCTTGTTGTAACCGGTTAAAATCAGTTTTGTAAAACATGCGAGTGCTTCGGTGTTTTTTTTTTTCCTCACTCATCTTCTGAAGACGAAAAAAATTGCTGAAGAGGTGAGGCTTGGATTTCTCTCACGATCTTTAAATTCAGACAATGTGATTCTTTGGCCCCTCCCTGAAAACGGGCAGTATTGGCATTGGAATATTGTCTTCGAATGTATTGTGCTATAATGCTTCCGTAATTTTTCTCAGGTATTGTCTTGGATCCACCCAAACAAGAACAAGCTGTGGTGGCTAAATATCAAGTCGGATGTTGCAAATGAAATCTTGCACTTCACGCCAGCGTCCGATGCATTTAGTGATGCCGTCCGTCCCTTGTCCCGTTGGCTGTCCGAGGTGGGGAAGAAAACAAGAAAAGAAAAAAGTGAATTGGGCATATCGTAACGTGGTGTTGGAATGTTGATGTGTTCCCGTGCTGCTAATCTGCGTGCCGTTTTTATATGTACTGTACTGTGGTACTGTATTGTATTTCACAGCTTGTAATATGGACCTGTGCACTGACCAAAAAAGATTTTTTCATACGACAGCTTACGTCTTTCCCAACATTTCTCGCGTGCTCGGCGAACGCAAGGCGATAAGTTTTACATCAACCATAGTAGAAGAGAGTCGTACTCGGACGCATGGTATTTTTCTAAATACAAAACTTTCTATGTCTAAGCTCGTTGAAAATCCATGTTAGTCTTCAAAATATATTATACAGTATATCGGATGTGCAGGCAAAATTAGATTTTACAGGGTTACCCAAAGATGTTCACCCACTTGAAAATATCAGCATATCATCATGCTTATGGAACTTCCTCGTGCCACTGGTTATAAATTTAAATCTACATACAAATTACATTTCAAAGTAATGTACAGTAAAAGTTTTCTCTCCGATTTGTCCGGCGGAAAATTATTCGCAAAACTAGTCATTTAAAAAATAATAATTCGGAGTGGTACTTCCCTTCGTCATTCGGGTGCATTGCTTTTTAAAAAGTATTCTTGTTCGATAACTCCTGCCGTATGCGGAAGCAACTCCGGTATGCTTATTTAAGTGACTGCTTGATTTATCAAGGAAAACTTACTTTTGCATATACACAGACGTGCGTAATTTTCGTAAAATGTTTCGCCTTGCGATTCCACGACAAAGTTTTCTAATTACTCCGCCCTCTCAACTTTCACCGTTCTTTTTTTTCAGACAGTGATACTTATCTAGAACAGATTTAATTTTCCGTTCGTTGTAGAAATGAATACCGAAAAGTTGAAAAAATTGCAAGGGGAAGTGCGAATTGGAGGGAAGGGTTCTGCGCGGCGTAAGAAGAAGGTTGTCCATCGTGTGAATGTGATTGACGATCGTAAGTTGCAGTCGACTCTCAAGAAACTTAACTGCAATCCATTCCCTGGAGTCGAAGAAGTCAACATGTTCAAGAGCGATGGAACGGTCATGCACTTCAACAATCCCAAAGTTCAGTTGGCCCTCTCTTCGAACATGGTAACCATCAGTGGATCCGCGGACACACGACAGGTATTTTTGCTGAGGATTAATCATCGCGAAAATTTAAAGAATCCCCTGCTTACATTATTCGAATTGATCCTCATGATCGATTTTTAGATTTCTGAAATGCTGCCGAAAGTTTTGAGCCAGTTGGGACCGGAGCAGTTGTTGAAATTTTGCAACCTTTCCAGTCGTGCCGCTGCCGCAGCTGCTGCGAAAGAGGAGGAAGAGGAGGTTTGTCTCGCATTTAGATTTTAATCAGACCCGATCTTCATGCGCGTTGTTCTTCAACCTTTTTGTCGCTGAAGTATGGTGATCTTGCGATAAATTGCTTTTTTGGCAACCAACCAGGAGGTGGTACCGCTGTAAAATATACTACAGTATTCAACTAATTGATTTGTATTACAGTACAGTACAGTACTGTATTAGTATTTCCATTAATGTGGTACTTCGAGTTTGTCAGCACATAAAATTGGAAATTATTGATATGTTATAATCATGAATCATGAGAACCAACTTGGCCAAAGAATACCTTTCTCTTTTGTATTTACCTTTGAAATCTCCCGTGTTTTCCATGATTGTCAAACTGGACTTTTTTAAAGTGATCATCTATGTATTCTATGAGACATACTGGGTTACATACTGTATCTAGATTCAATGGTAATTTACTGTATATGAAAACAAGAATTGGTTCAGTATTGGACACAATTTTTAAAAGAATAGCTCAATTTTAACTTTCACCAATTGTTTGAAAATGTTTCTTGAACATGCCGCAATTTGAGAAGCATGCTTTAATTTTTCTTACGTAGGATTGCCGACTCTCGTATACCGCAAAATTTTGAATCATGAACAGTAAATCAAACTTCGATTTAGGGTTCAAGTAAAAGTACTGGAATGCACAGTATGTCATGAGTACTCATGACTGATGGTTTACAACTTTTGCCTTAAATATTTTGATAGCTTTTTGCTGATCTACGTTTGCTATTCAGATTCCAACGTTGGTGGATAACTTCGAAGCGGCGACGATAGACGAGTCGAAAGTGACGAAGGTCGAAGGTGACGATAAAGAAAATTCGGCGAAAGCAGAGGCTGAAGTGACCGCCTGAGGGCTCCGAGGAATGGAAGCAAAATATTTCCTTGGGCGGATCAAAACGAAAATATGAAAAATTTTGAACAAAAGTTAAGACATGAGGTAGTTTTCTCGCTAGAACGGAAACGACGATGAATTCAGTGTTACATCACCAGTCCCTGGATTCTTTTTTTTAGTTGACGCATGAATTACTGTTTTTCTATGAAGAGGTTTTCCACTTCTGGAGTTTTGAGAAGGTTCGCATGGGCGGTTTTGTAATGCTTTAATTTTTTGTTAGACTGAATTCGTCAGTTGCTTTTGTTCGGATGTTGAGCGGTCGGGAAAGGTTTCTTCCCTTGCGCGATACTGCCGAGAGAGATTATCAACTGTTGAAAGAAATGCAATTTCATGGCACGTGGATTTCGTTGTGATTTCTTCTGGAGTAGGTTCGGCATTCAACATACCGTATATTTATTTGTATATTTTACTCGAGTCTCACTTTCGGAAATGAATCTTCTGCCATCAGGTAGATTATATAGTATATATACATACCTTGGATTGCCGACTGACGGTAGTCCTTGCCGTGCCTAATGTCGGATAGTATCAAGTCACTCTTCATGCCGAGGAATTGATTGATACTGAAGTACAGCTGTACTTGTACTGATCTGTACAGTACTTGAATCCTGCTTCATCATTTCATGCATCTACATATTTTCTGTTATCATTGGAGACCCCGCGAATCATTTCTTAATTTGATCGACGAGTTATACTTGCCGTCACCAATCACTAACAACATCCTTTACAGAATATTGGAACCATTTGTAGACTTCATCGCGATCCCTTCTTGGCCGCCTGTGGTTCCAGACTACAAGTACTGTACAGTACAGTACTTAAATCGTGTTTCGTTCCGCAAGTTCCCATAAAGCAGTGATGACAACTTGATGTAACTGAAGTGTTCTTTAGTCTCATGGGGTCCAAGCGTATCATCAGAAATCTCAGTTCTCGTAAATAGTATTCCAAGATGCTAAATCGACCGAACATTTCTGGCGGATATTTCAAGTAAAATCGTGCACATGATTTTGAATTAAAGACTTTCCAGTCGTTCGTTTCTCAGTAAATACAGTAGCTAGGGTCGTCATTGTTGTTGCGCCTTAATTCTAGCAAGAATTCTGGACACCGCTCAGAGAAGATGAGCTATACCGAAAATTGGTCTTCCTCCAGAATAAAAGGGATCCCTCCGGTCTAGTTGGATTAGTCCGCCTTGGGATAACAAATAAGTTCATAAAGCACACTCAGTTTCCCCCATGTCTCAAAATTATTTTCTCATTGATCCGAAGTCGACTATAAGCGTCCGTTATTCTGCTGAACAATGGTTCACTTTCTATATGTACCCCCTTCAATATGTTCGACACATTTAATAACACGGAACTGTAGTTTCATCTGGAGTCAAGAAAAGTTTTGATGTGCTATACTCTGTAATTGAATGAGTTGTTTACGATCCCTTTTTGAACGCCTGTTTTATTGATATTAATGCTTTATATGCTGAATGAATTCCACACTGGAATTCCAACGTGGAGTTTTTCTGCGGGCGACGGTCGGGAGAGGCGGCTTGCGACACCTATCCCTTACAAATGTTACGGAGGTTTTTGTATTTTTAAAACTAATTATCAAACATTCCGATGCTTCATACTCTTCGCTTTATGAACTCAGCGCACACCCCGTTTCCTCAATGAAACAAACCCCTCCGCCCCTCTCTCGGGTCGGGTCACAGAAGATGTTCCACCCAGTCGCCCGCTTTATGAACGCGGAACCCGCGCTGGGGCTCCTCCTGACCACCATGGCTCCAATCGTCGGGTTTTTTCTCCGGACGCGCCGCCTGCCCCTTTGCCAGGCAAAACCCTCATCCTGGTTGATCTTCCGTATGCCACAGTGCTGTGTGTTCGAGATATGCAACTTATGAGGCGGAGAAAAAAATTCGGATTCTAGCTCTGGGGATTCTTCAGCTGAAACCAAGTGTCTCTAGCCCATGTATAAGATGCAGGTAATGCTTCATGGAGGAAGGATTGCTGGTGAGAGACAGATATGATGAAGAATTGATAGCTAGCTGGCATAAACGGTACTGCAGAAACAGTGTGCCCGAAAGCTATACACACTGCGCAACGCGCGGCGGGAAAACACACACACATCCCGGGAGTGGGAGTGTGGATGAGTTGAATAGCGGATCCAACCCCACAAGGGTTCTGATTGTGTCCGTATATGCGATGGGTTACGCTCATCAAGAGGGAAACCTCTTCGGGAGAACGACTCATCCTGACGTCTCTTTAATTTCCAAGAATTTCACATTGATCGTCACACACCAGCGAGCCAAGATAGTGTGGAAAGGCGTTTCTCAGCTAGGAAACAAGATTTTTTTTATTTACTTGCTTAAAAAATCCCTTACTGCATTATATGCTGGGTATCGATTTTGCATTTTAATATCAATAAACAGAGAATGCGAGAGTTATATTAGGACGAGTCAAACGAATGTTACGCGAGTTCCGAAAGTGGTATGCTTCGAAGTGTTCATCATGCGTGCAGAAAGTCTAAATAATTATTCAAGCGCCAAAGAAGATCAAGAGAATGAAGAATTTTATCAACTATAGCTATTCTAAGTACTGAAGAACAATTGTTTCATCATTCATCGCATTCCCGCGCTAGAGCACGTGATCAAAATGCGCTTTTTGAGTACCATATAAGAGGGTGTCTGCATGAGAATAGTGCTTCGGAGCATTTATATATAATGACTATACAGTAGACAGTACATATAATAGTAGGCGTTGTCAATGGAGAAAAGTTATAACTGTGGGTTTATTCTTTAAAAAAAAAAGCGCATGCAGTATTTAAAAAATCGAAAATCTACTTATAAAAAGGGGCTCCTACAATAATGTTACATCGACAAAAATGACAGACAATAATTTATTGTTCTTGTTGGAGAGAGCGCGTCTATATTTTTATACTCATCTCTTGTTATTCTCAAACTTATCGTTTTTTGCTGATTCCCTGCACGGATAACATCATGATAACAATATATACAAATTGAAATAAACGTGTATAACAGTACAATAATTCGAAGAATAAAGGGAGAAAGCAAATTATAAGAATGAAGTACTTCGGGTATTACGAAAGTCAATGGTTGAAAAATGACAGGTTCAAAATGGGCTCGTTTTTGTTAACTGATCTACGAGTCGACGGAAAAATACCTGTCGGAACTTCTGCAGCTAGTGTGGGTTTTCAGTAGGCTGCCAGCAAGTTAATCTGAACACTTGGAAAATCAGCAGCATAAAAAATTAAGAAGCAAACTTTTAGCAGCAAAGGACCTATAGTACATTATCGTCACCGATCAAAAATCCACCAAGCTAAAGGAATCCAAGGAAAAACAAGCCAAGCCAGTGAAAAAAAACACTCTCCTATTTTTTCCGCACATGTTAAGTAGATAGACCTAAAATCTGGATTTCTCCGCGTATATATGATGTATATTCGACAATCAATGACGAATTTAAAATATTTTTTGCATGGGTAGCATCTCACTTATTGTTTAAATTAAAGGGTTGTTTTTTAATTACCAGAACCACGTACATTATACTAGCTCAAGAAAATGCTATAAAAAATAATAACTTTTATCCATCAAAGAAATTAATTGTGTTCATGTCATTTTTGGTTAGCGGTGTTATACAGTACAGTACAGTACTGTACTGTAGAAACATTACATTCATCAACCATCAAATCCCCGAAGTAACGGCTGAACTGGCGGATGATGTTCATATGCGAAATGCGAAGCTTTGTTTTAGTGCAATGAGATAGTCCTCCACCACAATACAGTATAGTAAGTTAGAAGTCTTCTTGGCCTGTTTTTTTGTAATTAGGAACAAATAAAGCATTACAGTAAGCAAATTAGGCAAAGCTGCTTAGTAGCGTGACGTCCAACACTTCATTCAATTGTAAAACTATTGTTAAATGAATTCAAGCATCTCTCTCCGTCGTCTCACTCCAGCAACCGGCATTCGACTTTCCGCTCTCACGTGTAGCTATCGAAAAGTATATTTTAAAGGTGCCAATCGTTCTAAATAGGTGTCGCTATACACAGCACTCCTGTGTCCGTGGACCCAAAAAAAAAAATTATCCGGATGGATCATCCCCAGTGCGCTATTGGGTTCCCACGCCCTGTTGTCATAGCAACCCGGCATGGCGGGCAACAGTTGGACCATCCCTTCTTGCTAAAACCGGATCCGTTTCAAATCGCCCCCATTTTCAATGCTTACTATCTGGCAATGCAATTATCAGCAACAAGTTCCCCGTATATGGTGTCCAGGGTGAATAGGAATTAATATGACCCCCCGCTGGAGGAACAAAATGAAGTGAACGAGAACTAAGGCAAAACGTTCATAAATGTCTGGTCGCTCTTTACGTTCGCACCGCGGCGAGCGTTGGCGCTCCCTCGCGGTTGAAATTAGCTCGTTTAATTTCCTGTATCACTTTATAGAATTATATTTTAAAACGATGAATATTTTCTCAAAGAAGATAAAAATGCTTTTCAAAATATTTTAGGGATTATAAAAATAATTAGGCGAAAATAAAAAGTCTTGAAATATTCTTATTTCAATAAGTAAATCTGTAAAAGCTGACATAGGATTTTACTTGTACCCCTAGAGCTATCGCGCTAACGTTTGCGGCTCGCCATGGATGAGGTTTATGAACGTCTTGCTCAAGATCTTCAACTGGTGCTAGGAATTTGCTCTTCGGAGAACACGCCAATTTCCGAAGATCACCTACTTCGTTGTCGGTTGCGCCACCGTGACGGATAGACAACCTTTTCCGATCAGATGCACACGTACGAGGCGGCGGTTGTTTCCCGGTCCGGTTTACCAAACGAAGCGGTGGCGTCTCTCCCTCTTTTCGGGGCGGCCAGGGACTCCCCACCTATACGCAGAGGAAGGACGTCCTGGCGCCGAGAAGCGTTCTCGGCTCTCGTGAGAAAACCTGCATGCGTGAACCCGCGAACGTTAACTTCATTCCCCTGTGTCGGTTGGTGAAGCCGCCGCCGGAAGCGTTTTTCCCTCAAGAGAAAACGGCGTTGGCAACGCCGCGATGATCCATTCGGATATTTTTTTCTCTTTGAGTCAACGGAGGCACGAACACAAGATTGCGATGTATAGAGCGACACCTATTTAAAACAATTTAAAACTCGATAGGAAACTGATGGATAGTCACACGAGAGGACGTAAACTCGAAGGCCGGTTGCAGCAGTGAGAGTTGTGAGACGGGAAATTCAGCAGATGATGTGCGTGGGGATGGATGGAAAAACTAAACCAATGCAGGTATGTTCTGCGTGCAAAAATAGGTTGTTAAATCCGTATAATTGGTCGAATATACTTGTACATCAG